ATATCTTGAAATTCAATCTGCTACATGCCTAACTTTTCAAAAATCTGTATGTTGAACAGGTAGAGCTACGATTAAGGGCCAGCTTAGTCAACTTTCCATTATCTTAACATTTGCTAAACAATTTGTTTAACTTTGTAAACATTTGTTGGATCCCAATTAAATTTTCTTAAACGTTGTTATTAATTGGAATACTTAAATATAAAATAATTAAACAAAGTCTAAAACAATATTTTTTTAATGTAGTTATATGTTTCTTTTTTTTAAAAAACTAAAATTAAATTAAAAAATCTATGCTCTGATACACAATTTTTAGACACATTGCGGCATCAGTCTTAGCCTTGGTTATCATGGTTTTCGATATATATATATATATATATATATATATATATATATATAAACGATGTTCGTTTCAGATTTATATAATTATGGCTCTTAAAAGTGGATGCCTTTAAATTCAAAATTCAAAATTTTAATGCTAGGTATTCCCTTTATTGGATATATTCCTGCTCTCACGAAAACGAAATTAGTTGGCTGATAATATAATTTACTAATACATTTACTGCATCCAAGCATCCAATATACATACATATTTAGAAGATAGGTGCACCATTACAACTGTCTACCTTTCGGATTGAGCAACTAACTGAAGCAGAGTTGTTCTAAAATTGCAAGTAATCCAACCATATCATTAGTTATGGATTTGCCAGAAAAAACCAGTGTATATAAAATTTAAGTTAGAAACACACACACACACACATAGCTAGGTGGGACGCGAATCGACTGCAAAATAAATTCGTTGCACGTGTCGCCTTCGATGCCAGTGCCACCAGCTCCACCTCCACCTCCACCTCCGAATCCGAATCCAAACACATGCGGACAATACATTTGTTGATTTGGACGTTTCACAAATTGTGCCACAAATGGACGCACATGAATCATGCGTGCTACAAAAATCGCTGCGAAAGTTTCACGCACAACTGGACAACATTTTTAAGGCTTGCCTAAAATCGGCCATTAATTGAATTATGTATTTATAGTTGATCATATTTTTTGGAATTTTCTTTTAATTTAATTAAATTTATCTATTTGTGAGCCAAGTCCATTAGTATTTATTCAAATTGAAATGGAATGGAAAATAAATCTATTTTTATACGAAAAACTTGATTTTTAGCAAGAAGAGTTTCGTAAATATATAACAATTTGTTTTAAATGCTTCCAAGTTCAAAAAGAAGAACTAGTCTCACTAACATGTAATTCCATATATGTACGAATATGTACATATATATGAATGTATAAGTTTATTTATATTTATGAATATGTGTATATATGTATATGTAGACAACCATTAGGCACATCCTCTACTTACTGCTTTTGATTTAACTTGCTAGCGAGCTCATAATTTAATGCTTTTAATGAAAGAAAAAACGTAAAAAGGTTGCCAGCAACCACATGCACTAATTAGTCAAGGATTTTGCATTAAGGACCTGCCTACATTTCCAACAACATAAGAACATCGTCAGACAAATTTACGCTCGATGGGGTGCGAGTGTTAATGGCACGTTCGCAATGTTAACATAAAATTATGTATATATTCATTTTTTAGGGATGCTCCAAAAATAAAATATGCAAAAAAGTATACAAACAAGAAATTTAAATTATGCGCACGTACAAAATGTTAAACAAAAATTACTTAACTTCTTACTGACACATAAAATGTAAGTAACTTTTAGGAATACTTTATTTGGTCGTAGAAAATAAATCAACGATTGGAGCTAAGGATTTTCATTAAAATAAATTAAAATTAAAATATTTACAACTCCGAACTAAAACTGTTTTTGGGGGCAGGACCTCCTTCAGGTTGAGAAACAGCTTCCGCACTTTTTGTTTATAATATATGGAATTGAAAAGGACTTATTGGGTGGCAAGTCAGGGCTTTAAGTGGGATAACCCATTAAATTTATGTTTTAAGTGTTCAAAGTTTGAATTTCAAACCGATTACTGATGAAGGATTATGAGTGATTGGCAGTTGAATTTCCTCAATTCACTGAAAACTTCTGAAACAATTGGGTGTATGTAACATTTCTCTAATACTATGGTAGCTTTACTTATATCTTCGGATTCTAAGGAAAAACCGGCAATCAACAATAACTTTTGTTGAATTTGGCTGGACTGAAAAATTCCTTGATTCCAGATATATTGAATTAATTAATTGTGTATTTGTGTAAACATTTCTTTTCACTAATCGACAGAAGACTTGTTTTGAGAGATTCCCAAAATTTGACCAATATAATTGTTATTTGGAAACTTGCCAATCAATTGCTCGTTTTATTATTATTAACCCACACGTTTAGTTTTATTTTTTTAAACCAACAGCAGCATGACAAAAACATATGCTATGCTAACTTTTTACTTAGTTTGTGCAACCATTCAAGGTAGTTTTGTAATACGAGTATGTGCTGTTAAATGGGGCATGTTGTTGTCAAGGCTTTTAATAACCAAATCGTAAACTATCCCCCCCAACCCCAACGGCCCACCCACCATAAAAGCCGCAAGCGTAGCCGCATGTTGAAAAGCGGAAGTTAGTCATGCATATTTGCACGGCCAATGCCAGCTTCGTCCTTTATCCTGTGACAACAACCTCAGCCCTAAACGGTCAGCTGCTAATTAGTTGCGTACAAAGTTTTCGGTAAATAGTTTTTAAATTTTAAGTTCGCTCTGGTTGACTTCAAATTGATTTTTAGCGATATTTATTCTATCTCTTTTTATTTACAAAGCCAAAGGACATCACTTAAAGCGGTTCTTTAAATCCTTTATTAATTAAATTCTCTTTTACCAAATGCTCCATTATATTAAATATTAAATAATCCACCAATGATCATGATTTAAGAGCCATTATCAAGATCGTTTGCTTGTTCGTTGGTTTGTTGTTTAATTTTTACTATTTGATTAAAATATTATTAATATTTTTTAAAGAATTTTAAACAAATTTAATTTGCTGTTGCTCTACTTCTTAAATGGCGATATAAATTATTTAAAAAGCAGTACATTCTATTAATAAGTAGTTAAAATATTAGCAATTTGAAATCACTAGAAAGAGCTCTCTATAAAGCCAACGAAATGGAATTTAATTTTCAGCACTTCAAGGTTATTGTCTGTTCTAAGTTATTGAAGTCATTCAACTTGTTAGATTCCTTTTGTTACTTTACATTTTTTTATTAATATATTCAACTAATATTTGAATGCTAATATTTTTAAAAACGTAGTCAAGCCAGTCTCTGTGAATAAGAGACTTAAATACATCCTTTTTTTTTGGAGATAAAATTAGCACAGAATCTTGAAAATACTTTAAAATCCTAAAAATATTATCTGCACATGAAAATGTACTGGCAATACAACTTATCTACAACTGATCTTATATTTAGAGCCTCCTATACAGATTTGAATAATCTATTTTAAACGTAGCTACTAGCTAATAAAGTATTTGTATTGTTGGACTTTCTGGAGCACAACTAATCCTGCCATATTTTATTTTTGGGGTTTAATTACATACATATATACATTATATACATATATCATAATACGAAAAATTCGAATGAATACATCGTTGATTTAACTACACTGATAAAAAAGTTGCGTAGTACAGATGAATATTTTCATAGTCAATAAGTAATTATAATTACTTTTACTTGATCTTATTTTTTTTCTGGACTAATTTCCATTTTCATTGATTTCACCCATTAGCTTGTAGACTGTAACGTCCATCTAACATATTCTTATTAACGTAGACTTGAACGAATTGTTAGTTTGTTTATTTCACCATCGCAGTCCGCAGCAGCTTATAAATTATAAATTGTTTAAAGGTGCCACTGCCCTGACCTGTGATAACAACTTCTGAGCATTTCAGTTTGCAATTAGATTGGCATTGTTTTTGGTTTCATAGGCCAGATACACACACACACACACACACATACTTACACATATACACTGTATATATTATGTTGTTAGCCGTGCATACAATGCTGGGCATTAATTGGGTCTTAAGTCTCGAGAGTAATCAAAGTCGCAAATGTTTGGTAACCTAACGCGACAGTTTATTTGATAAACAATATTCCAGTTATACCCTACACAGAAAGAGTGTGTCAGAGTGTATTGTAGTGATGGATAGGTTTGTAACATCCATAAGGAAGAATTAGGGATACACATACATACATACTATATATGTGGATGCAGAGTCAGCAGGACGAGGTGGATCCCCGTCGTCAGTGTGTTGCAATCATTATGTCTGTTTTAGAGTTTTTAGACTGACGCACTAATAATATGTATGTCGAGATATATCATATAGCTGCTTACGAATTAAATACTTTTTTGTTTATAAAGATGTGGGAACCAAACTATAATACCTGACGATGCTGCCTCATTTTTAAAGTTTTTTCAATAAAAGGCATGGGTAGTTGGAAGCAGAGGAATAAAGTTTTTGCTCTAGGGTATGTAGTATTATAATCAATCAATAATGTCTGCTTAGTTACAATATCGCCAAGCGCCCCATTATGATAATAAATGAAATGAATTTAGTGAATTTATGGTTCAATTGAAAGCCGTAAAATAATAATAAGCATCTTTAAAGTAAAACAAGCGCGCTCGTTATCTACGATAGTGATAAGGCAAATAAATACATTTATAAACACTCACCATATGCTTATGTGTTTGGTAAAACTGTGGAAACAAGCGATATCGTTTTGAAATCGTTTTTATTGTTAGTTAAAACAATCGCTTGACCTGCACTTGATTCTCTCAATCTAAATTCTCAGTTGCTTACTGTGTTCTCTCCACAATTTCCCTCTCTCACCATTTCCCTCTCTGTGCAAACGCCTCTCAATATTTTGTATTGAATTAATGAAGAGATTATGAATTTGTACTCCAAGCACATTCAACGACGACGCAATTCCAGTATTTAATAGACCAGCATCGACGCTGGAGGTGGACTAAAAAGCGCGCTAGTTTAGAATTATAGCCATTATGTTATTTTTAACGATCGGGCTGGTGCTGCTGCTCGCAGCTCTGGTATATATCTATATGACCTGGGGCTTCAACCATTGGCAAAAGCGTGGAGTTCCTGGACCAAAGCCCAAGGCCTTCACGGGCAACTATCCGAACTTGTATACTATGAAACGACATGCTATATACGATATTCAAGATATCTATCGGTGTGTATGAATGGATTTGGGGACAAGGGGCGTGGCCCAATTGCCAATTAATTGATTGTTTACTTGTTGACAGCGATTATAAGCAAGACTACGATGCTGTCGGTATCTTTGGCGGTCGTGCGCCACAGTTGCTGATTCTTAGTCCTCAGCTGGCCCGCCGGGTGTTTGTAACCGATTTCAAGCATTTCCACGACAACGAAATATCAAAAATGGTAAGTACTACTTATATGGGTTGTTAGCTCTCTGAAAATTGATCACACCTATGACATCATATCAATTGTTTGGATATATATATCGTGTACCTATACAAGTATTTATGCAAGCTTAAGGGGGTTCTTGTGTGGACAGATAGCTCTTAGTTTTTCTATAGAAGGCATTAAATGCTAATTAAATGAAAAAATAAAGATATAAAGTTATCAAAATAGTTATGCCTTATTTGAAATGAAAATGTAAAGAACTATTTTTTGTTTTTGTTGTAAGTAAATGGAAATTATGTATTGCATCGTATTTTGAAATAATCATTGGTTATTTGATCAAATTTTCTCATCAGTTCGTTCAAAACGTCAGTTTAATAAAAAGTAAAATTAATTAAAAATAACATTTAAAAAACAATTTTATTAAAAGTATTCATATTTTACAAGAAAAACTTTTTATAGTTATAAAGCGCCACCAATTAGCTATTTTGTTTAAATTAGTTAGTTTATTTACAAGCATTTAGAGGTAAGCAACAATGATTCGCAAACTACGCTTTGATTTATTTGCATCACCAGAATATGCTAATTGCAATAATGTTTGGTTACGAAAACGCACTAAGGTGCAATTAAGAATAATTGATTTTGATATTCTCAACGTATAATTACACCACACCTTGTAAAATGTGCTTCTTATATTCGTTGCCTAGCCTTATTTGAATACAAGGACATTATTGGATTTATATTTTTCAGAACGCTGGTTTCAAAGTTAATTTTTGCACCAATTTTTCTTCACCAATCATTTCTATGACGATTTATTGATAGATTAAATATAAATAAATTGTTCACGTATTTCACCATTGGTTGTAAGTTTTTGCTTTGAAGGCAAGTTATTAGGTTAAACAAAAAATGAATGCTTTTTTTTGGCATCTGCAGGTCGATGAAGAGTCGGATTTCATTTTTGCCAACAATCCGTTTTCGTTAGTTGGTGAGGTGTGGAAGGAGCGACGAGCTGATGTCACGCCCGGCCTGACAATGGGACGCGTAAGTCCAACACCCTGATTAGTTAGAATTAGTTAATTAGCATTAGCAAAGAATTGGTCTTTTGCCCGCAGATCAAAACCGTCTATCCTGTGACGAACAAGGTGTGCAAACAACTAAGCGACTTCATAAAAAAGCAAACCCGCATTGAAGGATCGAACGGCGTGGAGGCAAAGGATGTAAGTAAATCAAGCAAATTACACTCGAACTTTTCTGTTGCCAACTAAGTCTTTAATGCAGATAAGTCTACGCTTCACCTCGGAAATGGTCACGGATTGTGTGCTGGGTCTGAGCGCCCAAAGCTTCAGTGACACACCCACACCCATCATGGCGAACGTGAAGAATTTATTCGACCAAAGCTGGCAATTTATAGTCTACTTCGTACTGCTCAGCCTCTTTCCAGCATTGCTTTACATTAAAAGGCTGCGCTTTATCCCAAAGTCGGTGGAGCACTTTTTCGTCGATCTAATGCAGAATGCAATTGACACGCGCCGCAAGCAGCAGGAGGAAGGAGGCAAACATTTCCAACGCGTTGACTTTCTTGACTACATCATACAGTTGGCCAACAAGCGGCAACTGAACACCCGTCAACTCACGGCCCACACAATGACCTTCCTGCTGGATGGATTTGAAACAACGGCCGGTATTCTTGCCCATTTGCTCCTCTTCCTGGGCAGAGATGAGCGTGTGCAGCAAAAGCTGCGGGAGGAGGTGACAGCGCATTTGGAAAGCGGTCAGGATGTGATCAATTTTGACAAGCTACATGAACTTCCCTATTTGGATGCGTGTATTCAAGGTACTTATTGTCCATCTGTTTGTTTGTTTGTCTGTATGAACCCTTCGTTTTCAAAGAGTGTTGCAGCTAATGTTGCCAAATTTTTAGCAACGCTTTTTTGGCTTTATTCGATTCCTTTTAAAAGCAGTTCTGCGAACGGTCGCTATACAATTTGTTAGCTAGCTTTATCAAGTTTACTTCTGTACCACGCACTACTTATTTCCTTCTATCCCAAAATTATGCTGAAATATTGTATTTTACAGAAACCATTCGCCATTTTCCGCCCGGCCATATGTCCAATAAGCTCTGCACAGAGCCCTTAGAGATACCAAACAAGAACGGTCCCAATTTTGTGATAGAAAAGGGCACCACAATCATTGTTCCGCACTATTGCTACATGCATGATGAGGAACACTTCAGCAATCCCGCGGCATTCGAACCTGAGCGCTTTATGGAGACAGATGCAGTCAAAATATATCGTGAGCGTGGCGTATTCATGGCTTTCGGAGATGGTCCCCGCGTGTGCATAGGTAAGTGCACAAGAAAAGTTATATAAATATATATACGAGTATATTTTATGAAAAATATACATTTTATTTTTAAGGTATGCGTTTTGCCATGGCCCAAATCAAGGCCGCCGTAGTCGAGGTGATAACCCATTTCAACATTACTGCCAATGCAAAGACGCGCAAGGATAACCTCCTCGATCGGCTATTCTTTTTGGCTCGTCTAGATGGCGGCATTTGGTTGAATTTCGAAGAGCGCAAATGAGCTAATGGTTTTATCCACTTATTTATACAGGGAGTCAAGTCGAAATAAATTCGGCTTAGAAACGTGTCTTGTGGTTAACTCTGTTGTTGAATGTATGTATTGCAACATTAATGGTTAAATAATAAATATTTTACAAAAGCTTAACATTTTATTAAGCAATTTTCTTATTAATACGTTTCTCAAAATGCCTATCCCACCAAAATTGTTTATGTTCTATCTTCAAAAAGCCAAAAAATTAATATCAAGCTGAAATTTGAATTGAAATTAATTGCGTTTTGATTTTTTGATGAGCTTTTTTTGAAACAATTCAGCGCTTCATTAACTTTGTAGATGAATGTTTTAAAGTCTCAAACAAACAATAAAAAGTATAATTTCTTATCACTTAGTAGAGTTTATTTATTCCGCTTATTTTTTAAAAAATAAATTCAACAACGATTTCCTGTTATTTTGAATTTCTTATAACTGCTATGATCTGAGTAACTTAGTGATAAAATAACAGCTAGGCAGTACTTGCTCATCACTAGAGGATGAAGTTGGCTGCGCTGCAGTAAACAGCTGTTCGTACCACAATAACAAAGTTGCATGTGCGCACATATTTCAAACAAAAACGTGTTTTAATTCGTTTTAAGCAATTTAACAATAAAATTAGCATGGTTGAAATAGAGGGATACAAAGGTATGTGCTAACTTAAGTATTTGGCAAATGAATTAAAACGCGAACTTTAATTTTCAGTGGTGCCGTTACGTTTAACGCCCGACGCCAAAGACTGCCACAGCATTTACATGCGTGAACATTTCATACGTTTAATGGACCCCAATAAACCTAAGGGACGCACGCTTTTTCTGCTCAATATACCGCCTTATGTCACCGAAGACAGTCTGAAGACCTTCTTCAAGGGCGCCGGCGGGGTTGAGAGCGTTACATTTGCCGCAAAGCCGGGAAAAGATGAAACAGAGCAGTGGCTGGAGCAGAGCAAAGCGCCCTTTACTAACACAAAAGCGCCCTTCAAGTTCAAGGTAGCCTATGTGGTGTTTCGGAAGAGTAGCGTCCTGGCTAAAGCGCTGGCTTTTAACAGCATTGATTTGTTCAATAGCAGCGGCAATTGTCTCATAGAAAGCGGCATGGAACTGTGGCACAGTGAATATAATAGTTTTATCCTAGACAATGTGAAGACACAAGAGCTCATCGATGCCTATATGAAGGGCTACGATAGGCGCCAACTTAAAGAGCTGCGAACTGCCAAAAACGGGCACGCAGACGCCGATGGCTGGGTTACGGTGGGCAAGGAAGGACGCAATGCTGGCTTTGAACAAAAGGAGTCTGTAATTGGCAGACTCGAAAACAAACTCGCTAAAGATAAGAAAACTAAGGAACTTAAGAATTTCTACACATTTCAAATACGCGAAAGCAAAATGCAAAACATTGTGGAGCTGCGCCAGAAGTATGAGGAGGATAAACGCAAAATCGAGCTCCTCAAGCAATCACGGCGTTTCAGACCATTCTAATATTAAGAAACTGTACGAGTACATTTTAGGAGATGAATAAATTAGTGTCAGTTTTTGTCAAATTAAAATAATTAATTATTCTCAACAATTGTTAATGTTTTAATTAACTTGCTGATAACTTGAAAGGGAATTTTGGTTGTCATTTAAAAATGTATTTATATTTAAAATGAAAATGAAATGAAATGCTATACACATAGTACACATACCTGACATCGGGATGGCATATAGACGAAGAGTAATTTAAACAAAATAATCTTTAGTCTGGAATTGAAAACAATACAAACGATTAAAAGATTGTTCTAAATAAAAGGAGAGCAAGTTTTGTAAATAAAAACGAATTGTTTCAGCAGTTAAAAAGCATAAAATTGGCTTTCCATTAAAAAATTTGATTGGAATCAAAATTCTAACTGATTGATATTTAAATGAATGTATATATTGATAACTATCAAAGAAAGGTGTCGTTTTTACGCTGAAATACTTTTCCCAACAAATTTGGTAAACTCCTTAATGCGCTACAAATAAAAAATAAAAAGACGCCAAAGCGAAGCCGCCTTTCGCACATCGCATTTGACCGCCTGACATGACCACTGTAAATCCTCATAAATTTGTCGGCTGCTCACAGTCGAAGTGCGCAACCCATTGACACTTTTCGATGGCTTAGTCCTTGCGTTTTTACTTTTTTGCGTGCTTTATTGCACGCCTTGCCAGTGTGTGCCATAATTTAGCGGCAACGCCATAACTTATGGCTGCCGTGCGCTGGCAGTGTGCCCATAAAAGCGCATAAAATCCAAACAAAAAGAGAGTGGAGAGGAGAACGCAGAAGGAGAAGGCAGCAACAACAACAACAACAAACGCTGCGCTTATTGTGTGATAATCGCATATGGTTTATGTTAATTTGAGAAATGATAAAAATATTTCGCTTATCAATTTTAATCATCATAATCGTCGTTGCGCTTGTCGTCGTCGTCGACGGACTCGTCTTCGGGTCCCGGCGAAGGCGGAACATTAACTGAGCATTGGATCTTGCCTCGCCCAGACTGTGCACAGCACGCGATCTGCAGACCCCCATGAGAAATGCGCTCCCGTCATCAAATGCTGCAGCTCTTAACCCAAGAAAATAAAATGTTATTGTAATACAATTTTTTTTAAACGTTATCACGATTGTTGACAATTTCGCGGAAAACAAAGTTTGTTAAATTAAAGTAATAAATTAATGAAAAATGTTCGCCTTCACTCACTGATTAAGGGTATATATAAAGTTTGTCCTTCAAAAATAACAATTATTGGTTAATTTTTAAAGTAACACTCAAAAATAATTATTCAATTTTTAGTGAATGAATACAAATTAAAAAATGAAAATCATGGTGAAAATGGATAGAAAATCTTTACAAAAAGATCTCTGTACAGATCCCGCTTTTTAAAAGTTACTATAAGTCAAGGATTTTTTCGTTTAAAAATAAAAAAATAATCATTATTTGCATTCCCTGGCTTTGAGGAAACATTTTTAAATGTATTGCTTTAAGTTTGATAGGAAAGTTGGGTCTGCTTGTTCCTCCAATGTTTATTTAATTTGAAAGCATTAATAGCTTAAACTATTTTTGTGCAATTCAGAAAAAAAGTAGAATGTAATAAAGATTAATAATAATAGAAAAAGCTAAATAGTTTCTATGTAATTTATAGAAACTTTCCATAATTTGTTGAAGACTTTTCCTCACATACCAAAAAGCAGTGTGCATTCTAGGGTATTCTAGGGTTAAATTTCCAACAAGGCCTTAGAGTGTTGCAAGTAACTTGAGTCGCTGTTGCTGTTTGGAGTGAAATACAAACGAGGGTACGCGTTGGCTAACGCATAGGCCTGAAGCTGCGACTTAAGCTGCTGCTGCTGCCGTTCGCGTTCATCGTGGTCGTCGCCAGTGTTGTTGTTGCTGCTGCTGTTGTTGTTGTGGTTGTTGTTGTTGTATTGGCATGCCTACTGTGGAGCCTAAAGACAGCAACACATTCATAATTTCTTCCGATTTGTATCGTTTTTAAACATTTTAAATTGATTAAAATGCGATAAATCATAATCGCCAACGTTGTCTGCCTGACTTGCAGATGCTGCAGTCTGCAGTCCATGCTCACAAACTCTCCCTTTCTCCTCCTCTCTGCTGCTCTCTGTCTCTCTCAGCTTTGGAGCTCAGTTTGCTTTACGGGTGATGGAACGATTTATGAGCTTTGAACATAATAAAGTGTTAACGGAACGAGTTATTAAGGTAATATGAATGCGCATAAGTTAATAAAAGCTTGCTGTGCTGCAGCTCTTGGGCCCTGGGCTTTCCGATTTGGGATTTGCATGGGCACCATCGTCTAAGGTTGCATAGGACCAGCTCGACTGCCTGATCTGGCTGGCTGGCTGGCTGGCTGGCTGGGCTAAGCGACGCCACACACATACACACATATATATAGCATGTCGAAAAATATAACATAAAACGACCACACGTACGTCTCCCATGCAACACAGCAGGACATCTTACATACATAAGACCGTCGCAGTTAGTGTTGTTGCTGTGGTTGTTGCTGTTGCTGTTGCTGCTCATGTTGTTGTCGCTGCCACAGACGAATGAAATAAAATAAAAAAGAAAGAAAATCAGCGCCCGCGCCCCAAAACGCCGTGTCTGTTAACCACAACAATCAATAAATTTGAACACGTGAACGGTCTTGGTAACAGCAATAACAATAATAACAACAGCAACAACAGGCATGAGAAACACTGGGATAAATAGAACCGATACGGAAGATCGCTGGAGATATAATTTAATTTCCATTAAACATGTATTTATATTTGAATCGTAAGAAATAACATTATTGGTATTGACATTCGAAATGTCATAAATGTCTACGTTTTAGGAATAAAATAAGCAATATTTATTCAAAAGTTTTTATGTTTTTTACTTTCAATATTTTGACATTTAAAAGTTTGTTTAAGAATGTTGGTTTCATTATAATAGTTAATGTTTATTTAAGAATATTTCGTCTGTCTTTTAAAATGCTTTCTCAGTCCTAGCTGAAAACAATTTCTAATTATTATTTAATGCTTAACTAAATGCTTGTTAAACGTAAAATACCTCTATTAGGAATGTTATACTTAATATAAATAGAAACAATTTTAAAATATCTTTATGTTATTTTATTTCAGCTCTGTGCCAACATTTAATAATAAAAAACAAATTGCGCTACTATTTTTATTATGTTTGAACAACTTATTAATAACAAACATTTCTAAAATATAATGTTGCAGAGGACAAATATTTTGTCACAGTGTGTGATGCGATAAGTGATGATCAATAAGCAAATTATGTTCATTAAATACCGCTCAATAGCAGTCTTCAAAGGTGTACCAGGTCGATGTGTCAACATCGTCCACTATGATGGGTTCCCTACGGGCTGTCGATGGTCCGTACAGATTGTAGCGCCTAGAGCCAGCCAGCACCTCTCGATAGCGTCTAACAGGCGTACGTGCCAAATGTAGTTCCATGAGGTCCCAATGATTCACATCTCGAAATACCGATTGTAACATATGCATGCGACCCAACAACTCTGTCTCACGTAATCCTTCATACGAGCGACCGGTGCGGGAGCGAAAAGACTTGTAAACCTCACTCTGTTGCTTCGTTTCAGTGGCCGTCTGGAGCTCCTTGCGATATAGCGCCCGTATGCCTCTTCCCAGATGTCGTATATGCTCGAAGTCTCGAATATTGAGCGCAACTAATGAGATGGCGTCCAAATTAAGCAGCTTATGGCCATCGATGTAGTTTTCGCGAAAGGTTTGCTTAACAAAGTGTTCAGATTGAGATAATCATTGATAGTTTTTTTTATAGAAATTATAGACTTTTAAATTTAAATTTATGAATATGTTCAGAGTTTCGAATAGAGTCTTACAATATAAATAGATGCATATTATTAATTTCTTGCCTTTATTTGTATTGCCTAATAGAATATTTCAAAGTTAATTACATTCAAGTTTTGTTACTAAGTATATAAATTCAATATTAAAAAATATAAAAATAAATTCTAAAAGTTAAATCAGTAGAAATATTTCAAAATACAACGTATAGTATACGTATCATATATATTTTACTTAGTTCCTAATATGTATTTATCAGCAAATAGGTTTCTCGAAGTAAGTAATTAAAGTGCCTTTTTAGTGATTGGAAATGGAAATAATTAATTCGTCGGAAGTTAAAATATCGGCTAAATTGTTGCGATTTCAATTAAAATGTGGCTTTAATAGTTTTTGAAAAAAATTTACAATGAAGAGGTTATACTACTTTTCGAAAGATATAAATAAAATATATATGTATGTAGTAGGCAGAATTATTATTGAAATTCTTTTCAAAATTGTATTTATTTAAGGATATTATAGCAGGCTTTCTAATCGGCCCCATCTATCTAATTGATTATTCAATTGATTTTATTCGTTCAGCATCATTTAATCAAATTATCACTATAACTGTATAAATTAACCCCCTTATTACATAAGGACGTTTCTTTATCTTTATAACAAATCTAAGTATGTGCTTAATAAAAGTTTAATAACAAGAACTGGCTGGTTTATAACAATTCTATCCAGACCTATTTGCGAGTATATGGAAATTGCATCTCTAGTATACTTCCCATAGAAACAGGGAGTATATATATGTTTTAAAACATTATTTAATTGACCACTCTATTTGACCCTTACCTCATACTCTGGATATCCGAAGTTCCGCAACCAATCGGCCACATCATTGATGCTCCACTTGAAGACCTCAGTGCGGGCCTGTGCATCCACAACGGCAGCGCACAAATTGAAGAGCGTATCGGGTGTGGCCTTAAAGGATAAGGGAACATCGTCCTTATCGTATTGGATCTCGGGAAACATGTAGCTGGGATATCTGAAGCAGAAGTCCTGCTGCTCATCATCCTGCGATGGCTCACTGAGGACATCATCAAGACTTGGGCTGTTCAATAGCTTCGAGCGCGAACAACACGCCGAAGACGTAGACGACGTCGACTCCATTCGAGTGGAGGACACGTACTGCAATGTCGAAGTTAATGTCTAACCCAAATAGACATGCCATACGTCGCATTTGCGGTTTAGACCAAGAGCCACAGTATTCGTGTCTGTTTACATTGTTTGTTTTCCGTTTTTTTTTTTATATTTTACTTTTTTGGTTGGCTTCCTGTGTCGTGATTGCATTTGCATATCATTTATTCGGGCGTGCTGTGAGGAGGCGGTGTTAGGCGCCGCAAAGTATGCTACGTAATGCTACTTACCACAGAACTTCTATTAATAACACGATTTTCGCGAACAATTTTCACTTTTTCACGTTTTCTTTTCATTTATCGTCTGGTGGTTTGTTTACTTTGACATTTCTGAGTAATAACTTAATAGCACACCAATTCCTATCGAACGAGCGTTCCTCTTGCGTTCCTCTTGATTTAAAATTTAAAGTCACTTTAAAAGTAGCTTGAAGTATTAACTTTAACTTAAGTTATACACTTTTACTTGGCCGTTAAATGTTAAGTTTTACAGATCTCTTATTCAAGGGAGTGTAAGTATATTAATATTATAATTATTGTATATTTTACCGCCCTTTCGGAGCCCCGTATAAATGTTGGAAACCAATAAACAAAAACAAAAAAAAGTGTTCATAAGAAAAGACTATTAATAATCAATTATTAAAAATGTATTAATCAATACAATTTCATCGAAATGTGTTCTTTAATATACGCTTAAGACAGTTATTTCTCTCGTAGAACCCATATACCAGGTTAGTAGTGGCTTCAAATCTAAATCAATGTGTTCATAAAAACAGACAAATGCCTCGCCTTCTTAATATTTGCGGCTCTTTTCTTATATTAAAAGTAATTATAAACCAATAATGATTAAAGAACTGAACTCCAAGCAATGGATGAGTATATTATCATTTGATTTTTGTAATAAAAAAACAAGGAACTTATACAAAATAAGGGGCTGATGTATACCTGCAGACAGAAAGTGTATGAGAATAAATTGTTTATAAATTACAAAATAAAACCTTTGAACCAGTTCAGTTTTAATGCGATTTTCCCTAAGTACAAAGCGAAGTCGATAGATTATTAAGAATCATGAAACTTAAAACACCTTACATAAAATCAGGATTTTGTACTTGAAACAAATTGATTTGAACTTACCTAATCATTGCCACAGTTCGTGCTTGGTATCAGAATTAAAATGTTTATTTTCTCCGCACTATAATGACGCCATTCGGAAGGATATCTGGAAAGGAAATCTGCAATTAGTATTTTATTGGTCTCACAATTTTTCGAAATTTGTTTCTTGTTTCAAAGTATATTCAAAATATATAAGCATAATATTTTCAGATCCTCAAACTGGTTAAATTGTTTGTGGCGCTAAGACAAAGCGCATGTCGAAAGTCTCTATTAAAAGGCAATGCTTTATAAATCATCTGCTGAGCTGCAGAACGAAAAGAAATCTGTATTAGAGCGTGGTCCACCTTTTAACTAAAATAAAACTTGCTCCTTTATTATCTTCCGGTTGATATCAGTCAACTAATTCGTCGCTGTGATCCCACTTCGATCCCCATAAAACTATTCTCACACACAATTACGCCACGATAATAATTCAACATAACAGTGCCCTGCAACTTTTTCCATGTGCCGAAAAGAGATGGAACAACAGTGATATGTCTGGTAGCTCCGCCCACAACGATCTTTCGCATTGGCCTGACGCTGCCATGCACCGTTGGCCGCTACGTGGGAACATGCGAGTACAGCTGTGTGTGTGTGTGTGTGTGTGTGTGTGTGTGTGTGTGTGTGTGTGCGTGTCTATGTGCAAGGTGTAGGCGCTTTGTAACTGTGCCCCGATATAGTGGAAGTGTGTCTGTGCATGTGTGTGTGTACAGACGGAGTACGGCAACATATGGAGAACTTGGTAAACAAATCTCAGCAACGATCAATGTACCAGCGATCTCTGGCTGAGCTAATGACACAGCGGCTGTTTGTGTGTAAACAACAACAAGAAATCGTGAAGCAAGTTTTTCGTTTATACGACAGACAGTGGGGCAACATTTGAAATCTATCGAGCAAAGCGTTAATAATAAAAATGTTCCAACCAAATTAGCTTATTAACTGACATTTTAGTAAATGAAGGTCTATATATAGTGTACTAGTAGTATCTTTAATTATGCAGTTAAAATTAATACAAATATTTCTGAAAATTATACATTTCCTATATTATGATTTGTTAACAGAAATATGTAAATATTGATTGTAAGTAGGATTGAAATTCGCCAACTTCTTACTGATTGTCAGATAATCATTAAATACGACATCTTCTGGTGTTATTATAAAATCAATGTCATATTTAATAATATAGTATTATGTGTAAGGATCAACATTAATTAAATCATTTAAAGATCAAGAAATTGTCGATTCTTGACTTTTAGAGCCGTTTTTTTGGATTATATAAATCATTTAAATTAAATCAAGCATTCTTCATCATAGCATAACATTACTTTTGTAGCCAAATAAAATGGTATTAAGCACTTCTTTAATATATATTTAATACATACTTTTCGTATATATTTGCTTTTTATTCCCCAAGTCTTCGTATTTAGTCCACTGTGTCAGCCCAACACAATCACTGAGATTTTCTTTAACACCACAATACGATTTCATATGCGCGAACAGCAATCGATCGCCTGTTTGCCTCGGCGAGTCCATTCAGTTCTGTGTGGTTGTCTTACCAAACGGGTCCGAAACGTAGGTTGCGCGTTCTCACATGCGTTCGTATCTTTAACTGGATGGTTTGCAAATGCGACGGTGTTTTGTAGCGACACGAGATCGCTGATAAATGATAAATTCATAATAATATTGTTCATTGCAAATTAAAAATTTGTTTAGCTATTTAAGCAATGTTACTACAAAGTGTGGAAAGTGCCAATATGGAACAAAGTGTGCCCGAAAATCTTAGCACGCATGCGTTTGGCAATTGTGAAATGAAACTCGAACCTCGAGTCCCAGAACCGTCACCTATTTGTACAGATAGTGAAACCAATGTAGGTGATCCGCGATCACCAAAAAGTGCCACCAAATTGAATAGCACAGCCGGCTATGCCCCATCGGCTGCTGCCGGAACTGCCGTCGCCACATCCCCCGGCACAAAAATGAAGCTAAGCTTCAGTGTGGATCGCCTATTGAGCGTGGAAAAGGACCAAGGGGATCAAGCCCGACAATGCTGTGACAATAATATCTATGCCTGCTGCTCATTTCCCAATTGTTTTGGGGGTAAAACGGATGCGGATACGCAACATACACAAGGGCCAATTCCAGTTTCGCCTCAGAGCTACGCATACGGGGGATTGGATAAGATGTATCCCAACTTTTATGCGGATTATAAGTCTGTGCTCAGACCAACGCCCATACGCGCTTTGGGTCACTCCCAAGATCACGGTAAGCCGCTGATGCATTGCAAATCTAGGATATAGTCAATGCAGCCTCAACTTCAATGCAAGCAATTGTAAAACTAAAATTGTTCTTTTGGATTCATCATAAAAAATGTACCATAATCCTTGATCTGAATAATTTAAATATTACAAGATATAGGAAAAGAATGAAATCTGCAAACATTAAACATTTTTCTTTCATTGAAAACAAGTTTTCTCACTCACCAGAAATGTCTTTTGGTTTCAAAATATGCATTTAAAATATTCAATATTTAGATGGTGTTATAAGCTTAAATTTTTAGTAAAGTACTTGCAGAATAGTTTTATTTCCGTTGTGAGAAAAAACGAACTTAAAATTGATATTCGCCGATGTATTTCGATTTCTAAAATACTTGTATGAAACAAATTAACCCCACTTCATTCGATTCTTCAATATAAGTTTGACGAAAAATATATAACCTAACGTTAGCAGCAAACAAAGACATTACCTTTATATGGTAAGATGAATATTATGAGCTATCTTATTTCTAAAATATAAAACAAATCAAATTAACCCAATCTCAGTCGATTCTTTGATATAAGTTTAACGAAAAACTTAGAACCTAACGTTAAGAGCATGAATAACCTCTCGCTTTATAAGTTTCGAGTTCAAAACATTTCTGTGAATCGTTTTTAAACGTAAAGAAATACATTTATTAAAAATAATTAAATAAGACATTTCATTTTTTTTAACAAACCCAAACAAAAATCTTCTTCACCTAAATGATATTCTGGCAACAACCATGAAAATAATAACATTTTAAAATGTGACAACGGATATCTAATCGAACAAAATACTTCTGCAAGTATAAGCTACATTAAATTCTTTTTTTGTTCCGCCCATTAATATAGGTCATAAAAATTGATCATAGCATAGTTAAAGTCAAGCCATAACATCTAAATTTCTAATTTCTCTTAGCAAGAGTGAGAGAGAGCCAAGGCCGGGTTGATCGTCCGCATTCAAAATGTTGATAGAATTTGAAATAATAATAACAAACAATTTCGATATTTGTCGTGCTATTAACAATACGAGTAAGTGACCATAAAATTATTTATAATGAATTAATTCGAGAAGAAAGAAATGCTCAATTTTACAATTTTTTCCTTTTCTGTTTAATCAGTTAGGATATCCAATGTCCAGAATAACTCTCAGAAATTGCGGATTCTACAAAGTTTAGTTGTACTTTCAAAATCACTTGGATGTTGGCTGTAGGAAAATTGACAGTAATTAGATAAAAAATCCTGCATTTAAAATGTTTAATAAATTAATAAGGATTAAAAAGGCCGTTATGTAGAGTTTAAATAAAATATTAGACAACCTTGACTTTGATAGAATTTTTTTCAAAATATATGAATATCAGATCTGTTTTCTATAGGAAACAACCTTTATTATTTATTTAAATTTATCATTTTACCAGGTTGTCTATTATTTAAACATTATCATTTAAATGCTTCTTAGTCAGCCTACGTTTTAACAACCTGATCTGCCAATTAAACATTTGACTTTTGGCTCATTATAAACTGCAATGCAATGCACTTCAAAAACGAAAGGAAGAAGCAAATGTAATGTACATTCGGGGAAAAATACTTGAAACACTTTCAATAGAAATGCCCGCGAATTCTTGCAATCAAAATGGAAACGTGGGCCCATAAATTTCATGTTTTTATTGGAATTATTAGTTGATCTGTGGCCATATTGTGCAAGATCGTGGCCAACTGTGCCGTCTGCTCTTGACAAGAACAATTCGTTTGTTCAGATCGACAAATAACTATGCCCGTGCTCTGTATTTACGCTACTTCCTGCTGCTTTGTATATCGGGGGACTCATAGACTCATAGACTGCCAGCCTACAGCCTGTGGTGCACTTTGATCTTGTTTATATGAAAAATAGTGAGAAATATACATATATTGTGTATATTGAACGATTGGAACGATTTGTTGTTTGCATTTTGTTGTTTTCATTGTGCCCCAATGTTGTGGTTACCAAAATCTTTTCTGTTCGCCTCTGTTTAATATACAATCTTATCAAGAGGGTGTTAAATGGCCAAAGGGCGCAAATGATTTGATGATTGGAAATTGGGAATGGGGTAGGAAAAAAGTGTGAGGTTTCACAATACCTACCATAGAGAGATACATATTGTTATGACGCGGCATAGCAATGCTGAAATGTTATTACAAATGCAATTATTTCAAATTATCTTATCGATTTTTAATTGTTGTTGTTGAAGGCATATTCTAATATTCTAATGTGTGCTGGATATAAACAATGTTGAATGACTTTAATGGCAGTCTTGGTTACCCACAAAAAGTTAGTTTTTCAACTTAAAACAGACTTTTAATTTTTTGAAATATAGCCAATATAACAATTTCAAAAGCTTCATGAATTTATCAAAACGAATAGAGGCTGTCAAAATAGATGAGATAAGTATTAATATAATTTGACAAAAAATGTTAAATGTTGATAAATTTTAAATCGTTTAATCCAACCACTGAAATAAAGAAAACTTCTTACTTCTTTCATAATGTTTCTCATTTGTTCTACTTTCTAAATTCATGATTTTAAAAATGATTAACCATTTGAAACCATTTTAACCATTTTTAAAATAGAATCAGTAATATTATTATTTTCGTTAGTGGTTTTTAACATTAAAGTGAATCTATAGATAAACAATTTGAAAAGATGCAGAGTATTTCCATTATTTTGGTGATTGCTTCTTAAATGAATTTTCAGCTATTACTATAAAGCTGTAAAAAAATTGTATTATTAAGAGATGATGGTGTAAAATATCAAAGTTGTTGTTTGCCAAATCGGATCATCATAAATTTTAATTAATATTTAATATTTAAAATGAGAAGAAAGTTTTAACATTTAATATGAAAATAAATATGTAATGACTAGCGTAATAATTTAAAAGTAATCTGATAATTGTAACCTTGTAGGACAAGGTTTATTAATAAATAAAAATATTAAGTGAGGCTAAAGATATAATTCTGTCATCTATTGTAGACCTAATCAAATATTTAAAATGAAATAGGAAGCTTATACGAGTAGAAGAAAACTTTGAACTCTGAATTACTCCGAATTAATTTGGAATTCTCTTCAAAATTTCCTGTTTTGCTAATATAATAATCGTTGTAGCTATCGAGAGGTCCTACATGATATAAATGGTACAACAAAAGTGAATTAAAGCGAGTGAATAAATTATAAAAACTCTTAAATAAAATTACTTAAAAGCTTATTACAATAACACATTTTGTATCTAGATTAAAACGAAGTATTTCTAAAGTGCTTTTATTTGAATTTTTTTGTCAACTGTTTTTTATTTGAAAGGAGAAAATAGTGCTACAATTTTTAGAGACCTGTGCATAGTGCTCTGACTCATTTCATTAAAGAACTACCTTTTCAAATGGATAATTGCAGAGTGCGAGAGTTTCCACCCACCACACGAAAATAGGTTCAACAATATTTACGAAAACGTAAACACATTTATTTTCTTTGAGTTCAATTTTAATGGTATATATCACAAATTAGCGGCACATCAAAATAAATTTTCCCGCCCAATTAAATGTAGCATTTATGAAAATTATTATTAAAATTAAACGCTTTTCAAACAGATCGGCCATAAATGCGCCAATTAAGAGCAACACACTGATGTGCGAACTTTAGGAAAATGCCAGAAATTAATTGAAAGGAAAACAATGTGAAGAGGCGGACTGTAAAATTCGACATTTCCTCAATCAACGCCAGAAAGAGGCGTTTCTCTTCTTCTCCTTTTTTTCTGAAACTGTTTCATCAATCCTGAGATGCATTAAATAAATTAAATTCAAAATAATTAGCAGAGCCATGGAACAAACAGTGAAACGAGCCAAAAATTTATGAACAATCCAGCGGGCCAATAAGATTAACAACAATCCTAAACTAAACGTGCCCCGGCAATTGAGAAGAATAAAACCGATTGAGCAAATTTGTTTATTTGCTTGAGCAATGGCCCGTCATTCAGGGGCGAGCACATACTGATATCCAGCCATTCATCTAAGCATAATGAATTGTTCCGTTTGGGCGCTTTTGGCCCAAAGGAGCTGCTGCTGCTGCTGCTGCCACCTTCTGCTCCACTGATAGATGAGGCGCCGTTGGCATTGCCGTTGCCGTTTGGGGCCAACTACTGTGACTCAGCTGAGCGGTGTCTGCCGCTGCCGTTTAACTTAATGACACGCACAGTTCTCGTATTGCTGCGATTGATTGAATGAATGACTGACTGACTGACTAACTGACTGACGTGCTGCTGCTGCACTGACGCATCACCTGCTAACTACGAGTATGTGGGTATTAGAGATGGGCAACTCCCGAAATAAAGTATATCCAAAGTATCATATTCGTAAGATTGCAACGTCAAAAAGAGCACTTATTAGAATATTATATAGTATATAAATATTATCATTATTATTATTTTCCGTTGAGACATCAAACGTAGCTGGAAGAAGACTGATCTCGCTTTAGAATTGAAAAATAAACGAAACCAGCAACCATAAAGCTTTCTACCTGCCTTCTAACGCAAAACATCTGATGTTTTTAAGTCGTAATTTTTTTTTTTTTACTGTACACCGTTGCGAAGAACTTCTTGTTATAGTACAATTTTTATCCATTTGCAACATATTTCACATTTAATTTTGAAATCTTCATTAACTTCCAGGAGACTTTCAAGAAGAGACAGAGTTATTCTGATTCTAGAAAAGTTGTTTTTTAACGTACCTAAGGCTTTTTGTTAATTAACTTACAAATATTGCCGCATTCTTCCGAAAACAGTTAATTAATTCCTATAAATTTAATTAATTATTAATAAAGTTAATTAATAACTTTTCTTTTTATCTAAAATATATATTTTTGATGTTTTTCCTATTTTTTATCTGGCATTCAAAACACATTTCTACAATTATCAAGATATATAGTTTATAATTTTTAGCTTTACAAGCTTTAAAGCAACTTTTTAGACGCTCCATGACTCTTAAACAGAAAAAACCTCTCCTATTTAATTTTTTAAAAACCTCTTGGCGAGGAAGAGCATCTTTACGACAAGTATAAAATTCTTTATAGGAATTAAAAAGCTTCTGTTGAGCCAATAATGGACCAGGTCTCCCATTATTTGGCTTAAGCATTGATTAGAGATTTAAATTTGGTTGTATAATAGGGTAGTAGCTATTTTTCCAGTGCCTTCGTCACTACATGGATTGCCGCCTATTTTCAATGGATAAGTCGTTTTCTTTGCAAACTCGGGCGCTACTTCTAATGTAATAATCCTACATTCAATTTGATCTATAATTTGTTTTCTTGTGAGTGATTTTTCCTGGTGGACTCTACTTCAATTATAATAATGCTACATTCAATTTGATCTATAATTTCTTTTTTTTTTGTGACTTATTGTGAAAGGTATGAGTTGGTTCTATAAAAATTAAACATTACTTGTTTCTTAGGATTGATGTAAATATTAACTCAATTTAGACCGATTTAAATCGCGTCAAATAAGAGACAAACAAAATAAAATGTCTTCATTATTCAATAAATAAATAAAATTCAAATAAATAAATATTATTTTAGCGAATGTTGTTCGACTGTTGCAAAATGCATGAATTGTGTCTTTTCTGAAGTTTTTTAATTGTGTTTTTTTCTGCTCTATAGTTGAGATACATTTTCTGTATAGTTCTTAGTTGTTGTTCGACTGTTGAAAAGTGCATGAATTGTGTCTTTTCTGAAGTTTTTTAATTGTGTTTTTCTCTGCTCTATAGTTGAGATACATTTTCTGTATAGTTCTTAGTTTTCACGCTCATTTTTATCATCTGTAGCTATATATTTAAGTATAGTATGTCTACAGGTATTTATGAACGAGTATGTATGTATATATGTTTGTATGTATGGAGAGAATGCCTCACCTTCGGCCACTTAATCGTTGCTGGTATTTTTAGGCTCGCCGGGGCCAAGAAGCCGGGCCAACTATTTACATAGCCACCCACTGTGGTGGCAGGCAAGCACCTGCGGTGTTGAAGTTATTTTCCAATTGCGTACCACACACACATACATAAGCACACACACACACATATACTATACATGAAGCTTTCGCAGCCGCATTTATATGTGATGGATTGATCGGATCGCATAGCACATCATAAAATGTGCGGCGTGCAGAGAAAAACGCATTCATTGGACTCGGATTGGTTCGATCGCCAAGTACTTATGCAGGCCAACTGTGAATGTGTGTGTATGTGTGTGTGCGTGTGTGTTGTTGTTGTTATTATTGTTGTTGCTATTTGTTGGTGTTGAGTAGTTTGTTTAATTGTTTTTCCCTTTTGCTTTGGCCATCGATCGTTCGCTTGTTGTTCTCTGTTTCTTATTTATGGTCAGACCAATAATTTGGCGCCGGTCGTCTAATTAATTTACAATTTACATGTTAATCCATTTGTTGGACTACTATCCTCCCGATCAATGAAAAATGGAAATGAGATATGAAACAAGAAAGCGCTATATGATAGATGAACGAACGCATTGATAAGATAAGATGGAACAACAGAATTACTAAACAAACATATTAACTCAGGTGGGGATATCTCTTAGGAACACTGAATACTAAACTCCTTCTTAAGACTGATCGATATGGCTAATAAAGATTTTCATATTATTATTTGCTTCTAAGGCGCCTATAAAATAAATTTAAGCAGTTTAGAAGTTCTGCAAGATTTTTCATAATTTTCCAAATTATTTAATGTCGTTATCATTATCGTCTGTAATGTTTAATGCTGCTTAATATTATATTATTTCGATCGAAGAGAGATGCATAATTTTAGATAAGCCAGCTAAGTTGCAACTAATTTTGAATAGGTATCAAATAATCTAATTTGCATTTCTTTTTTTAGCTTATAGCTCATATCTGCTTGCATATTTTAGATAATAACATATTAATTTGATTTTAATTTAATGAGCATGTAAGCAGCAAAATTTGTTCATTCTTATAGCTTAAAAATAGTAGAAAATAATAATAATAATAACAACAAAAGTCCATAAGCTCACTCAAAACCGAAAAAGTTTCAATGAAGTGAAGCTGTTTATTCCACGTAGTCGTCGTAATCGCAAATATTCAACAGATCGTAAATACATATTTGGGGCAAAGCAAATAAATCGATATAATTTAAGCGAAAGCATTAATTTATTACAACGGCAGACAGATGCAAGCCAAGTAAGCAAATGATTTAAATTGGCCAAATTATCACAACTCATTAAGATATTTATGTGCATTTGTACAGAACTTCCTACTCGAACAGCGGGCGAGCTTCGCAGGCATTCGCAGGCGCCTTAAATCAATGCACACACACACACATACACCCTCTCACATATATGTATATAAATAAATATGCATTTGTATGCACTTCAGGCTTATTTGAATGCATGTTTACAAAAGTATCCCAAACAAGGCAATTAAGGTGCATGCGGTGCGAACGCACTGCGCTCCAAAAAAATAAAAAATAAAAATGCTCGAGGTGTTGAAAATGAATGAAAACTCATTATAACAAGCCGGCGGCAGTTGACACAAACCAAATGCCGCCAATAAAACGCCGAAGGCGTGCCATTGAGATGCAAATGCACGCAACAGATACAATTTGTATCTACAAGTGCATTTGTGCGTTTCCGTTGTAAGTACATTGTACAATGCTAGAGATGTGCGTGAATCGTAATGTGTGTGCGTGAGTGTAAAAAACATCATTTTAAAATTACATACACATTATTATATTTATGGCTTGGAAATGGAGTAAAGGCTAAGTTAAAATATAAAAATATTTAGACATGATGCGAATTCAAAGTTTCAATTAAATATATGTAAGTATACTTAGAATTCAATGCTTCTTTCATCTTTAATATTTATTTAGATCTTACATAAACGGATTGAACAATATTTAAAATATATATGTAAAATATATTTAAAATAAAATAAACATAAACTGATAATTTACAAAACAGACTCAAACCAGACATATTATTGTAAACACCTTGTCTATGGTAAATAAATATGTTCGAAAATGCAAATGAGAAATGATTTCTATTCTCTTTGAAATATAAATTTCGAAGCGACTACAAATCATGCAAGTCTGCTTCACAAATAGAAGAGATCTCATTTATTAAATTTAGGAAAACTCGAATAAATCTGATAATTTAAATAAGCCCAATTTCTACATACGTGTATATCCCTGCATTAAAAAAATAACAAATAAAATTATAGTGAAACACATGCAAAACTATTTAGAGCAAGTAGAGTAGAGTGTTTTTCGTGAGTCTCCCAAGTAGTATATACATTATGTACTTTAATGTTCCTATGTTCACATCTCTAGAATGTATCTTGAGTAAATAAAATGGTGGCCAAAAACGTAATGAAAATATTTAGCCACATGCCGCGAGCGCCCGGCCGAGTGCGCAAACAAATTTGAAGGCGAGTTTAACGCTCTATAAAAAGCAATAAAAATCCATAAACTAGTTTAAGCGCTTGCCCATACAAATGGAAGAGGAACAGTATTTAAAAAACATTTATCCGATACTTTTTAAATTCAGATGCTCTGGCCCCCATGTCGTGCTCAATTAGCCCCAAATAATTTTTTTGCGCCCGGCCGGTGTTAACAATTTGTTTACCTGAACGTTGATTATTCCAATTAAGTGAAAATTTTATTATAAACAAACTCATTTAAATATTTTTAACGTGTGTTTTTTCATTCTTGGATAATCACGAAACTCGCTTTTTTCAGTGCCTGCATAATTTACTCAAATTTGAAATGGTTTTTTAATATTTTCATTAATTTTTTGTGTTTCTGAGTACACAAATAGCACAGTTGTGTCAAGGAAACTTGTGTTGTTGCGGAAACGGGAAAGTGCGTAAGTGGCATAATTTGAGGAATATATGGTTTCCCCCGGATATCGATTGTACAATGCATTAATATGTGAGGATCTTAGGAGTTGCGAAATGTAGAGGAAACATAAAATTTCAAACTTATTGTTAGCATAAACTTATTTATGAATTATATTTTATATGAAATTTTTTGGGAAAGCCAATGCCATTCTCCACCTCCCTACATTTTAAATACTAATTATTTTCCCCGGATTCATATTTTGTCTGTATTAATTAATGCGTTTTCTTGAGATATTGCATCGTTATGCTACTTAATTAATTATTTCCCCTCTAAAGCAATGGTGTGCTAATTGATTTGATTAAACTTTAATCAATTAAGTGTTTTCTCAAATCGGTAAATAAATGTGATAGACAATAATAAATAAAGAAAATTTGACCCTAAAAAGAAACATATTATTTTGTATTTTAAGAAAAGTTATTAATGCAAGACAAGTCGTCCTATTTAAATAGATTTTCTAAAATAAAATAAATACTTAATAAGGCGAATTGTCCTGTGCCCTTTATTTAGATTGATTTTCTAAAATAAAAATATTAAATTTAAATGCTAAAACAAATGAATAAAATAAAAAATAAATTAGTCAATTTATTTCATTCACATACTTATAAAAGGGTTCTTTCACGAATTTATGCATGATCTTTAAAAGAAAAGGTGACAAAAAATTTATTTCGTGACGCAATTTTTAATCATGCCTGAGGTTTTGTTTTAAGCTTATGCATAGAAAATTTAATTGGAAAGTTAATTGTTGCTACAAAATTGTTTAAAATATTTATAAAACTGTTCAAAATTTTGGAAATTACTTAATAAGCTCGTTTATTTGTTTGTTTCTCGTTAACAGTCCCACCATTTCCCACATTGGCAACAAACGCTTTAGTCCGCTTCCATCAGCAACATCATCAGTTTCAACAGCAACATCATCATCAGCAACATAAGTCAGCCACACTGCTGCACAGCGCCTCAGCAACATCGCTCTTGGCGCCACTAAATAGCCTCAAATCATTGCAACTATCACAACAGCAGCATTTTCTGGCCAAGACCCAACAGCTACTGGACATTCCAACCACAACTCATGCAACGACAACAACGGGGGCACCAACAGGTGCGGCAGCCACTAACGCAGGCGCACAAAATGGCGGACACAACAACAACAACAGCAGCCATGGCAGCAATATGGGTGGACACGTTCACAACAATGGGAAAAGAAAGCGCTCCTGGTCCCGAGCCGTCTTCACGAACCTGCAACGCAAAGGCCTCGAAATCCAATTCCAGCAACAGAAATATATAACCAAGCCAGATCGCCGTAAGCTCGCCGCACGCCTCAACCTAACAGATGCCCAGGTGGGTTACACGCGTAGATCAAGTTTCAGCAAAGTCCTTGCAATCAACATTACTTTTCCTTCAGGTCAAAGTTTGGTTTCAGAATCGTCGCATGAAATGGCGACACACGCGTGAAAATCTCAAAAGCGGCCAAGAGAAGCCGCCTTCAATACCACCCCCCGGAACTGGCAACTGTCCCGTATCTTCAAAAACTATTGAAGGAACCTCTACGACGCGAGAGGTCCTGAGCTACAGTTCAGATAGCTGTTCAAGTGTGGAGCTCAGCGAACAGGCGGATGACGATGATAATATCGAAATCGATGTGGTTGAATAGAGTTCTGTCGGGTTTTTCAAATAGATAGAATCTAGATTGTAATATTATTGTTGAATACATATATGAGACGTTTACAAAATGCCATTAAATTATTAAAAGCTATAGAATAGTTTCACATTTTTCAGTCAGGCCTAAATTATTATAATAACTTAATAAAACTAAAATTGTACCAAAAACAAGGATGTCTGGCTTTCTTTTCCAAACCTACTCCACAGACTAAGCTGAAAATACAAGCCACATACATGACCAGAACCCCTCCTTAAAGAATTTCTTCTTTTCTTAAAATATCGGAGCGAAACAAACATAAGTTCATGGTCAGAGATCTTGGCAGTTTGCCCTTGAAGTGCGCAGACACTCTCTATCAGGAGCTTAGACAAAACGCAAGATCATTTTTTCGATCTATTATTAAAGCCTTTTTAAAGCTTTTTAGATAACCAGCTATAGGGCGCTACGTGCCACCACAATGCCAAAATACTAAACCATTCCATAGATTCTTAATGTTTCTGTACTCTGCATTAAAAGATTTCCAATCCTATGGATATGTATAGCCACAGATTTGTTAATCATAAATTTCTCGAAAGAGATATTTATTTTGTTTTAGAATTTTTTTGTATAATACATGCATATTTGCAGTAAATTTTATCTGATGTTTTTATGTTTTATTATAAACTCCTTAAGACTAATCTTTATAGTTGTTTTTTTTTTAAATTATTTATTTGCTTTTTCAATAATAACATCGTTTCACAACTTCCTGAGAATTTTATCTTTTAATTTTAAAGATTTAACAAAGTTATCCAAAAAGAAGTCGCAGTTTATTTTCAAAACTTACACTCAAGTTTATTGTGACATCTGATATATTTATAATACCCTTTAAACTTGCATTGGGTATAATTAACTTCAGTTTCCTTTTTGATGTTCATGCATAATCCTAAGTACATAATTCATGTTTACTGTTTCATCAAAAAGCGCTCGAAAAGAACGCATTCGCATATTCCACACATGAACAAAAAATTAATTAAGGGAATACCGCTGCGATCAGCACAATTCGATAAAGATATGGCCAGCAATGAAGCATGCGGGGTAATGGCAGGGAAGGAGGTGGCAGCGGCGAGCTCTAAAACTGTCTAATCTAGAACGATTAAAGACGATACGATGAGCCGTTGGAGCGTCAGCTGGTCAAGCAATGAACACAAATATACAGAGAGAGAGAGAGGGAGAGCGACAATTTAGCAGACAGTGCTCGCAAATTGTGTGTGCACGACATTGAAATTTAAATTGAAACTCTGATTATTATTATAGCGACTCGCTCCTCAGCGTACGACTATTCTGACCATTTGGGCTCAGTGTGTTGGCGTTAAGCAAAGCGAGCGGTTCGACGGCAATGCGGCGACAACCTAATTGTTGGGCAAACATTATTCTGAGTGCATCGTCTAAAGTGTAAATAATTAAATTACCAGCATGGGCAACGTGCAAACGCGACAATTCGATGGTCGCAACATGGCGCATCGCCGCAGCAGTGAGTGAAATAAATGCTTAAAAAATGCTCCCAACCCGTGAGGGTGGCAATTGTTTAACGAAAAAAAAAAACAATTCATATGTTATATATAAGCTAAATAAATTCCACATACATATGCATATGCATATAATATTGTGAAAATTCTCGGAAAGTGTTATTAAAACGCAGCTTCGATAAACTGCCTTTAAACAATAGATGGATGAATAATACTTATTAATATGACATTTATAAAATGTATATAATATTTAATGTGTGTTATTTTGTTATTACCAAAATTAAAGCTGTTGTTCCAATAACTCTTTTTCTTTAGACACTCAACAAACATTTTAAAGTACCTGTTGATAGCAATGGAGTAATAATTTTTAAGCTGTATTAATAAAAGAATGCCAAGCCATTTTATATTATTTTGGACTACAGAAAATAATATCAAATATTATAAAATAAAATTCGCATACTAGAAATAACAAACTAATAAAACACAAAACGATTTCCAATTTCTTTGAATGGAATTTCTGTCTCAATTTGTTGACTTTCGCAAATTCTAAAATGTTCCACTAACTTGATCGAGTTGAGACTTGCAGAGAAATTTTATGCATTTAACATTTTCAATAAAAAACTTCATCTATTTTTAATACGTATGGAAAAGGAATTTAATTTCCATTTTAGCTCAAATATAAATGAGCTATAAGAGCAAGAAAATAATGACAGACTTTTAAAAGTTATGGCCAAAATTAAACTTACAAAAAAAAGAAACCATATGAAGATACATTTACATAATACATTTAAATTATAAAAGACTTTATGGTATTCTTCAATACACAAACGCTAGGCGAAAACATTCAAAAAGGCTATCTACGAATTAAATAACCAAATAAATAACTTAATTTTTAATATTTTTAATATATTAAAAATATATATAATAGTATATTTTCAAGCTCTGCTTTAGAAAATTAGAAAGCAGGCGCTTTGAATCGTTGATTGCTTTGTTATGACTGACCAGAAAGTAATAATTGAATGTAATTAACAAATTAAATAATATTGAACAAATTATAAAATAGAATATAGAATAATATGTCAATTTTGTTAAAAAATCAATTTCCATTCCTAAATTTTCGTATTGTCCAAAAGAAAGTAAGAAGTCGAGCTTTTAATACTTGAAATAACTTAAAATTATGTAAAAGTTTGGAATAATAGAAATAGAATAGAAATAGTTTTAAATAATAGTTTGCCTTCCTATTTAATTGGCTCATTCCGGACTTAAAACAAAGAAAGAATGCCAAAATTAAATCAAAGCACTAAAAGTTTTAAACTCCTGCGCATACGTTTGAAAAAGAAGAGACTTGGGCAGACGCCTAATTATTAAAGCAATACTACATACATCTGTTAAATTGTACAATCTGAAGTTTTTATTTGAAAAGCACAGAATAGCTATTACTCCACAATCCATATCCTTTGCAGGCATCGTGTGGAACTTTCGCTACCCCAATGCCGCGAGAAGACGCGAACATGCCACTGTCATGGTGCACAATCCCAAATTGGGGATCGGGGAGTGGTTGGATCTGCTCGAATTGCAGCAATACGAAGGTCGGTAGTCAGTCAGAGTCGGTCAGTTGGCAGCTGCGTCAGCGATTCTAGACCTGCATTAACTCACGTATTGTGTTGTGTTTTGTTCGTTTATCGTTAAACAGCCAATTTGCAAATGTACAACACCGTCGACGATATTGTCGACTTTACCGATAAGGATCTGAAGAGGCGTGGCATACGAAGCGCCACACACCGAACGCGCATGCTGAACAGCCTGCTGGGCGTTCAGGCCAAGCGTCGACAGTCCATGAATTTGGAGGGTAACTGTTCGAAAATCAACAATTGCCGGCAATTATGAAAGACTCTGCTAATTCTATTTGATATTATCTCCAATTAGTCAATAGCGCATCACGCGTTGCGCCCGGTCGCAAGAACTCGTGTCCGCCGGTGACGGTTTATCGAGAGACACAGGAAGATATGGTCGAGAACGGAGATAGCAGTTCAATAATTACCACAAAAAGCGGAAAAGTTTTGAAACGCTTGACATTCGATGAGAATACTCTGATGTAAGTATTATAAACAATGACATACTTGGGGATTAGGTGGCGATTGAATTGAAATATAAACAATGCGAAATTATAATTAAATTGAAGCTACGATAACGTGGGTGGAATAAATAGAATACTATCACTTATTTAGATCTACTTATATATCTCTAATTAAGTGGTGGAATAGAGAGGGATTCACTTTTTTAAATTGCTTCATCCACATAGTTGAAATATTCCATTATTTCTAAGAAAACTTAAGATAATCTGATATTTACAAGCGTATTAATTGTTTATGAAGAGAAAAAGCACAATTTTTTGATTAAATATGTAGATACGTTTAAGAGAATTACGTTGCTTAGAAATACTCTTAAATAGATGCTTTCTCTCTCTCTGTCGCTCAACCTGTTGTGATAGAAGTGCACGGCACAGGTAACATACCATAACTGATAAGGCAATAAAGATTAAGCTGTTATTTTTATTTATTTGACCAACTAGTGAAAAATTTTGCTTTAATATTGCTAGTTATAGATTAAATATAGTTCTATTAAAGAGTTTTTTCATGCCCAGTTTTCCTTGGCCATTTAATATTGTCGAAATTCAAATTGAAACTTTTGAACAATAGATTTATCAGATTCATAGACTTAAGCAGTTCCCAACTCTGTAATGCCATAATTAAGCCTACTTTAAGCAAAATTATGGAATGCTATGAAAGCATTAAAGCAAAAATAATATTGCTAGTGGAAGTTAGATAAAATGTTTATACGCTTGTCTGGTGAAATGATTAAGTTTCGGGTATTCGTATTAGGTAGAGAAGACTGAGGCATATCACATCAAGTAGCTAGATATATGTATATATAATGCAGAAATAATACACTGCGAAGAGCTAGAGCTCCCAACTGAGATCCCAAAAATAGGCAGAAATGGATAAGCAAAAAAAAAATCAATTAATATAATTACTGGAAATACCAAACGTAAAAGGGTTTGGTGGATTCCAACAGATTAGGAGAAACTGAATGGATTAAGACGGGATTAGGATCAGATCTTCCTCTCAGTATAATCCGTTAATTTAATCAAATATTTAGACGTATAACGTTTCGATTCTGAATATCTTTTATACGAGTAGAAATAAGACTTTTTCAGGTACACATCTTAAAGCAAATAACCTTCTTGTATGTTCCTAAGTATGGCAGACATAAAATAAAAGAATGGGCAATAAACATTGCTAAAAAAAAGCTAATTACTTAATTTAAGCCACCAAATTTAATCAATTTCCAATAAAACAATAACTAACATTTGATTTACAAGATAAAGTTTAAAAAAAAATACTCTACTATAGACTGTTTTTTAAATATGAACAATAATTTCGAATATACATATATTAGGCGTTGGAAAAAGTATAATTAAAGACAAATATATTTCCAATTAGAACGTAATTTTAAGATATTCAGTTTTCTTTTTTTTTAACTCTACAAATCAACTCCCCTTGACTTGTTTTAATACGCATTCGAAATTTGTTTACAACAGGTTGTTTTTTAAATATGAACAATAATTTAAAATTAATATAATGTGTTGAAAAAAGTAAAATGAAAGACAGATATATATTCCATTTCAATTTAATTTTAAGATTGAGCTGGTGGCCTTAATTTAGGAACTGCAAACATTTTCTTTTAATTAAACATACTTTTTTGTTTGGTCTTTTAAAAAAGTCCAACCCTAATGGATATAAATCAAACACTATTGACATGTTATGTTGATGTATCAGGATTCGAAATCAGATTAGAAATAAAAGTGCTACCAAATGGTTTCAAATACAACTCAGCCATATCGGTGATTAGTTGGCCCGCATGCCTGACCATAAATATCCTGCGTGGCACAATTAGGAGTATAGTAACAACCACTTCTCAGGGCACTCACTCGCACATAAATTTCAATAACAAAAGCAAGGCGCATGCGTTGCCTCCACACGAAAATGTCCTTCATTGAAAAAGGAAGGCGGCAAACGGGCGCAAGCAACCCCTTACAAGGATATTTCGACTTGTGTTAGGGGAGGCTGGAGCTTTGACAGCTTGACGCCTTTGATAGTAGCGGCCGTTGCCGCAGAGCGAACTTGGATAGCAGAGAGTGCGGTTGTCTAAGCAAAGCGCAAAGGATAACGCCAAGCAAGGACGCCGAAATAGAGTGTGAAAAGAGTTTTTGGGCTGGGCCTGTGATTAAAAATCTAAATTGATGGCTACACGAATATAGAAAAGCTACCATTTGCATAAACAAATACATAACTAAGAAATAAAGTTCGAGGTGCTTTCATTTCGGGGTGTGTCGCAAACATTTTGCGTGGCATTATAAAATGGGCGTAGCAGGTGAGTGTAGAACTACTAAACCGATCTAGTGGTGTCTTAACTATAAGTTATTCAGTGTTGAAGAAGTTGGGAAACATTGCGCAAAGAAAACTTTTCAACAATTGCATTTTTTGCACTTGAACTTCAGACAAAAGTTGTACACCAGAGAAAAATTTCCCCAAATTCCCCCGACTATATGTACATGTGTAACACTTGGGGGTGGACCACCACCCACAGTTTACAACAAAAATTACCCAAAATAAGGGACATTCTCTCAACACTCGTATTGCAGGTATGAGGAACTGAGAGCCGCCCGTTCACAGTGCAATAGTCCGCGTCGGCGTTACACGACCAGCCTCGACATGGACAACGGCAGCATCGGCGGCAGTAGTTGCAGCAACAACAACAGCGCTGCCTCCACGCCCACCCCACTGGCCGTCTCCCCGAATCCCAATGAGCAACAGGAGGCGATTGCTCTGAAGAAGGCGCTCGAATGGGAGCTCAGCCTGGACACCCGTGAGTTGCGCTCGCATGCCTGGTACCATGGAGCGCTGCCACGACAGCGCGCCGAGGAGATTGTGCAGCGGGACGGTGACTTCCTGGTCCGGGATTGTGCCTCACAACCGGACAACTATGTGCTCACCTGTCGCAGCAAGAACGCTGTGCTGCACTTTGTGCTCAACAAGGTGAGTTTAAAAGTGTAATTTTAACAAAAAACACCGATTTCGGACCTTATACAGTGAATGCTTTTTTTTTTTTTGCATTGAAAGAAACATAATGTCTCACTCAGGGTTCTGAAATAACAGTATACTGTCCGGGAATAGAATTTTCAGCTATTTCCACTAAATGAGGTATGTGTTAGGAAGTTCTGTCATGGATGTCATTGTCAGAACTGGACTAAATTAAAATGGGACCATTCGTGAAACACAATATTTCAAATACAAAAAGAATCATCAAAATCGGTTCACTCAGTCGAAAGTTCTGAGGGTACAATAAATAAAAAAAAATACAGTCGAATTGAGAACGTCTTCCTTTTTAAATAGGGTATGTTTAAGGTAGTTCTGTTATGGATCTCATTGTTAGAAAAAAAAAATTCCAAATTGAAATGGGACCACACGGGAAACTTCAGCTTTCAAATACAAAAAGAATCATCAAAATCGGTTCACCCAGTTGAAAGTTTTGAGGGTACAATTATTAGAAAAAAAACAGTTGAATTGAGAACATCTCAAGAGCAGAACCTAACCAATCTCTCCTCGAACTACTCTTGAAGAACCTCCTTTCCAATAAAAAAGGAATCATCGAAATCGGTTGGCGTGGTATTGAGTTATATACGGTTATACGGTTTTCTCATGGATGCCATTGTCAGAACTGGACCAAATTGAAATGGGACCACGTTTCTGTGGTAACAAACATTAAAAACCGACGAATTGATAACCTCCAACTTTTTTGAAGTCGCCTAGTAACTGCGTTTACTTTATAGAAAAATTAGATACTGATAAACAGTCTATTTAAGTACCTAGTCTAAATAAGTATAACTAACAATAGTTGCCTGTTTTTGCTTACAGATCATCCTGCAGCCGGAGACAGTTTACGAGCGCGTACAATATCAGTTCGAGGAGGATGCTTTCGATGCTGTACCGGATCTGATAACCTTCTATGTGGGCTCTGGCAAGCCCATATCGGCTGCCTCGGGCGCCATCATACAGTTTCCATGCAATCGCACATATCCCTTGTCTTTCTACGGCCACAAGATTGTTGGCAACCACCTACACACACAAATGCTCGCCGGACTGCGCGGCTTGAGTCCTCTCAGCTCGCCAATGGGCACGAGTGGCGTTTTCCGCTTTGGTCACCTAACAAGCCAGAGCCCCGCGGCACAAGGTGCCGGGCAGTCTGCTGCCACACAATCTCCATCTCCATCTCAGTCTCAGGTTCAGGGCACGCCGAGCCCGCACAGCTCGCCGCCGCGCATCAGAAGAGATGTGCCACCGCCTCCGCGATTGCCCTGCAAGAAGCAGCAGCGTTCCCAGAGCCTGACGCCCGCCCAGGCGATGGTCGTCTGCAATATTAACAAGCAACAGGAGCAGCAGCAGCAGCAGCAACAGTTGGAGCCTTCACTCAATGGCGTTGGCAGACGCTTCAGCAATTTGGAGCAGCCGCCCAGCAGCGAGCAGCTGCAGCAGCATCTGGCGCAGCTCAAGCTCCATGGCAATGGCTTCCAGACCATTGCCCGCTGCAATCCAACGAGTGATCTACAGCAGGAGCCCTGCAATAAGTTCACCACCCACTCGCTGCCACGCCCAGCTACCTCGGCGGCGCAGGCACTGCGCCAACAGGCTGCGGCGCGAATCTCTAGTTTGGCGCGCAATTTCAGTCTCGATGCGCAGGCAGAGTTGCCGGAGCGGGCGCCCAGCCCGCCTCCGAAGCCGGGACGCAAGGAGCCAAGTGGCGCCATTGCCGAGCAACTGCAACGCGCTGGTGCTGTGCTCGCATACCAGGCCAGTGGCTCGGATTCGGGCAATGGATCGGGGGATTCAGCTCTGGGCGATGGCAGTGAGTTCAGCATACAGCGTGGAGTGATTATCAAAAATCCGCGTTTCATGACAAGCTCCGCTTCAAACAGTACGCTCAAGAGTTTTACGGAATTTGATGCTCTTGCTACGGAGGAACAGCTCTTCACCATGGAGCTAGATGACTTTAAGTTGGTAAGTGGAACCAGTAACAAAATAGGATATATCCATCGCCCAAAAGTATTGCAAAAGATATGCTAAATAATATTTGTTTGTTAGCTATTCCATTAAAATATATCTCCATTTTAATGGGCTCCGCTTGAAAAACGGTTCCATATACTTGTAGTTTTCAAATACACATTAGAGATTTGTAGAAAAGGAATAACATCTAAAGAATATATTTTGAATAGGCTCTAAAGAATAAATAGATAACACTAATTCACTATTATACTTCTTATATTTTATTGTACGTATATTTGAGTGAAAAGATTCTGGGATATATGGTTCTGGGATTATTGGAAATGGTTCCCTTTTCGATTTTGCCGGCAATAATACTTTAGAAGATACTTTCAGTAAATATTTCAAAGGTTCAATTGCAGAATCTGTGATCAAAAAAAATGTAGAATACATTTTTGTATATTCCATTGTAAATTCTGCGAATCTTAATAGGCCTTACACTCTTTTACCGATATAAACTACAAATATATCAATTATCAATTTTTCCATAGAAAAGAGGAAATAAAGCTATATGCGAAATATTTTTATTCATCCCGCAGACTACACGATTCGATTATGAAAACTTTAGCACTCTGCTGCTGCCCTCGGTTGAGAACAAACCCCTGGACGGCGATGCTTTGAACACTTTTAAAATGATGTTGCTGGAAACTGGTCCCAAGCTAGTCGCGGAACACATCACACGCATAGATATTGCACTCTTTCTGGAGCCCCCAGAGGCAGAGGGCGAAAGGGAGCACTATTTGAATTGCTCGGGTCTGGAGCTGTTGACACTGCCGCTGGGCAAAGTATTCGGAGATGATCTGATCGAGCGGACTCAGTGCATCAAGCTAATGGTGGCTGTGACCATACTGACCTGTCAAACCGATCTCGATCGTGCCGAGCTCTTGAGCAAATGGATACAAATTGCAGTCGAAACGAAAACTGCGCTCGGAAATCTATTTAGTTTTTGTGCCATCATGCTGGGTCTGTGTATGCAGCAGGTGAGCGAAATAATATTTTATTTTATTTAGTGGATAAAAAGCTAATTTTATTGAAGAAGAAAAATTAAAAAAAAAAAAAGTAAATGGATAATTTGAAGCTCGTTTAGCAATACAAATTCAATTTTAGGCCGCTGTCAGGCAGATTGTCGATAGATAATTACACTAATATTGTTCCTTCTTCTAGTATCAGAAAGAAACAATTTAATTTAAAATGAAATTATAGGAATAATTTCGATACCCTCTTTATTATTATTTCTTCTCATATATTCCTTTATTTTCGCTTCTGAAAGTAGCTTTAACATATCAATTTGTATGGGTAGTGTTAACCATTACCATACTCATTCGAAAAAGACTGGAATTTTATTAGCAATGCATTAACTCAATAAACTAAAAAAAAATTTGAAGCAGGGGGGAAAACTTAATTCAAAGTAAGAACTAGTTAGATTACTAAAAAGGAGAAAGGAGAACCTTCAAGTCGGTAAGGAAAAATTTAATTGCCAGTCCGGGACATTTGTTCAATTCTTTGTCATCTTCATTCTGTCTGCCTATCTCTCTCTCGATATTCTATTGAAACTGTTCTCTGTAGCTATCTCCGTTAAAATCTCTGACCACTTACAGCTGTGAAATATTTTTTGAATACGAAAATATTTCAAGCTTTTTGAAAGCTCATTGGACTTTTAAATTAGTGTAAGTCGAAGACAAATACACTAGGGTTACTGCTCAGCATTAAAAAGAGGAGCGGATTCCAGCAAAACCAAGTTTCAAACTCGTTGTTTTTTAAGATACTACAACTAATATAAAGAAATTGTCAGCCGGTTGATAGTAGCTCTGCATTTACTTTACTTTACAACAAATTAACAAATCTTTTTATATAAGTTCCTAGAAGTGAACATTTAATTTAAATGATTTCTTCTTCTTCATTTCTTCATTTTCCAGATCCAAAAACTGGATCAGGCTTGGCATATTTTACGCCAGAAGTACACGGACAGCGCCTTTACTTTTGAGGCCAAGCTACGCCCAACTCTGATCAGCATGAATGAATGCTCGAATCCTCAAGCACCCAATACTATCGTTCCGCATGTTTTACTGTACGCTCTGCTCATTGATCGACCCGTCTTGGACATAATCAATCATGCCAATATAGAGGATCGTCCGGCATTATATGCCACCTGTATAGCGCCCTGGGAATCGAAAGCAGACGATTTTGGCATGTCTATTAATTTTCAGCATTTGGATGCGTCACGGGGTTTCTTAAAGAATTTGGAGCTATATCGCAAAAATGCGAAGAACATTTTGGAAGAGGCCAGCTCGCGGCTGGACGAGTTACTAAGCGATGCCTTTCGGTAGGTAAAGTCAATAATATAATCGGGTATACAAACTAAAGTCCAACTTCTTGCAGCACTGAATTCCATGTGAAGTTTCTTTGGGGTAGTACGGGGGCCACAGCCAAGCCCGAGGACCGTCACACTAAATTGGAAAAGGTGCTCACACTGATGGCTGATAAGTTTTGCAGCGTCAGCGCCTAATTAGATATACTTGTACTCGTATTTGTATAAAAGTAAACAACGATATTATATGGACTCTAGCTGCTAAGTTTGTGTAGCACCCCCTATTTATAACGATGTAATCAAAACAAAAACAAAAAACTAAGTAGTTCAAGTAGTAGACATTAGACGTTTCTTAAGTTTCTTCCAATCATCAACCATAACTATGTGCTGTCTACCTCAGCGTCGAAGTATACTTTTAGAAAGCACTTTAAGTTACAGTTCAAAATAATTTAAATTTTAGTTAAGCCAGGAAACTAGCATTAGAACCTACGTATTTATATAGAGCTATCACATTTACAATAACCTATATAGCTAACTAAGAAATTACCTTTTTTTGCTAATCAAAACTCTTTGAGAGTATTTACAACTATGAAAATTATGTATCTTGTGTAATATTGTGGATTACCCATATGAAGGAACACTACCAAAGGCATTTATGGTCTAGAAATTACTTGGAGACACATGTGCTCTCTCCATTATCCACTAACTAACTTATTGTATAACATTAATATATATATATATATAGATGGGACAATATAAATTTAATCAAATGCGTAATTTATATAAATATACATAAAGCAGTGTAACTTTTACAATTTTATAAGTAAAAATACAATATATTATGGAAATAAAGCGAAGAATGAATGATAAACAAACAAAGGCTAATGACTCAGCAGCACAGTTCCTTGCAGGGCCTATCTTCCCAAGCGGGCCTTCAACTTATATAAATGAATTATATGAAATTATAATTTTAAAAAACGTGATTTCCTGCAGTTTTTCCATGCACTTCAAAATAAACTGCGACGCTTAATTGAATTTTCGAATTTCTGATAAATTAAATAAAAATATTGAGGCCGCCCTCCTCTGCAATTCTCATGGCAAATACCTAAGTGAAGGCAAACTGAGATTTACACAGTGAAATTTCGGATAATTTAAATTAAATAAAAAAATATTGCGGCCGCCCTCCTCTGCGATTCTCATACCAAGTACCTAAGTGAAGGCAAATCGAAAATTAAATTGCGAAATTTCTGATAAATTAAATTAAATAAAAAAATATTGTGGCCGCCCTCCTCTGCGATTCTCATACCAAGTACCTAAGTGAAGGCAAATTGAGATTTAAATGGTCAAATTTGTGAAAAAAATCAAATTAAATTAAATAAAAATATTGTGGAGTTAAATTGTGCCATTTCTGATCAATCAAATAAAAATATTGTGGCCTAACTCATGGTGAATCGAGAATTAAGTTTAATTTGGATTGCCAGTCGTCAGCATTTGAGATGAAACGAACAAAAGATCAGAAGCTCCGCCCAAATATTTTTTAAATTCAACTAATCTTTAACAAACAAACATTTTGAAATTTAAATAGTCTGTAATTTGTCCGCCAAACCCAAAAGCTCAAAAGCGACCAGTTGTTGTTTCAGCAATAAACTCTAAAACTCTATTTCAAATATATGTGCATTGGCAGATATTGTACTTGTATTTATGGCTATAACTATTAATCGTAATTTCTTTAATCGCGCAAAACCCGTATAAAAGGAATTGTTTCGACTTGCCAATTATTTATTATTTATTATTAGTATAATTGTTTCTGCCATGCTTACTTCATTACCTTACATTTTTTAAGAGAACTCGTACGCTCTCATGCTTTTCTGATTGATCTAACTGCGCTCTCTTGGTCCTTTGCGGCAAAAAACTCAACACACAAATGTAGGCAAGTTAGCAATCTGTTATACACATTCGGCAAGTTCTGTAAATTGAGTTTTTTTCTTTCTTTTTTTGTGTATCTGTTGTTTTGGCGACATTTTGTCTGCCGCTATGAGTGAAACCTACTTATACGTGTACATATGTATGTACATACATACATAAATGCATATAAGAAAAGAAAAATCATTAATATAAATCGCTGCGTACTTACATTCACATACAGATTAATTGCGATCACTTTAATTAAAAATTATTTTCTAATTGAACACCTTTACTTATTTGAATCACATTTATAAACACTTAAAAAAATTAAAACAAAAATTGAGGCACACACATACATAGGTATGTATGTACTTATGTGCGCAGCACATTGGACGCGCGGTATTTTCGCATTAATAAACACATATTTTGCACAGTTCACACACAACTTAATATGTACATATGCTTTTAAATAATATTTCAAATATTTAACTATTAATTAAACATTTTCGCAGAGTTTTCGGCAACTCCAAAAAAAATGGCGCGACGCATTCAACTGATATGTATGTACATATGTATGTACGCAGCACATTAATCGCGCGGTATTTATCGCATTAATAAACACATATTTTGCACACTTCACACACAACTTAATATGTACATATGCTTTTAAATAATATTTGAAATATTTAAACTATTAATTAAAAATTTTCGCAAAGTTTTCGGCAACTCCAAAAAAATGACGCGACGCGTTCAACAGGTGAAGAAAAACTAAGCCTTGCGTTGCAGCTGCAAGCACAATGCTCGCTGTAAGAATGTAAAAGGAAGGAAGAAATCAAAAATCATAACTGTAAATTCGCTTATAGTGGGAGAGGGGGGGGGGGGAGTGTAAAAACATTTCATAGATGGCGCAGCTAACTTTTATATGTGGGAAGTTCGGATGTTCCCTACTGAATAATGCGGATGTGCTTTACATAAAACAATAAGTACTTTATTTAAGCTTCGCGGTAGCTGTTGTTGAAGCAAGCTAGACTCCTGGAGATAGATTGGTACATAATATATATCGAACTACTTATTCAAATTAGTTAAGCTTGATCAGCAAAAGATGGCGCTCTTCACAATCGCCACAGATAGTAAGCGATATGAGGCGCTTAAGTACAAAGGCTTTTAAATAGGATGCACCAAACGTAATTTTATTATTTTTATATTTATATTTTTATTGTTATTATTTATTATTGTTATTATAATTATCGGTGCGACTAAGCAAATAATACTGTATTAGCACTGCTTGAGTAGTGCTTAACTAATAAATGGCAGCGATATGATTTGAATACATTTATGTACGTAATAGTAATTGAATTATATATAGTGGAGGGTAGTGATAAGGCTTCGCTGGGGCATATTTGTTTAACAACAATTACAGTTATAGCTTGCCGATCCCTCACACTATCAGGCACTCCACCAGCGCTCAACAACTCGCTTATCATACGTACGAGTACTAATGTATTTAATATACGAGTATATAAAGGAATCGACGCCCAGGCAGAGACCAAAGTGCCAGTCCCAAATGAATGGCACTTGACATTGTGAATTGGACGCCGTTGCTGTGAGGTCGTGTGTGCTGGAGAGTGTTTTTTTTTTAAAAGCGAGCCGAGCTTTAAGCTTAAGTTCATTGAATCAGAAGTTGCGGTCGCAAACACACAATGAGCGGCTGTGGCTGTGGCTGTCGCTGTAGTCGCAAACTAACGCTGGCCATGAGCGGGTTTCTAATTATTTTGTTGGCCGCCGTCGCTGTTGGCTTAGTTGTTGGTCTTGGAAACAGAGACGATGGAGTGAGTGCGTCGAAATTAAACAATAAATGCTGATTCTATTTGGAATATTTTATAACTAAATGCAGGACGAGCACACGTTCACCATTGATCATGAGGCAAACACCTTTTTAATGGATGGTAAGCCCTTTCGATATGTTTCCGGATCTTTTCACTATTTTCGCGCACTGCCCGACGCTTGGCGCAGTCGCTTGCGGACAATGCGTGCCTCCGGTCTTAATGCATTGGATACGTAAGTGTGGATATACCTATTTAAAAATGTACACCAGCTCTTTTTATAACTCAATAAAATGCTATTAATTGGGATAAAACACTTCAACAAAGTTTTCATAAAATTCGTACTAATTAAAATTCTACTTAAACATTTTTTTTAAACAATTTTTTGATTGAAACAAATCGGCTTTAACCAGTTTTCTTCCATGGGGATTTCTTTGTTTTGTTCTTAATTGAACAACAGCTTGGCGATCTCTGATCAATCGGATGATATCTTAGGCGTTATTTGGCTAGATCTGTAGATTTTTAGAAACAAACTTTCTCTAGTTAGCAATTTGTATTGACGAGATTTTTCGACATGGAAATTTGTTGTTTACAGCAGTTTTCATAAAAATTTTATGAGAATTTATTTAGAATTTAAAGTCTCTTCGAATTATTATTATCCTGATTAAATCGAGATGATCCTAAGTTAAGATATAACTTACAATATATCGCCAACTATATACTATATATATAACTATATATATTAGCGAAAAATATATTTTCTAATTATTATATTAGCGAAAAAAATGTTCAAATATTTCCTTTTTTTGTAAACTAAAACAAAATCCGCAGACGATGTTAAAAAATAAGCTCTCAAAGAAAAAACTAAAAAATTGTATAGTATGTAACGCGTTTTCACTTTTTATATACTACATACATATACAAGTATGTACATATGTACACATACAAACATGCATAATATATTCATATAAATACTTTCATTTGGCATAGCTTCTTGTAAACCCCCCTCCCTACATTAATAGTCGTTATAGCATTAAAGCATTTATGACCACAATTTATGGAAATGCTTATTATAATATTCATATGCCTCGATAATCCATTTAACTAAATATTAATAATTGTTATGGCACTTAATGTTTGTTTAGTGGAAAGAGTAAGTATACCAATAATATAATCATAGGCCATAGCTAATTATTTCAAGTAAAGAGAACTCTTTATAACTAACTAAGCTGAATTCGAGGTCCTATTTTCTTTATAATATACACATTGATAATGTATTTACAGCTATGTGGAATGGTCTCTTCATAATCCACACGATGGCGAATACAATTGGGAAGGCATAGCGGATGTTGTCAAATTTCTAGAGCTGGCTAAAGAGGAAGGTTTCTACGTAGTGCTCCGTCCGGGTCCATACATATGTGCCGAACGAGATAATGTACGTTTCAATTGTGTTAGTTCACACAAAAACAGATCTTTAAGTAATCAATCATCTAGGGTGGACTTCCGCATTGGCTCTTTACCAAATATCCCGACATCAAAGTTCGAACCAACGATGCCAACTATATTGCCGAGGTGGGTAAATGGTATGCGGAACTGATGCCGCGTCTACAACATTTGTTGTATGGCAATGGTGGTCCCATCATTATGGTCCAAATAGAGAATGAATATGGAGTGTATTATGCCTGCGATCACGACTACCTGAACTGGTTGCGCGATGAGACCGAGAAGTATGTGCAACAAAAGGCGCTACTTTTCACCGTCGATATACCCAATGAACTGATGCATTGTGGCAAGATTGAGAATGTGTTTGCCACCACAGACTTTGGCATTGATCGCAGTGAGTTTCGGATCAGTATTGCTTGTGAATAGGTTCGCTAATAAGCGTAAAACCTTCATATATATAGTTAACGAGATTGAGAATATTTGGAAAATGCTGCGCGGCGTGCAACCGACTGGACCGCTGGTGAATTCTGAATTTTATCCTGGCTGGCTAACCCACTGGCAGGAAATGAATCAGCGTCGCGATGGTAAGGAAGTGGCTGATGCCTTAAGGTAAGTCGATATTTGTGTGGAAATTATTTCTGATATCTTTAGTCTTTCTATCTATCTTTCTCTTCACATCGCAGAACCATCCTCAGCTATAACGCCAGCGTGAATCTGTACATGTTCTTTGGCGGCACCAATTTTGGTTTCACTGCCGGCGCCAATTACGATCTAGACGGTGGTGTTGGCTATGCCGCCGACATAACTTCGTACGACTATGATGCAGTGATGGACGAAGCGGGCGGCGTTACGCCCAAATACCAGCTAGTCCGTGACGTTATTGGAGAGGTCTTGGAGTTACCTGACATTACGCTAATGCCAGCAAAGCGTTTGTCGTATGGAAAGGTGCAGTTAAAGCCCTCCATGGAGTTGCTTTCGATCGAGGGGCGCGCAACCTTGTCCAAAGGCACGCCTGTGCAGTCCGAGAAACCGCAAACATTTGAACAAATGGATCAGTATTCGGGACTATTGCTCTACGAGACGCAGCTGCCTAGCATTGATCTGGATCCGACGCTACTCACGCTCAATGAGCTGCGTGATCGCGCTCAGGTGTTCATCGATCAGCAATTCGTGGGCATCTTGTCGCGGGAGAATCGCATCTATTCGCTGCCACTGAGCAAGGGCTGGGGCAACACCCTGCAGCTTTTGGTGGAGAATCAAGGACGCATCAACTACGATGTGCTGAATGATACAAAGGGTGTCCTGGGCGATATTACCGTTCAGCTGCATAATGGGGGACAATTACCTCTGGAAAACTGGACGACGACAGCCTTTCCACTGGAGGAGGCCAGCGTAGAGGCGTGGCGCAAGCAGCGCTCCAATAAAGAATTGGCTTCGAATATAGCCGCCCAGAAAATTCTGCTTACTGGCCCCATTCTGTATGAGGGCAGCTTTCAGGTCCAGGATCTGGGCGATACCTATCTAAATGTCGCTGGCTGGGGAAAAGGTGTCGCTTATGTAAATGGCTTCAACCTGGGTCGCTATTGGCCACTGGCTGGACCCCAGATAACGCTCTATGTGCCCAACGAGCTCCTGCGTTTGGGCGACAACTCCATAGTACTGCTCGAGTACCAACAGGTTAACAAATCTGTGGCTAATCAAGAACTGCCCACTGTACAGCTCGATGCAGTTGCCGAATTAGATGGCAATACAGGTAATGCGATCAATGTTTCTTGAGTTGATGGTTACTTCCTTAAATCACACCATTTACACAAGCCAAGACATTAAAAAAATTAAAGACAAAAACATACCATAGTTTCAAGCAATTTTATTAGAAGCATTTATTGTATACATAATTTTTTTTGGGACTTGACTACGGTGTTAACAATGCTAACCGACCGCAATCTTGACAAGCTTTTAACGTATTTTTCTAATCTTTAATTTTAATTACAATGCGCTTTAACATTATCTATCTAACTGTTATCTTTTCTTCTTAGTTGACTTTTAAAATCTAATTGTTATCGTTTCTTCTTAGTTGACTTTTAAAATTGAGTTATGTTGCTTCTTCTTTAAATGTAATTAATTGTTGCATTTAAAATATCTAACAATTATATGAAAATATTTTTTGTAGCTCATTCATTGGCAAATGGAGATTTCGTTTTAAACGGAAGAATCAAAACATTAAATCACACAAAAGATGAACTTTAATAAACGATATTAGTTTTTGTTGTGAACTAATTACAAAAATAGATACAAAAAAATACAAAATATTATAGAAACGGGGATATTTCAAATCAACATTTTAAACACAACGTTTTGAGATTTCTTTAGGGTATATAATACGTGTTTTTCGACGGTAAGTAACACGCAAGACTGTCTACAAGTCGATGTAGTATGTCGCTCTACTTAACAGTCGGTATTTGAGTTAGAAGCGAGACACAAGAGACGACATCCCTATATTGACTCAATGCGTAAACCTTCTGCTATGCGTTACAAACGTGGACTAAAGTTATGAAATAAAACTCTGGACTATATAACGACTTGGTTAAAATCAGACTCTGTGTGTTATGACAAGAATTTGAGAAATGTATGCTTAACTGGACGGGTTAGGAGTTGGACTACATAGTGCATAAAAAATACATTTGAGACATTTTCAGAACACAATTTTGGAATTTGTTATTTGTAATTTGCTTAAGTTATTAAATGACAATTGCCAGTCTTGAAAATTATAATGAACAAAACAATCTTAAACTAGATACATTGAATTAAAACTTCAGACAATGTTTAATTGTTATTTCAAACTGGTTTTTTCTTGTTGCTTTTTTTGTTAGCTTAAATAGACGTTCTTTTTGTTTTTTTTTTTATTGTTGCTCGACTAAAGTACCGCACGCGTTTGTTTAATTTGTAGAAGTGTCACGCATAGGTTTGCAAAAATAGATTGCTTTTTAAAACCCTCTACCCAAAGGGTAAAAGGGTATACTAGTTTGTGTATAGCTTGTTTATATTTATTATTGTTTGTCAACTGGCGACAATATTAAATAAGCTTTTTAATTAACGCGATTTTTAAGCTCGTACAAAATATTTTGTTCGACTGTTTACATTTTGCTAAGCAGCTCATTTTATCATTTGTGCCCCCACACAAAAAATAAATATGTATGTATATAGCAAGTCTTTTAGTTATAAAAATAAATTGAATTAAGTACATATGTTTTTGTGCTGAGTTTGTTTGTTTGTTGTTGCTGTTGTTTCGTGGAAGAGTTATGCATTTCATAGTTTTTTTTTTTAGTTTTGCTTCATATTTGTTCTCTACTTTGTTTTAAAAATATATCACAGCTGCATTTCAAGTTAATGTTTTGTTGCTTCACTCTTTTCCACGTATTAAAATTGCTTTCATAAAGTTTTTGCGCGTAATAAATAATCTACATAAGACGGCGAAAAATTTGGCAACCTAGTCAATTAGTTCATCTTAATAAAGACGGAATGCGTTCGTATTTAGTAGACATGCCCACATACATACATGTGGACTAGGTGTATATGTACGTTTGTATTTGCATAGATTGGGTATTTATGTTATAGTTAACTTACCGAAGCGTAGATATAGAGTAGCAGTTGGGTCTGGTAAAGTTTTCGTATCTTTTTTTTTTAAATTATTGCTGTAACCCTTCCTCTAGAGTGCTGTGGGGGCAGCATGCGCTATTTGTCAGTGCCATTTAGATTTTTGTGCATATATGTCAGCGCGTAAGTTCTGAGCAAAACAAATGCCAAGTATCTGTAAGAGTGAAGGGGAAGTTTTAACATACATTCTTTGTAATGAATTGAATAATTGAAACAAATATGAATCGAAATCAAACCTGGAAAAACATAACACCAATAACGGCCGTTGAAATTATAATTAAATTATGTTCAATCCACTCTTCGCCGGACTGTACGCAACCTTTTTCGTAAATTTTAGACAATTCGTTGTTCTACAAAAAATAAAACGTAGGCACAAAATAAATAAATGATGAAGAAATTTAAAAAATCTAAAAACTAAGAAATAGCTCAATGGAACAAATGCAAGACTATAAAACCAATTGGCAACGTGGTCCAATTGAATTCATTGACAGCACCTGCATGATAAGCATGGATATACATGTGCCCGCCACACTTATTAAATGCGCCTCCAGCCAATCCTCGCCAGCGCGCAAACAACCACGCTCATGTATATTTCTATCCACAGGCTGCATCCGTATAAATTTGTCAAAATTGCACATTAAAGCTTCATATATTAGCAACCTACTGGCAACAACTTACGTGATCTTCCTTTCTAACATCATAGCCGCACTGTTTATTCTTGATCAGCTCCTGCGGATGTCGTCGGCAACATGAAAACGGCACGCCACAGGCCTCTCGGCTGCCCTTCTCGACAGATGAGCAATTAAAGTAATTATTGTTATCCCAATCTTTGGGCCCATCAATGCCACAGCATTGAAGCCAATCTTCCTGTATCCAATCTATGAGATTCTGCTGGTCGGGATCTTCGCGATAGTGTTTAATAAAAGCACGTAGCCCCTCGGTGGCCTGATCCTTGATCCAGCCCTTGTCCTTGAGCACGAAAGCCAAGGCGCAAAAGCCAATCTCTGCTAATAGCAAAACGCTCAAAAAAATAGCATACTGCCAAAAATAGAAATGCTGAATTAAATCTCAGCTCAACCCAATTAACAGCATCTCATTTGCATACTTACCGTCCCCAATAAACAAGTATTTTCTCGCAAAGCGCCCACGCTACCCGTGAAACCAATCAGAAATGTTATGGCTCCCAGTAGGATGAGCACAAATGCAGGATCGAGCGCTATGAAATTTAACTTAGTAATATTGCGAAACATGTCCTTTTCACTCCAACTCCAAATGCCCACGGCCAGCACAAGCACGGCTATCATCCAGATTAGCACATTGGCAGTGAAGAGCATAAACTTAAGGCAGCAGGAAATTTCAGTTGTTTCAGTTTCGCGTCTATATTTCCGCACCGTGGGCATGTTGGCGAGTGCAAATAACTATTGTTTTAATTTTAATTGTTATTTCTGTTTACGCGACAAAATTCCAATGCCGATACCTTTGGCTCAGTAGGGCAAACTGACAATGGCATCGAAAGTGCTACCAATTTACATATATTAAATTGTGAGGGTGGCGGACATGAGTAAAAACGTTTAGACCTGCAATGTTTATAACATCGATGGCCGACCAACACACATATTAATTAATAAATTTACGTATATTACTATCGTCTTAATTTCTTTAACGTCTATAAAATGTACCTACATGTTGCCTTTTCCGTACTGATCTACTCATCGATCGTATATGCGTCATCGATGTTTTAGGCGCTGCCACTATATGATAATAAACTTGGTACAAATGTACAAAAACTGAGTATTGTGGCATACAAAATTTAACATAAATAGAGAAGCAATACTTTTTTCATTTTATTCTTCTATATCTTAACAACTAACCATCATCGGCAAGTTGCGATATTATCGACAAAGTACACTACTTTTCTCTCGATGGCTTACAGAGTTATCGATAGCGCTGTCTGAAACGCGACGTCGAAAAATATTAAAACAGTTACAATAAAAGGAGAAGTAAAATAAAGTTCGAGTGTCGTGTAAATTAATTATTAATGAGACAGTTTCATAAGCAAGTGCACGCAATTGAAAGGCGTGTGCGTACTTTTTACCTATGACGACAGTGAGTTTCTTTACCCTCTACATGTGTCTCAGTATGGTGTATGTGTGCGTGCGTGTGTGATATTGGCTGATGGAAAATGTTTAATTATCAGCGAAATATGGACTAAATGCAAGTAAAGCATACCTCAAAGTCCACTAAACAGCTTAAACTATACAAAACCGCAAGAAAATAGCCTAAACGTTTGCTAACAAATGCATATAAAAGACCCAATACCTATATCAACCCCCCGCGTTTTAATCAAAGAAAAAATTTTGTATGTGTGCTGTGTGCTATGGGCAGCGCAGTCGGGTCGAAAAAACGTTGAACCAAAAGTGAAAATTAAATTGTAGATTTTTTCATAACACAATAATATATATGCACCCATATGTTGAACATGTCCACGCTTTCGACCGTTGGGGTGAATGCATAGAAAAAATAGTGTAATTTGTAATTAGCGCACTCATTACATACGCAGTGGCAGCGGCAGCGCTGTAAAGTGCGTGCGGCGCTGCTTTGGTCGCCATCATAAGAGCAGCGACAGAGGCAGAGACAAAAGCATAGCCGTCGTCGTCACAATCTGCCACTGTGAGGTGCCTGCCTGCCCATCAGTCGGGCATGCCAGCCTGCCAGTTCGACAGTTCATCCGTTGTTCATCCGTCTATCCTCAATAGATCCCACGCTTAAATACTTAATTCAATTGCAAGCACTGACACTAAGTTATTTAAAATGATGTGTAGAGAAAAAGGAACAGAAGTACAGTGTTACAATTAATATTGGTGCTTTCAAAAAGTTTAATGTGCAATATGGTGGCAGAAAATCACGACAAAAGTCGCTCACTAGCCGAAAATGTCGTATACGTTGGCCGTCGCAGTTTTATTGGGTATTAGTTTTTATTGCTAGTTAGCAACGCAAAACATTTTACGAGCTGCGTTTTTAAGGTGCAACAGAAGTGGCAGAAGCAGAACAAGAAATTTAATTAAATGCGGTATGTCTGTGTGTGTGTACATACATCCATACATACAACGTAGTATGTATGAACGTGCGTGTGTTTGAAAAAAGTAACAAGATTTTTAGTGCTAATTTCGCTAAAAACATACCTACATACGTACATATTTATGTATAGAGAAAACGTGTGTGTGTTGCTGCTTGGTGTGTGTGCGCTCGTATACCTGTACGTTTCAGTGTATATATGTGTGTGTGTGTGTTTCTCCTGTGTGGTGGTGTTGTCTATGGCTGTGCGTGTGTGTGCGCTTGTGTAAGCTGCGTGCGTTTGTATATGTGCGGCTGAAAATGGAAATTATATAAAACCCCTATATACAGATGTATTATATATACATATATATGCGTGTATGTATAATCGTTAAGCAGCAGAAATCATGCGGTATCTAAAATATGTTTTAAAACACACAATTCATCAAAGCCACGATCAATTACAAGCAAAACCCCAACAAATTATTTAACAATTATTTTCTGGAACATCTACGTCAACGTCACGTTTACCAAATCAATAAAGCCATGGTGTGCTGGCCAAATTAAAACTGGCGTATATGTAATTAAACGCAAAATTTAGCAGTTAAAGATATTTCCAATCCACCGCAAACAATAAAAAAAAAACAACAAAACCATCAAAACACATGCGGCGCTGCATTCTCTGCTCATCATTACTCACGCACTAGATACTCACATGCCTACATACATACATATAAAAATATATACAAACATACATAGTGTACTTACTACACATTCGCTCAATTCGTAAATATGTACATACGTATGTACATATGTTCATACATATGTACATACACAAAAACAGTACTCATTTTCGCTCTCTCACAAATCAGGAAAAGCTGCAGCCGCCTCCTGATCAAGCAGAGGAAAAAACTACACACACTTTACTCCCTTTTGTTGCTGACTCTTTGATAGCTGTAGATGTTATTGTTGTTGTTGTTGCTGTCGTTTGGGTGGCTATTGGTGGTGGCGCCCCATTTTGCGATAGTCGCGCGCGTGTGTGTGTGTGTGTCTGGTACAACAACCACCAAAGGCAAAGCTCTTTGCAACGACGGCTTCCTTTTGTCTAGTTGGAAATGGCAGCCGCCGTTGACGTTGTCGTTTGCCGTTGAAAAACCTTAACCGGAACTTTAGCAGCAGCAGCAAGAACAACAACAACAACAACGTGAATCGCAGGCAGGCAGCGACTTTTTCAATATGGCTTCCCTTTAACTTGTTGTTAATTTCATCACAAAATGGCAAAAATAAACACATTAAAATTAACTGGTTGCATAGAGTGAGCATTTATAACAATATTTTAAATACGTCACTTCATTCGAAAAATTTACTAATTGTAAAATTACAAAATAGATGTTTTGAAAACGAACACTAAATCGCAATTAATGCAAGCTTTTAAACGTTTAACAAAAAAGTCTAAACTAAAAGCGTAATTTGCTAAGAATGGTCCTGCGGCGCAGCAATTAATGTGTATTGCAATGATTGAACGTTATTGCATAAATAAATTGAATTCAAATGTACTAACAAATCTACATACAAATACATAAATATGTGCATATATTGGTAGTTGTTACCAGTGGTCGCTATGTTATACATACACATAGTCGATGGAACCCTTGCTCACCCCCTGTTCTTGTGTGTGTGTGTCTGTGTGTGTGCTCCACTTTTTTATGCAACATAAAATATTTGCTGCGACTTGTTTTGCCTGCGCTGTTGCATGATGTCGCGACAGTAAGGCCCAAAACCCTTCCCTTTTTTTGCTCGAGTCCGCCATTTGCTGAATTTTAATTGAAAGCTAAAGCTTATGAAAATAAAAAGCTGTAAACCAAGTTTGTGGCATATGCACAAAGTGAAAATTGAATGCCTCCATTTGTTACTGCAAGTGTGTGTGCAATTGACAATTAAAAACCATATTTAAAATAAGTTCTGTAAGCTGGCACCACCGCATCAGACTCCCACTCATCTAATCAATCTCGTCATCGTCATACCGAGCTGCACGCCACAGGAAAGTCACCGCCCCGCTTTAGCTGTTCTTTTGATCACGTCTTACTTGTTACCTCTCAGTGCGCACGATTCTGTGTGTATGTGTGTACTACGCATGTGTATTATTTATATTTGTTTTTGCTACACTCGCCACTGAATAAAGTTTTTATTTGCTGGCTTGTCACTTGCATTTTCGAGCTGGTTGGGGCTGTAGTCCTAGGACTTTGAGCCAGCGACTGCACTTGACAAAAAAATGAATGTATTTATTTAAATATGTATGTGTGTACAATCAATTTTATCAACACGAGACAGCACTGACTGATAATGTATTGAAAAGTAAGCGGAGCAGCAGCAGCAGCGCGCACAATGAACCGTCTCATCGCTGCCTATAATACCACCAATCAACAACAAAAACAACTAACCACTTTAGGGAACTGCAAAACAGGCAAGCAAAAACATGACATATACATTCACATACTTACATTCTATCTAGATACACATATTGATGTGTAAGTCCGCTTTTTATGACTGCGTTGTCAATGCAACCCCCACACGCATACATACGCTCTCACATAAATCTATAAATGCCGTTTACTTATTTGTTTACCTGCCGCGCCGCCATTAAGAACCACTGAGTACGACATACATACATACAAATGCTTCTTTATATATACATACATATATGCATGTGTGTATGCGTGAACCTCAGCCAGTGTTGCTCTATTGAAATCAATTTTCAGGACTAGTCTACTCTCAGCTGCGCTGAATTTACTGAAAATTTGTTTAAAACCGAAAATGGCCAAAACAAATAATGAAACAAAAGCAGAATTAATAACTGTGCTTTATAAGTAGGTAGAGCTTACATTTGTGTGTAATTACCGTTTCCTAGTCTGTTAGTATAATATAGAAAAGCAGAAAGCAGTGAGGAAAACACGAAGGTGTCTTGCATTTTGAGCGTGTTACACATTTTAGTGGAGCATAATCAACTAACTAATCGAACCCACCAATAAAACGCGAACTCTTTCTATTCACAGAGCTGAACGCAGTGTCCAAGAGCAAACAAAAGTGTGAACTTAGAAGGGAAATCAACAAACAGCACAATATGTCTGCCAAATTGGAGGCGGACACATCAACCGCCAATATTGGGGCAAGCAGTGGAGCGGCAGCTACCACCAATGGCAACACAACGCCTGCGCGACGGCTGCGCACCCGCAACTCCACCGGCAGCGGTAGCGAGAGCACCAAAAAGAATCACAGCAGCATTACAGTAGCTGCCACCAACAATTATCATAGCGACAATGCAACAGCCAGCGATGGAGCAGCTCCACCAGCAACAGCAGCTGCTGCAGGGTCAACCGTGGAGCGGCCGATGCCCAGCGTACCCATGAATCATGCGAGCAGCAGCGTCTCGGCATCCAAAAAATATCACAACAGCTGTCCACATCCCACGCCCAGCGTTCACAAGAAACCGTTGCATACACAACCGCACAGCACCAATAAATTCGATCAGGGCAAGAATGAGGAGTTCCATTTCGATACGCCACCTGAATGTCCAATTTTTCGACCAACAGCCGAGGAGTTTAAGAATCCACTCGCTTATATCAGTAAGATACGATCCATCGCCGAGAAATGTGGCATCGCAAAGATATTACCGCCGGAAAAATGGTCGCCTCCATTTGCCGTCGACGTTGACAAGTTGCGTTTTGTGCCGCGCGTTCAGCGGTTGAACGAACTGGAGGCGAAGACACGAGTCAAGCTCAATTTTCTTGATCAAATCGCAAAGTTTTGGGAGCTGCAGGGTGCCTCATTAAAGATACCCATGGTGGAGCGTAAAGCACTGGACTTGTATACGCTGCATCGCATTGTGCAGGAGGAGGGTGGCATGGAGCAGACTACTAAAGATCGCAAATGGGCTAAGGTGGCTAATCGTATGCAATATCCGTCAAGCAAGAGTGTTGGCGCCACCCTAAAGGCGCACTATGAACGCATACTGCATCCCTTTGAGGTGTATACTTCGGGCAAGGTTTTGGGCGCTGCAGCAGCGGCAGCAGCCACTGCTCATGCCACGCCCGTCAAACTGGAGGATGGTGGTACCGATTACAAGACACACGAGATACCCACACGTCAGCAAATAGCACCTCCTAATGAGAATAATACGCGTCGTTCGAAACGCTTCGGCAACTCTACCGCTAGCTGTGGTCTGACTGGCGTCAAGAGTGAGACTGGCAGTGGCAATTCAACCACTGTTGGTGGAGTAGTTATCAAAACTGAAACAAAAGAGGATTTCAAACGAGACCTACTGAGCAGCTTCAATGCTGTTCATGCAACTCCAGGCGCCACTGCCGGCGTCAACAATACGGGCAATTCAACAGCAGCCCCCAACACACGCGCCACCCAGAAGAAGGCCAACGAGCCACAGCAGCTGATTGACCCACTCATGAAGTACATATGTCACATATGCAATCGGGGAGATGTCGAGGAGTCCATGCTCTTGTGCGATGGCTGCGATGATAGCTATCACACCTTCTGTCTGCTGCCTCCACTCACGAGCATACCCAAAGGTAAGTTACAAACGCAAACTAGATATTAAAAGCTTGGCTTTAACATTGTTTGGTATGTGTCGGATAGTGTAAACTATATACATCGTGCTCCACATTTATACATTACTTATCAGTAATTAGGTCGTATTTATTATTATCTATATAAAGCTAAAAATAGATTCGCGATTTCAAGTACATTTTTTTTCCGGTGCTATGTAATATAGAGAATACTTTAATCGCTTCCATAATAATCTTTGTAGGAAATCGTATGTGTTTATTAGAAAATTAGCTTTATTACAGGTAAAGCATTTCAGGTGTAACTTTATCGTCCGGATTGGAATATTCTTTAGCTATTATATGAACGATCAGAACGAAATGCTAACGCGTAAGAACCTTTATGTTCCAAATGATGATCTTATTACGAAATCCAAAGTGTTGTTAATTGAAAATACCTGAATCTAATATAATATTTTATTAGTTGGTTGTGACTTACCATATTTTAGAGTGAAAATTGGACTATATCTAAATAACGATATATTCTCTGCTAAGCTGTCTAAGCTGTTCGGAATGTAATTTTGACACGAATTGATATAACGTTGTCCGATCGATATCTTTGGAACTATAGCAACAATCGCATTATTTGGACTTTAGATTAAAGAGCTAGTTAAAATATCATCGAACTTCACTATAGTTATATTTGTTCTTCTTTCGCCTTCTAGGTGAGTGGCTTTGTCCGCGTTGCGTTGTGGAGGAGGTGAGCAAGCCTCAAGAAGCCTTTGGTTTCGAGCAGGCTGAGCGCGAATATACGTTGCAACAATTTGGCCAAATGGCCGATCAATTTAAGCAAGAGTACTTCCGTAAACCCGTGCATCTGGTGGCCACGGAACTCGTAGAGCGCGAATTCTGGCGCATCGTCTCGTCAATTGATGAGGATGTAACCGTGGAGTATGGCGCCGATTTGCATACGATGGATCACGGCTCTGGTTTTCCAACAAAAAGCTCACTCTATTTGCTTCCCGGCGATCAGGAGTATGCCGAGTCTAGCTGGAATCTGAATAATTTGCCGCTGCTGGAGGACTCCATATTGGGTCACATTAATGCCGATATTAGTGGCATGAACGCGCCGTGGATGTATGTGGGCATGTGCTTTGCTGCCTTCTGCTGGCACAATGAGGATCACTGGAGCTATTCGATTAACTATTTGCATTGGGGTGAGCCAAAAACTTGGTATGGTGTGCCCGGCTCTCGTGCCGAGCAGTTCGAGGAGACTATGAAGCGGGCAGCTCCCGAATTATTTGCCTCGCAGCCAGACTTGCTGCATCAACTCGTCACGATCATGAATCCGAACATATTAATGAACAATGGAGTGCCGGTCTATCGCACCGATCAGCATGCCGGAGAGTTTGTCATCACCTTTCCGCGCGCCTACCATGCCGGCTTCAATCAGGGCTATAATTTTGCCGAGGCCGTCAATTTCGCACCTGCTGACTGGCTGAAAATGGGACGCGAGTGTGTCAATCACTATTCGATGCTGCGTCGTTTCTGCGTTTTCTCACACGACGAGCTCGTCTGTAAGATGGCCTTGGAGCCAGCAAAGCTGACATTTGGCATTGCCACAGCCTGCTACATTGACATGGCCGAGATGGTGGATACGGAGAAAAAACTGCGCAAATCTTTGCTTGAATGGGGCGTGACACGGGCCGAACGACGCGCCTTCGAGCTTGTTAGCGATGATGAGCGCCATTGCCAGGAATGCAACACCACCTGCTTCCTGTCCGCTGTCGCCTGCGAGTGCAATGACAAGGTCATAGTCTGTCTCCGTCACTACACCGTGCTATGTGGCTGTGCGCCTGAGAAGCACACGCTTATCTATCGCTACACGCTGGACGAAATGCCGCTTATGTTGCAAAAGTTGAAGGTGAAGGCTCATAGCTTTGAGCGTTGGCTTTCACGTTGCCGTGACATTGTCGATGCACAAACACCGACTTCGGTTACGCTCTCTGAGTTGCAGGAGCTGTGCAAAGAGGCCGAGACCAAGAAGTTTCCGTCATCGCTGCTTATCGATCGTTTAAATGCGGCAGCTATTGAGGCAGAGAAATGTGTTACCGTCATACAGCAGTTGGGCATCAATAAGGTAAGATACAAAGCGTTGCTTAAGTCAGACTTGCTTGCTTGAGATGCATTTTCGAAAAGTCCTCTTAAACAATTAATATATCAGTCTTTTAGATTTGATGGTTTCCTAGGCTTTCAAATACTGATAAATGTTTATAAATAAATCAACTTATCAAGTAAAGATCTTATTTTTCCCCATCGAAAACTCTTCTAATAAATAATAAATCTCCATAATAAATAATATATCAGTCTTCTAGATTTGATGGTTTTCTGGGCTATCAAATACTGATAAATGTTTATAAATAAATCAACTTATCAAGTAAAGATCTTATTTTTCCCTATCGAAAACTCTTTTTAATAAATAATAAATCTCCATAATAAATAATATATCAGTCTTCTAGATTTGATGGTTTTCTAGGCTTTCAAATACTGATAAATGTTTATAAATAAATCAACTTATCAAGTAAAGATCTTATTTTTCCCTATCTTAATCTTTAAATAAAATATTAAAGACCCCTTCATTTAGAAGAAGAAATCAAGCATCCATGGCTATGAAACTTTAAGTCTCATTACCATTTATGGTCGCTTACTAACCGCAATTGCTCTCTATATTTTTATTAGGTACGCACACGCTCCGATCACAACCAGGAGGCTGCTCAATACAAGCTCACCATGGAGGAGCTGGAATTGTTTGTGCAGGAGATCGACAACCTGTGCTGCATCATCGACGAGGGCACTTCTGTGCGGGAGCTTCTGGTGTTGGGCAAACAGTTTGTGGAGAGAGCGGAGGCACAATTGCAATTATCATTGGAAGCGCTGGAGGAGAATGAGCTGGAGACGCTGATCAATGAGGGCAGCTCATTGCGCATTGAACTCCAACAGCTGGATATGTTGAATAAACGTTTAAAGCAATGCAAGTGGTACAAACGCTCGCAGGGATTACGCGAGACGAGCTCCAAGTTAACGTACAACGATGTGAAGGCACTGCTGAATACCGCCGCTGCCGATCTTGATCCCACAGATCCGTTTATTGACAAGGAGATGCGTAAGCTGCAGCAAATTGGCGCCGCTATCGAGGCCTGGGAATCACAGGCAGCGAAATTCTTCCGTCGTCACACACAACAACATGAGCTGGTAGAGATCGATCAGTTCCTGAAGACAGCTGCGGACATAAATGGGCAGGTGCCGTCGCACGGCCTGCTTAAGGATGCGCTTCGAAAGGCACGGGAATGGTTACGTTCTGTGGAGCAACTGCAACAGAATAATCATGTGACCTATTGCCACACTTTAGAAACGATGATCGAGCGTGGCCTGAACATACCCATACAGTTGGAGGAGCTGAGTCGAATGCAGGGACATCTGAATAGCGCCCACCAGTGGAAGGATAATACGGCGCGCGCGTTCCTTAAGAAGGGCACATTTTATACACTGCTCGAGGTGCTTATGCCACGGGCTGAAGCCATTAACATTGATTCGGATCTCAAGCCACGTTTCCAAGATGATTTCCTGAAAGAGAAAAATCCAGCGGAAATTGTAGCTTCCTTCAAACACGCGGAGGAGAAGGAGCTGCGCGATATGCGCGAGCTGCGACGTGAGAATATGGCCAAGAATTCGCTGCGTGATGTTTTCTGTTTATGCAAGGCCGAATTCCGTGGACTCATGCACAATTGTCAGCTGTGCCGCGATTGGTTCCATGAGGACTGCGTACCGCCCCCGTCAACGTCAGTGCACAACAACAATAACAATGGAGCGTTTAATGGCGGTACGGCAGCAGGCTCCTCCTCCACGCGCTCTAAATGGCTCTGCCCCTCCTGCGTGCGCTCCAAACGTCCGCGTCTAGAGACGATTTTACCGCTGCTGGTGCAGTTGCAACAACTGCCCATCCGCCTGCCCGAAGACGAGGCGCTACGCTGTCTCGCCGAGCGCGCCATGAATTGGCAAGATCGGGCACGAAAAGCTTTGACCAGTCCCGATGTCAGCGCTGCACTCGAAGCCATCATCGCACATCAGCAACAACTACAGGAAAAGCGCAGAACGGTCGGCCCTGGCTCACTTGGCGACATCAACAGTCCGCGCAAATCGCGTCGTTCAAGTCAACGTGGTGGCAGCAAGGCGCGTTCCGACTCAGATGCGGCCATCGATGATGATGATGACGACGATGATGATGTTGGTCGATTGCGTATTGTCGAAGATGGCTTTAGCAACGACGAGGATGAGCAACAGCTGTCCCGCGTGCGCATCCCGGCTGATGATGTGACGGCCACTGTGGATTTGCTGAAGCTGCTGTCTGACAGTGAAATTGAGAACCTGCTGGATCTAATGATGGAGGGAGATCTGCTAGAAGTGTCTCTAGATGAAACGCACGAGCTGTGGCGCATTTTGGAGACCATGCCGCCCACTATGCTGCAAGCACAAGCTATGGCGCGCGTGGCACAGCACCTGCAACGTCAGCGACAACAGCAGCAACAACAATTAACAGCGCCCACGTCCAGCATAAATTCGGGCGCCGAAGATTCCAATGACAGCCTCCTTGTTCAGAGCAGTCCGAATAGTGGTGGCAACAGCAAGACGAGCAAGAAACGGCGCTCCAACGATGCCACCGGAAATTGTCCAGTGCCGCGCAAAAAGAACAACACGCCCAAGCAGACAGCTAAAAAGCAAACACGCAAAAGTGAGAGCAAGGCGCAGCCGGGAACTGCAGCTGGTGCTGCAGCAACAACAACCGATGCGGATGTGGAAAACAAACAGGCGAATGGTGGCAACACGACCACAGCAGTAGCAACAACGCCAGGCGGCATTAACAACAATAGCAACAGCAGTGCGCCCGGCTCTGCTCAGAAGAAACGCAAACGCACCTCAACAAATAATAACAACAATAATAATACAAATGCCAGTGGCCAGGGCAATCCAAATGCAGGCACTAATAGCAACAGCAACAACAACAGCAATGCCGGCGGTGGTGGGGGCGGTGTTGGTGGTCAGAAGAAGCACGCGCAACGCACACAACAAGCCGCCCAGGAGGATGATGAGGAGGAATGCCGTGCTGAAAATTGCCACAAGCCGACAGGACGCGAGGTCGATTGGGTACAGTGCGATGGCGGCTGCAACGAATGGTTTCACATGTACTGTGTCGGTCTGAACCGGAGCCAGATTAAGGCGGATGACGATTATATTTGCATACGCTGCACCAAGACCGTCACCGTGGTGGCGAGCAGCAGTTTGGCAAACACACTGAGCAGCACAGCCACGCCATCAAAGCAGCGAGCAACGCAATCGGCGCGATAAATGTAAAATATCACATGCAAACCTATTTAATTTGTATGTCTTGTTTTGTTCTTCGATTTCGATTAACACATCAGCGATATCGATAATTACAGCAGCCTTTTTGTGTTTACTGTTAGCGCGCGTACACAATATTCGTTACAATTCGTATGTATGTAGATGTGTATGTGTACACACTTGCAGGCACATGCGATGTCACCCTAACGGTATTTACTATGTTTAGTAAAGTCACTTTAAATTGAAAAGTTTTGTAGTGCATAAATATGTATGTATGTACTTCTAATTATCGCTATTTAGTACGTCTTATAAAACGTATTTGAAATTGCAAAATGCAACAAAAAAAAAAAACAAACAACATAAAAACTAATAACAAAAAAATGGCAAAATGGAAAATGAAAAACAACAACTTTGTACAAGCAGTAGATGGAAAGCCGGCGTTAGCCAATGAGCACATTTTTCGTTCGTTAAACGTTCTTTTATACATATTACAATTACTATTATTATTACTATTAATCTTTGTTAATTTAATTCACTCTTTGTGTTCGCTTTAAGTTGTACGATGCGCGCCTTTTAAGTTTTTATTATGAGAGAAACTATTCATATTTCTAATGTAAATTTGTGTTTACTTAAAGTGAAGAGCAAACGAGCGTTTTCTTTAAAAAGGAACGAAAAACAAAAAACAGATCGTTAAACAGAAAATCTTCCATTATTTTAATGCATTAATTGGATGCATGACGCGCAGCAAACATTTTTGTATGTTTTCGTTTAGTTTTGCTGATTTTTATTTAAAACAAAAACAAAACCATTTAAAAGAAACAATGATCGATTTAAATTAAATGTAGCATAAAAAACCAAGTTTATTAAAACAAAAAGCCTAGTTTATAAAGTGAATAATTAAAAAATACATACATATACTTGATACATATAAATGCAGCCTAATGCTAAGTTTAAATATAAAAACACAATGAAAAATGTAAAATTTTTAATTTAAATGTAGTAAACTGATTAGAGAACAAGCGTAAGCTACTTGGAAAGGTAAAAAACAAAACAAAAAAAATGCAAAACTTTTCTTATAAAACAAAAAAAAAAACAAACAAAACTACATCAAAAATGCTTAGAATTATTCAAGAAAAAAGAAACACTTTGTAAAATCATTTTTTAATTGTGTATAAAAACGCGGGTCGATTTGTGGCCCAAACAAAAACATAAGCATCTTAAGGGAAAACAAACAATTTTATTTTATTTAAGCTGAGAATGTACGATTCATTTAAATGAACCCCCAAAATCAACTACCTTACGCCCCACAAGTCCCACACAATTATGTAATTCTATTATACATATAAATAAATTATATATAAATAGTATTTAAAAAAAAAAAAACAAATGCCCAATTGCTTTTTCTTTACCTCATTCTTCTGCTGCGTGGTGTTACAAAATGCAAATCCGTTTTAATCCCTCATTTATTCACACAACTCATCAAATGGCACAAAATGTAGAAAGGCGCTGAAAATTGAATGAATGATAAGATTACTGGAAAGACCTTATGTACAATTTTGTTGACTTGCCGGCTATCAACGATAAACATATTTTTTTCTGAAGTTCTACTATGCGCCATAGCAGGTGTCATCGGCCAACTGGGACTTCCTACTATATTCAGGTATGACTATTTTTATTAGGGGGTATGTGAACGCGTCAAAACAGGTGGCCTGCACACCGACCTAATTGAAGAAATGCGATAAGCTGCTAAACACTTAAGACTTGCTAATGGAAATATATCTGTAGTTAGCGCTGTGCAATTTTATTAATATTATTAAATTAAAAAGAATGTTATATGCACATAATTTCAAACCACTATTGAAAGTATACGAATCTAAGAATGTTTTATTCTGTTTAACACACTCTCCGCTTTACTATAAATGGCTTCCTATAGCTGTGATCTGCCCTTCTTCCAGTTATTGAGATGATCCTGAGATCCTCGTGATTAGGAATCTAATTGGGGGCAACAAAAAGCAGACACTTTCCATATTTTGAAATTACCTTAGGGCCTATTAGATCGGCCACTCGCAACGGAAAATATATACTTTATATATATGCAAACAAACATATAGCCATTAGGTTATGTGATTTGTCATTTGTCGTGCCCATCAAGTAGCACTTGACGTGCGGCATGCAATAATCAAGGCCCACAAACAATCGTCTCACGTGTTATATTTCATTGTTTTTTCATTTTGTGTGTTTATTGCAGTACAATACGTAACAGTTTTCCAATTTGTTGTGCTTTTTTTTAACGCAGACGTCTCAGTGCAGTGGGTTGCTGGTAAGATTGCAATTTACCGGACTCTTGTAGAAAAATAATATTTAGTTCGACCAGCTGCATGAGACGGGTGCGCTGAAAACACGACGATGTACGAATTTACAATTTATGCTCGTTTCATATAAATTAGGTTAGACACATACATATTTAGAAAATACTAAACAGCTTAGTACTAGGACACTAGTTTTAAACACGCCTTTCAATCCATGAGGTAATAATAATAGCAATCGTAATAGTGTTTCAAAACAAACTCTCACTTTTCTAGCGGCAATATCAAATACATGCTGGTCAGATGCATTAGCTAGCTAATAATACGTGTATATATATAAAGGATATAGAATATGTTGTTTATAGTTAATCAGCCGTGCGATGCGAGCACTGTGCGGACTGCTTTATCTAATCGCGCGACAGCGAGCTACAGATTAGGCATTAACAGTGAGCTTCAATTGCGTGTGTTTTGGTTTGAAGTTTGGTTGAAGTTGGATGTTGTTGTTGTTGTAACTGATTGACTGGCCCGATTTAAATTATACTCGTGGTAATACGGTAATGAATTTGAAAACACATATAATAGTAGACAACTGAATGGTTATGCCTAAACGTTGAGATTACATAATGCCAAGAAACCAGTAAACAATAGTTGGTAGCAAATAATTTAGGAGGCCAATCCGCGCTGGCGCCTCTTAACACGCGCATACGGCCCCACCGCCGGATCCATTATGAAATCATAGAGCACCCGTGTCCAGCTCGTATGCTGCGGCATTGTGTCGTAGAATTCCGGCGCGATGCGCTTCACCTCGGGCAATCGGGAGCCGGGCACGGCTGGGAAATCGTGGTGTTCATTGTGATAGCCCACATTGAAGGTGATCCAGTTGAGTGGTCCGTAGTAGGAGTATGTTTCGAAGCCTTTGGCGAACATGTAGTGCTCCGAGATGAAGTGCCCGGCAACCGGATGCAGACCCATGGCCAGAATCGATCCCAGCACCAGATACGCCATCGATTTCCAGCTGGTAAAGTAGACAATCGCAGCATTGAAAGCCAGCTGTATGATGGTATTTATGATCTCCAGGCGTGTCGGCGGCTTCGGATTGATGACCAACGGCCGAAAGATGTAGAAAAATGGCTGCAAACACACCCAAATGAATTTCCCGAAAGTTGTATCGAATAGACGCGCCTCCAAAAGCGTCGGTATGTCCGTGTCGATCACCTCGTCGCCCTGGTAACTGCAATAATGGAAATAATACCAACATTTTTTTATAAGTAGTGATAACCAAATTGATTTAATGCTTTGCTTATTTTATATTGAAATTGTGCAGATAATATGAATAATAATGCAAATAATTAGCAAAATACAATACAATACAAAATAAATTATTTGAGTAGACTGTTCAAAATTAAACATTAAATGGTATTATTAAAAAATAATTGCTTTTTCACTAAAACATTTTGAAATTTTTGAAAATTCTGTATTCAAGAACCAGACATTAGTTATCTATAAAATTTTTAAATTATCTATCGACAATTTGTTTGTCTAGTCATGTCATAAAAGTTCAGAAGGCCTCAAGCTATGATTTCCTAAAACTTCCCTCATATTATACAAATTTCATAAATGATTAAATATTGATAACTAGAATAAGTAAATAATTATTATTCAACAAGTTTTAAAAAGTTTCGCCAAGAGCTACAAGTAAGAGATAATACAGGACCTACTCGTTTAAAAAGTCTAGAAAGCTGACAACAATTTGGAAAAGCAATGATAATTTATTTAAAAACATGAAGAAGAAAAATATTTAGTCATTCTTTAGTTCAGTTGTTAACAAAAGCGGAACTGACAAACTCAAAAAGTATGAAATAAACAAATTTTATTCTTGAAAGTGTAAACTATAAGAGGCTTACGAAACTAGCATAGCATCAGAGCTAAGCAGGTTCTACAAAGCACGCAAAAGGGCTGGAGAAGGGCCCCCCATTTCACTAAGGAACAGATGGATTCTACCGACAGTGCTCTCTAATTGCTCATAACAATTATATCTCATTCATCCAGTTAAGGGCTCTCTAATTAAGAGCCAATGGGGTAGATACTAGTTCTTGAAATTGGCGCCTGACACTTAATGGCGCAATCAACAAGACACTTAATTGCCGGTCTCTGCCTGACTGTCATAGCCAACGAAATAGTATACACATGTAGGGTGTACATATGTACAGTAAATTTGATTAGATAAATAGACCTTATCAGAACACCTGGGTCACCATGTCTGGCACTTAGTCAATGGATTAGATTTCAACTGCTTTCCCTTACCATCTGACTCAGCAGCGTCTGTAGTCAAAACAATTCATTTATCAAAGGCCCTAACAATTTGTTAAATTATATAAACACACATCTATAAGTGCTAAAAATTTAATAATAAAAATAACAGAACCCCCATAAAAAATATATTCATTGAACGATAACATTTTACCCACTTAATAGTGCAAAAAGTCTTGCGACTGTGAATCACACCGTCTACATAGAGAAAAAAAGTAGATTACAAAATTTACCCCAAAATCGGGTTTATGTTTCCAAAAATTATTTAAAATGCCTTCGTTTCTACGCAATATTTTGCAGAACGAAGCAAAACTTTGCTGGAAACTATTTTAAGAGCTTCAAATATATTTGGTTAATATATAAGAAGGCATATATACTTTGTTAATATTTAATTTTTATTTAAGAACTGTCCTAGGTTGGACTGATTTCTGATCATTGTCTATATAAGTGATATATTTGTGTGAAAAACAATCACAGAAAGAAATAACTGCCATATTCCGAGTAGTTGGAATTTATTTTTAAATTCATTTTCAGAGTTGGTTTTCATTATCTCTTGCCAATTTTAAACAAATTTGAGTAACAATAAGTAATCCAAGGGTTAAAACAATAAAATAAAAGGGATACTTTCATTAAAAGTAAAAACAAAGTATTGAAATGTTCCTATCGTATATTTTTCTCCTAACACGTGAAAAGCAAACAAGTCGCACGAATGTCTACGTGACCAATGGAAGCAATTTCTCCATGGAAATAAAAACTAATCGAAAAGATTTCCTGTCCATTCAGAGTTTATAAGCCCAGGGGCTGTAGATAACCGCCATTTATAGTTTTAGTAATCTTATCTGCTAAACAATTAATGGCAATTCGATAGCCAAGATGTGGAAAGTACCCAGAACGCCTTGATATATACACATATGTACACACATAGCTAGGGGAAGCAACAAGATAAGCTTTCTTATGAAAGAAAATTGACTCATTTTGTGAAAAATAACGAAGCACAAACTAAAACTGCTGAGACATTCAAAAGATTGCGCCATGTACAGTGTTGTAAAACGAGTGAAGTCGTCGGGTCTAATGGGAAATGTCAATAAAAGAAAAGGCGTGAAAAGCGGTCCCAAATATGATTCTCGAGCGCTGTTGACTACGCCCCAATAATAAATAATACAAGCGCACATTTTACAAACATATGAACATACTTATATATAAACATACAAATGTACATACGTACATATGTACTTTTTGTTGCCGGCATAAAGCAGCAATTGTTTGGCTGTGTGTGTGCTTGTAAGGTCATGGCGTCATCGAAATCAACAACAATGTAAAGCGTACTAAACAAGCTCACCCACACTGGCACCACAACTTACCGATGATGTTCCAGGTGGTATTTGCGAAAGGATATGGACATGGGCAATCCAATCGGCAAATTGCAGATGAAACCCAGGATGCGATTGTGCATGGGCCTGCTGTGTCCAAAGGCCAAATTGTGAGAGATCTCGTGCACGGCCAACATAAGCGAGTGATTAATCACGCCGCCGAAGCAGTAGGCGGCCACCAATAGGTATGTCCATGAAAGATGCTTCACAAGGACACACATCAGTATTTGGATGAGCACCATGGTGCCGGCTACCCATTTGAAGTTCGGATCATAGCCGAACAGTTTCTTAATTTGCGGATATTTCTCGAGTATGATTTTCCGGCGCGACGCGTGCGGCTCTTCGGTATAAACCCACTCAAAATCGGTGCGCGAGACTTTTTGGCCCATGCTTCTGATTATTGTATTTGTGGGTGTGCGCGGGTGATTGCGAGTAGAATCTTAATTAACTTTTTGACGGCTGCGCTGCTGATTGGTCTTTACGACAATTCAAAGCGCTGACATTATTGTCGAATGATTTAATAAACCTTTATCATAAATGTGTATTCGTAGAGCACCGCGCGATAACTAAATTAATGAACTAAACGAAGCGGCTGGCATATTATCGTGAATCACGAACGTAGCGAACAAGTCTGTTAGGGTTGTCATGACATTGTCTGGAAACAGCTGTTTTAATAACTACTCATAACTTGCGAGGCATCGATACTTTTGATAGGCTCTTTTCAAAATTGCCAGTCTTCCGTTAACTATGTTCGAATGCGATTCGTGTTTTGCACGTTTTCGACTTCTCTGGGAATCAAGAACAGATCGCAGGAAAACAAACGTCTCTGTCTTGTTTTTGTGAAGGCTGTATTCACCGGTTAAGTGCGGTTTAAGAAATCAGCACAAGAATCAAGGAATCTTGGCTAGTTACATGTTGGCTGACACTAAAAGTGCGTAACACAGCTGAATCCTTTGAGGATTCAAATTGAAATTAACATTATATGGCCTGTCACTAATTATTAATAGCTCATGTAAGTTCAGCGTGTTCGCAGCACAGTTTAAGTGCAAAAGATTTCTCCATATAGACTATACACAATCGTTGTTTACAATAAATAAATCGTTTTCAACCAAAATTGTTAATAGCCAATATAACCGGAACCTATTCGTAGTACAATTTAAGTGCAACAGAAAGATAAGAACGGTACACAATTGTTGTTCGCCATTTTATACAATTTCTTATACTTGTTATCAGTAATTGTAGTACATTATGAAAATTCTGTAATTCAAATAATTTAATTAAGATTATGTTTAAAAAACAAACGCATTGTGTGTTAGGCACCACGCTGTTACTGCTCTTGCAGCAGCTGCCGATGATGGTTGTTTGACTAAATAGTTGTCTCTGTTTCTGCCAATTAAAGGCTGTTCTGACTCCTTTTGCCGGCATGTTGCTCTTCAAACGAAGTCTTAAACGATGTTGGTGGCTGGTGACGCTAGTAAATGGTGTTTAAAACTGGCTGACTGACTAATTGATGACCTAAGTGTGTGTGTGTGTGTAATTGATAGGTAATTAGGTGTGCTACCGAAGCTGCTCAGCTGTTATTTGTTTATGTGTACGTGTGTGTGTGTAAATGTATGCGCGTTCTTTTTTAAATATATTTAAACATAAAATATTGTGTATATATATTTTTTTTGTATTGGTTTTATATATTTTTATCAATAATTCTAGAAAAAGCTAAAACAATGTTGTTGCTGGCTTACTGCAAAAATTGAATGGTAGATGGTATTTTGCGGTAATAGTTTTGTTTTAGCAAATTGTTTCTTTCTCTTTAGATAGTTGTTGAATGCAAAATAATTTGTTGCTGTTATTGTTGCTTGTTGACGACGTAGTATTTGTTGACGCACAGCTTGTAGAGGGCGCGTTGACGACAGTTGTTGTTGCCGTTGGATGATGTTTATACATATATTTTCCTACTCCCGCTGCGATGTTTAGTTGTTGTTTTTGCCTTTTGCTGTCTCTGTTGAATTTTATGATCTTTCTGAATAAATATTTAACGTGAATTTGTTTTCTTGTATTTTAATCGCTCGTTACTTTTGCAAAATCTTGCCTTTGCGCTCACTCACTATTTCTTTTTTTTTTTTTTGCTCAACAAAATTATTTAAATCAAATCGGCAATATTAGCAGGCATTTCATCAATAGTAGTATGATAGAATTGTTCAATATCCTTGAGGATTCGTCGATCATCATCTGTAATGAAGTTAATCGCCACACCCTTGCGACCGAAACGACCACCGCGACCGATTCTGCAAAGAGAATGAAAATAGCGTGATTACAATGGGAATGGAGCGTAAGCAAGTTGTGGGCCTTACCTATGAATGTAGTTCTCCCGGTTGGAAGGCAAATCATAGTTAATAACCAAAGACACCTGCTGCACATCAATACCACGCGCCAATAAATCAGTTGTGATCAATACACGGGAAGAGCCCGAACGAAATTGTTTCATGATAACCTCACGGTCGCGCTGCTCCATGTCGCCGTGCATGGCCGAGACGGTGAAATTGTGGTTGGTCATCTCCTGGGTGAGCTGATCCACCTGGAGAATTGTGAACAGTATAGTTATATATATGTTTACAGTATGTTTCTCTTATAGAATATACACGATTATTCCTAAACGCAACTTCAGTCATATAAACAAAGAAATCAAATGTTTAGACACTTATAGCTGCTCTCTAAAGCAAATATTTAATTCATAACTGGTCTGTTTTCCTGCTATAAAGCTTTCGCTATACCACCAATCCCCCACTCACCTTGCGACGGGTGTTGCAGAAAATCACCGACTGGGTGATGGAGAGCGTATCGTACAGATCGCACAACGTGCCCAACTTCCAGTTCTCCTGCTTGACGTTCACATAGAACTGCTTGATACCCTCAAGGGTAAGCTCCTCCTTCTTAACCAGAATGCTCACGGGCTCACGCATAAAACAACGGCTAACTTCCAGCACATCTGGTGGCATTGTAGCGGACAGCAAAATCACCTGTACATCAGGGGGCAACATCTTGAATACGTCCTGGATTTGATCTTTGAAACCGCGAGACAACATCTCATCGGCCTCGTCCAGCACGAACAGCTTGATGTTTTGCGTACGCAACACCTTGCGATTGATCATGTCATACACACGACCAGGTGTGCCGACCACCACATGGCAACCGGACTCCAGATTGCGTGCATCCTCGCGCACGTTAGTGCCACCGATGCAGGCATGCGAATGCACCTTCATATACTCGCCTAAGGCCATGACAACGCGTTGGATTTGCGTGGCCAATTCGCGAGTGGGTGCCAAAATCAATGCCTGACAATCGCGAATGGACGTATCGATTTGCTGAAGGATAGCAATCGAGAAGGTGGCAGTTTTGCCGGTACCTATACGAAGACAAATACATTAAAGAAGAATTAGGATTAACTCAAATTCGGGCTTTAAAACATATTTCTTATATAATATGGGTCCAGGGTGTTATGATAATTATTGATTTTTAAAATCATATTAATATTCAATTATTTTATATCGTGAGTTGAACTGCCAGCCGTTGAGGCCTGTTTCTGTTTGTTGGATCAAAAGGCGGTAAAACCATTATTTGGCAACACTGTTAGCAAGAAATGCAGCTGACTTAAAAAGTGGCGCGCAAGCGCTCAAGAGAGCGCCAAAAAAAAAAGAGATGCCAGCAAAAGCGGGCCTGTGAGTCACCGACACAATTTGTCACTTTCACGTTAAGCCAGAGTTAGGAAGAGGTATTTTATATTATATGCACATAACATGAATATCACTCACCCGATTGCGCCTGGGCAATGACATCGCGGCCCTTAACGCAAGGAATGATGGCGCGCTGTTGAATGGCGGACGGCTTCTCGAAACCATAACCGTAGATGCCGCGCAAGAGCTCCTCACGCAAATTCATGTCATCGAAATTGTCATAGACCTCATGCCAGGTCGATTCGATGACACCCTCAGGGTCCATGCCAGCGGGTCCTTCATGAGCTATTTCAGTTCGATCATCCCTGCGTGCGTTTGTGTGTGCGTGCAAAGAAAACGAGAATGAATAAAGACAATATAAGGAAATGAGCAAAAATTAAGTCCATTTTTCCTGTTACTGCCTGTCCGCTCGACTTTTTCTTATTTTTTTTGGTTAGGGCGAATCTGCGCTTGGCAACCAAAAACCAGCCCAACGTATGACGAAAAAGTGGCGTTGGCGACCGCCACATTACTCACATTATCAACAATAAAAAATTGACTAGTTGAACAATTTATATACTGAATTTCGACGGTTTGTGCACCGTATGTTTGTAACAATTTTCTGTATTGTGTGTGTGTTTTTTCTTTCGAATTCTTAAAAAGTATTAACGAAAAATTTTAAAGGTTTTTTTCCAGCTTTCTGTTCTACAAAAAACACAGTGCACAAACGTGTTTTATTTGTTGTGCGTGCTACTCTGCGGTATTTTCACGTATAAATGCGAATATGAGTTTTTGACGACCGCTAGGCGGCCTTTGACGTCGCCCATGAACGTTTGTCAGTGCGAGTACACGATGTATGTGTGTAAGAAAGAGAGCACTATATATGTCAATGTCGGTGGTTGTTGTGGATGTGTGAGCAGACAAAAGCTACCACTTTTTTCCCCTTGAGAGGAACAGAATGCAGTGTTGCATGTGAGTAGTAGGAAATAGTTGCAATAAGTAGTAGACAAAAAGGCAGTAAAACTGCTACGAAAACTATAAAGCAACATGGGGAATATATTTAAGGCGTATGTAAAATGCCGCTTGTATTGCACACAAGAGAGCGCGAGAGAACGCACACGGTAGAGTCCAGTGTCCAACCACCAAGTGTTGGATCACACATATTTTACTCGGAATTGTGGAAATTCGTGGAAGACCAAACATTTTTTTGATGCGGTCTGCGATTTTAGTGAGATCTCCATCTACCGAACACTGTCTATTTCATTTTGATTATTACGTCCAGTCAGCGGTTATGAGTCAATCGGTTTGATTGTGTTGGTGGTGAGAGAACGTATATTTATTTTTGCAACGCGTATGGAATGCATTGTTGTTGCGTCGTAGGTCAAATGGCACTTCAAGGCTACAAAACATATAGTTTTGAATCTAAATGCTGCCATATTTCCACTTAATTTTTATTACGCCTCCAGAAAGTATTAAATATTTGCCAACCATCATCTCTATTGTGCTCACTGTCGTTCTCTCTCTCACACCCGCTCGTACGCGCTCTCCTGCTTTCATCGTCGTATTAAAGTTCTTTCTTTATGTGTTTCACACAACTTGGACCGTCTTAAATTTTCAACTGCTATTTTGGGCACTACTTTTCACTTAAACCTGCTTCATGTAGCATCTCATTTCCAGCAAATATTCTTGTAATTCTATTTTTCACGTTTTGTGTGGTTTATACCGCAATTATACTAACATTTTCTTCAAAATTATTTGGCACTTGGCACTTTACACGTGCTGCTGATTTGTAGAAACCAAGCGAAAGGCCATCTTGCTAGAGACGAGCGATTTGGACGTATCTGCGACTTTGTCACCAGTATGTGTATCCAAGTCACAGGAGTGATCAAATTGTAGAAGGACCGGTGCAAATTTGAACATGCGACAAGCCATTTTTTTGTGGATATTATAGTACATTAGTGTTATTAAAGTAATTACAATTTGATGAAATTGACTTTAGGAACACTTAAATAAACTACACTTAAAGTTATCGCTAAGTAGCAATCGATAGCATTCTTTCATAGCCTTAGGAATGGGAGATGTAAGGAAATCATCGATGATGCTATAGATGTTAAGAGACCGCTGCACTTGAATTTTCAAAAACAACTTAATTATATTTCCAGAGCTGTCTTTGTTTACCAAATGTAACCAAAATGTATTAATTAATTAATCATTATTGTATAGATTGTTAATGATAATGAGTCGCTAATATAAAAACTTATGCGGTAAGATAATTTGAACATTTTTCTATTGCAATCTGTATCCACTGCTCCTTTCAGTATTTTAGTATTGCTGTTAGGTGTATATTAATAATACATCCGTATATATTCGTTAAATAATGTTCAGCTGGTCTGCGACATTATCCCTTATGTTTTAATATATATTTATCGCAGCTGCGACTTGTACAACGAAATAATCGTGTTAAGGTCACAAATGCGTAAATATCGCTCATCTCTATGAGTTTTTCTTAGTACGATTTCGTCGGCGCAGCAGCGTGAGCGTGTATAGACTGTGAGTTGGTTTCAAAATTAACGAACGCTGTTTTTATTGTACATATAAATTGTTTAGTACCTAAAGCAGGTATATCATTGCAAAAAGTGTTTAAATAGGTATATTAAAGAGAATAAAATATAAAGATTTCGCTGCCCACTACATATACATGCACACACACGCGTGTGGGCAACGCATTTTCGCCGACGGCGTTGGCTGCGCTCGTATTAGTGTGTGCGTGTGTGTGTATATGAGTGCAAAAAGAAGTAGGCAAAAAAGTTCAGCAGCCGGTCGCTGTTGTCGCCTTCACAAAAATGTCAGCGCTTGCATTTCGTAAAAATTAAAATTGATCATAAATTTTTGCTTCCATCGAGAACAGTAGAATATCTAGATATTTATACATTTTTGTCGTATATGTATTCATTAAAATTATAAGGTCTATTTTTAATTTATGACCGTCAGTTACTCGACCGGCCAAGAAAGCACCGAAAGGCCGATTCATAACACATACACAGACGTATACAATGCGGCGTTGAGTCATCGCCTGCTCTCACTCACTCATTTGCATTGTGTGGTGGTCGTTTAGTAACGGCCATATATGCCGTTTCCTTCGCACTTGCAGATACCTTCCAGCGCACAGTTTTTGGCGTTGCACTCGTCAACAAATGAGTGAGTAAGTGGGTGAGTGACTCATGAGCGCGCGCACTCTGAGCCGTTTTCAGTTTTCTCCACCAGTTTTCCTTGCTTGGAGCATACATTTTTTTTGCATTCGTTTCATTCGTTTTTGTAATTTTGAGCACGTCGGACGTGGAGCTGCGAACGGTTCCTTTTATCTGGTCGGTGTGTGTGCTGCTGCGCTTGGCTGTGTTATAGTGTGTGTATGTGTGAGTTTCTGAAAACTAAAATTAAATCTTTTAGTGCAAAGTATGCGCTTCCTCAAAGTTAAAAAAATCCATTTCAATTTATTATCACAAGAGTAGAAATACGAAAAAACTGAAGATGCAAACCGAAGCGACTTATTATAATAAAAGAGTAGAAATACATAGTTTAAAAGCACACGGTTTTTAATAAAACAACATTCGTGGGATTTTTAAACCAAAATTAGATTTTGCCAATCCATCGCACAGTTCAATAATCGCCATTTCTCTACCTCTTTCTTTTCCCTCTCGTTGCAGTTTAAATAAGTTTCCTTAAGAATATACGTAAAAAAATCGTCAACGTTGCGGTTTTCTTTGTCTCTTGCTAAATTTTTGGTGGCGTGTTTTTAAACGGAAAGTGCAGAAAAGTAACGCGAAAACGTGTGAAATCCAGCAACCCACATATATACATATATATAGTTTAACCTCATAACAAATACAACAACAAATCCAACCATGAGCTGGCAAGATTATGTAGATAACCAACTTTTGGCCTCGAATTGCGTGGCTAAGGCCTGCATTGCTGGACACGATGGTAACATTTGGGCGCAGTCTAAGGGATTCGAGGTGAGTACCGGCAGTACATACTGATTAGTGTGTATGTATTTAGTTCGCAGTAAAAGATAAAGCCACTAATTCTGGTCAACTTTTCCGCGATCTGACAATGAAATTTTGCAAGTTCAAGGGTGTGACCAACAACAATGCTCTGCTGCTGCTGCTGTCGCTACGTCGTCACCGCCGTCTGGTTTACACAAACACACACATATATCAGCAGGGACACAAAGAGGCAGGCACACGTATTCAACGGCTGCGCCGCCATCATTACTTTCATTTCGTTTGATAAAGCAACTCCCACCCTGTTATTGTTTGTGTGTGCACCCCTGTAGCGGTTCTCTCTTTCTCTCACGCAACACTCGCCCACACCCACACTTTCAACTTACACCCAATGAAGTTGACCGTTAGTTAAAAAAATATTAGCTCAGAATGAGCAGTTCCTCTCAAACTTTTTTCTTTTTGCTGGCAATGACCTCCAAACTGTTGCCTTATCAGTGTTTCCGACAAGCCGGCAGATTTTTGTTCTATTTAAATAGCAATTAGCCAGAAACTGACAAATTAATTGTATATAAGTTTTTTTTATAATATATATTATGTCTCTGGCAGCAGCTGCTGTTTAATTATCAAATACCATTAGCTTGATGAGTCACATACAAATGTATGTATATAAGGGTATATAAAAAACTCGCAGCTCCGTATGACTAAGCACGTATATCATATCGGCGTAGTAGGAATAAAACTTGATTCGTCTTGGAATGCAGGTGCTGGCGGCGAAGGTGTTGAATTGCAGCAGCAGTAGCAGCAGCAGTACCGGACAAAAGCTGTAAATATAATTCGATAGATGTTATGTTTATGCCGACACGAAAGCAGGAAAACATTTCAAGATATGTGCCAAACGCCAGCATAAACGGAATGGATATAGTCTATAAACACAAATATCTTGATTTCAAATATGTGGATTGACTGGCTTACTAGTACTAACAGATGTTGAGGTTTTGTTGACGTTTGGCAACACTGGTTCATTGCTTTGATAGCACATATCCCCATGCAACACTCCCTTTTTCAAATGCACACGCGCGTCTCCTTTTTTGTTGTCAACTCGGAGAGAGTGGGAGTGCAAGAGCGGCAATATTTGAGAGATCCACTTCTTGATTTCTCATTTTGTTCGCCCTTTTAGTTGTTGCTTGTTTGTGCGATAACCGGTCGTCTTGTTTGCTTTTATCACCACTTCAACGCTCAATAGTTTGATATGCATTTGTGTGTATGTATGTGTGTTTCATTATTATCTGTGTACATTTCCTCAACGCGCCGGCAAAACTTTTATCAAAAAATACACACATACGTTTGGTACATTGCGAAACGTTTGGAAAGAAAAACTCGAAACTCATAAAATGTATCTCGATGATGACGCGTCATCAGCCAACGAGGCAAAAGCAACTGCAACAACAAACACATGGGCCTCCGTTGGCTCCGCCAAAAAAACATTTTTATGCGCGCCACGTTTTTGCGTTTTTTACGCCTATTTTCTTTTTAATATGTGTGCGTGGAACTTCCTGCTGGATTCAGCTGGTGTCTCATCCTTTGTATAAAAGTATGTGTGTGTGTGTGTGAGCGCAAGTCTGTTGCGCGCCCCATTCATGGCGTTTGAGATTCGAATACGTTTTGCATGGGACACTCCCTTTGTATTGAATTGGAGACCGACCCACGGTTTTAAACTCTTCTTCATTTAATTTCATGATTTAAAAATAGAATGTTTAATACTGTGCTGTGGATTGAAATTCATACACTATTTACATAAATATATAATTTCTCATGAAACGAACTCTTTCATTTGGCAAACTAGTGCGTTCTAATGCAAATATCTATTATCCTAAAGCTTTGCTACTTCAATTGCAATCAGTGGGAATTCCGGCCAATAAAACAACACAAATTTCTCTTTGGTTTTTACAAATGCATGTTAAATAGTTTTTGAAGCTGCGAGTTATTAAAAGATTTCGATAAAGAGGTTTATAGAATTGTCCTAATTCAGTATCATATTTCATCAATATTTCTTCAAACAAATAAAATACATATTCTCGTTTTGATTGCATACATTAAGTCGAGGTTAGTGAACTCGTCGTGTGCTTCGTCAGCCCTGCCACCTTTTCAATTGTGTTGCATATTGCCAAAAAGTTTTCATTTTTAAGCGACTAGTTGTTGTAATTGTGAGCTTTTGTTTTTGTTTTTGTTCGGTGAAAAAGTTTTTTTTTCGGATTCTTACAACCGATTTTTCGCAAGCGTTGTCATCGTCGTCGCTGCGGCTGTTGCTCTATCTTTTTTTTTTTTCGTTTATTTCTTGCGTTATTGCCAACGTCATCACATTTGGCGCTCCGTTGGCTCTTTCTTTGCGATTCTCCACGCGTACAAAACGAATATCACTTTCATTTTGCGGTCGTCGTCGCCGTCGTGATGTTGGCTTTTTCATCTCCCATTTCTACTTTTCTATGTTTTTGTTTTATACACTTTGCTGGATCTGCGATTTGTTACCTACTTTTTCAACTAGTCCATTTATGTGCCTTTCGTGGCATTTTCCTTCGCATTGGCTCCAATTGTATTGCACGATTGAAATATTTTCAAATTTAGTTTTTATTTTTGCGCATCAGCCGGACTGTTTTTAGACCTCTCTGTTGTGGTTAATACATATCCATGTATGTATGTATGTGCGTGTGTGTGAGTGGATTGACTTTTTCTTGGCGCTTATCAACAACGTCCACACAAACGTACTAACTTACCTACCTGTAGAGAACTGTTTAAAACCGGCTTTATATGGCGAAAATCTGTTTAGCGAGAATGAATCCCAATAGACATACAAAACGAAATATCTACAAACCTATATATATATATATATAGTTTATAGCAGAGTCAAATTTGTATTCTCCTTTTCTGTATATTTTTAATGCGTATGGGACATGTACATACATACTACTACATCCATTGTTTAATTTATTTAACATTTTTACATAACATTTGTGGCTTACACTATTGTTATTTTATTCACTCGTAAAACCGGCTTTCTTTGCCGCTAGCTTCCCCTCTCCTTGCTCTTTCTCTTTAACACACACACACACACACACATACATATGTACGCATGCCGCTTGAAATCCGCTCACATTCTTTTATCTACTATGGTTTTGAGCTCAATGGAAGTTTCTGGATACTTTTGCTTAGTAATACTTTGGCTCTCTCGCCCTCTCTCATTGACTCATTCGCTCACTCGCTTCGGGGCTTTGAGTGCCATTAACATATTTTGCGCATGTGCTGCACAATTTTGCGACAGCAACTAAACCATTGAGATTGTATTAATGACAGTTATTAAATTTAATTTATCACCTAATTTAGTTTTGCTAAGCTTCAAAAATGGGTGCCTAACTCGAAGCACTTGGCAACAGACATCGAAAACTCCTGTGGGCAGGCAGCCGGCAACAGCGGGAAAATGTTAACGACATTTCTTGTTGCTGTTTTTGCAAATGCGTGGGGGGTGTTGGGTATGGTTGGTATGATGGTAGACAAGTCATTCAAGTGTGCAAACTTGTTTTTCATTATGGGTGTAAGCAAAAGAGGACAAAGCAAAATAAAGCCAATATCCCTTTAATAAAAAAACGCAACATCCCAAATGGACGTCCCTTGTTATTAATGAGTGGGCAGGCAGTTAGAGATGGGCATATGTCGTGAGTTGTAAGTTTGTGTGCAAATATAACATTCGATTTAGGTGGGAAATATATTTAGATTCTGCTTTGGAATCAAACGTAAAATTAAGGGAAATATAAATTATTTATTGAACCATTCCAAGTTCTGAACTGATCTAAATTTTACGAATTGTGATTCGAGCGGCTTTTGTTTTGTCTTTACATTGAACACTGAAATTGATTTATTAACATTTCGTTATTACAATTATTGAAATTACAATTTCCCTGAATTAGTTAAAAGCTCACGTGATTCAGAAATGCTGTCACGCGTCCATCCCTAGCGGGCGACGCATTGGGTGGATGTGAACTTAGTTTTGGTGGTGGTTTGTCTTTGTTTTTCACTGGGTGCTGGGTGTGTGTTGTTGCCATATGCCGTCTGTCGCTGATTACTGTTTTATACATAAATATAAAGCTATATGGAAGGTTCATTTTGTATTTTTCAAAATTAATGTTGTAAGCGGATGGCACACGACTTAGTCCTTTTAAGTAAGCACACACTCTTATATGTACATATATATATACACATGCTCCAATGCATACAAATTAATAAACGACAACAAAGACGATGACGAAGAATAAGGCAATGGAGTGGAGGTAAACGTCCGTCGACTCCCAACTATACAAGTACATAAATCCATAAAATTTATTGTTAAGGCGTGCGTGACCAACACTTGTTTTGTTTTTGTCTTCCATTATTGACTGGAGTTCTTTTTTTCTACGTTATCCTTGCAGGTTACAAAGGAGGAACTGTCCAAATTGATTAGCGGCTTCGATCAGCAGGACCTGCTCACTAGCAATGGTGTGACACTAGCCGGCCAACGGTACATTTACCTCTCAGGCACAGATCGTGTGGTGCGTGCCAAGCTGGGCAGAAGCGGTGTGCATTGCATGAAGACAACACAAGGTGAGTTGCTAAAGAAGGGACAGCAAGGGGGGCGGAAGTATTTAAGAATGTGCAGGCGAATAATTTTTATATATTATTGGAAAATGAATAAAAAGGATGCAAGACTGAAGTTTGTGGAGCGGCCGAAAAACAACTGCCTTTCAATTAGCTAAGCTCTGAATTGTATGACGAGATTTATTAACAAATGCTTTTAATTGAAACAATACAAGTATATAATTGTTTTGAAAGAATATGAAAAGCGCTCTCTATGTTGAAAAATTCGGACTAAAGATTATTCAAGACTGCATTATAAAATCATTTAAATCATATTTTGCGTACAAATTGACCAAAAGATTTTCATGTCTCTTCATTAGATAATGATTAAAGTATTTATTTATTTGCTGTTCGATGTTAAATCAACTTGCGAACAGTAAGAAAGCTATAGCTTCGAGTGTTAAAATCGTATTTATAAAATACGTTAACAAAAGCAGCAACTAGGTTGTTATATAGTTGTATTGTGGAATTCCCATTAGATATTTTCAAGAGCTAGTTAGATTAATGCAATGCTTATACAATTGTTGTCCAAGCTGTTACGATTTGGAAACGGTTGTTTCTGGCTATTGATACTCACTTACAGTTGCCATTCGATGACAATAAATGGAAATTGGCATTATCAGCTGTAATATTATTATTTTTTTTCCATGCTTCTACAGACTGTCTTTGTTCGTATATCTGTCTGTTTGGGGTTTCAAGCGCACTCATTATCGCTGTTGTTGGTGCAACGCTTATCGCAGGTGCAAAGAATTTAATACGAAACTCAACAACTGATAAATGCGACAGTAGCCTACACTCGTACACTCTACATATATTCCAAATGCGATAAGGGCGGGCAACTAAATTTGCCAACTGTAATATTAATATTGAACAGATGGTGGCCAGTGATAAGCTGAGAAGTTTTTAGCCGGCTCGTTAGCTAGCACTAAACCATAAAACGAGTACGACCAGAAGGCGAAGAAAAGAGTACTCACTGAAACATTATGCTTAATTTGTTGCGTTTAACGCGCCTAACAGTTCTCCCCTCTATGCCACGCAACAACAACAACAACAACTACAGCAACAGCAGCAGTAGCAAGCAACAAACAAACAAACGAGCTGTAAATGATAGCCCATTATGTTGCTCCATTTTTCCGGTCAACTGCTGCGGTCGGCGACCGAAGAACCAAACAACCAAGCGATTAAGCGACCCCAACACAAACAACAAAAACAACAACAGCTACAGACATGTCCATATAAGTAGGCATGAAACAAACAGTTGAACATCTTGAAGAGGTACATAATATGTATTTGAAGTATAACGGTCGACTGAATCGTATTCAGTGGCTGGGAAGTGTTACTATTTTAATAAATGATTCAATTAACAATACAAATCCAACCTTATCAAGAAAAATCTTAGAAAAATCAGTTACAGCCCTTTGACAATAGCAGACTTTAAATAAAACTTTAAAAGAAGACGACTTTGCTGCAAAAAGGACACTCTTTTTTTGGGGGGAAATACAATTAAATAAAAAATGCTGTATGTTTTGCCATCCAGAACATAATATAGTTCACCTAATTATGTTTTTAAACGGTAGATTGGATCCAGAAACAACCGTGTAAAAAAAGACATAGATCATATGCAAAAATAGGTGATTGAATCCTTATCTCTAAATAAATATATATGCAATTTTTAATTTTCAAACCGTGTTATATCAAAATCGTGTACAAAAAGGCCGTGTAAAAACAAAATTAGGTGTATATCTATGCCAAACGCAAAGCTTCTGTTATAAGATAAATATATTTCGATTTATTATTATCTCTAAACAAAAATGCTTTAAGTAAGAATTTAATTTGTCAATAAGTTGTTGCATAAACATATAAATTATATTGTCATCACATTTAGCTCAAGGTTGAATTCGTTATTCGTTCTTTCTAGTCGAGTGTCCACTGTTTTTGTCTGCCTAGTGTGTGTGTGTGTGTAAAAATGAAACTTACATTTGTCTGTCAGTGTTAGGTTTTTCACTCTTGCCTTTTTCAACACCTTGTCCTCAATGTTTGCAGCAGATGTTGTTGTTGCTGTTGTGGAAAATCTTGGCCATGTTCAATAAGCAGCTAGCGCTGGCTGCACTTCGATATGTATTTATACATATTTGTTTTCACATCTATATATACATATAGTATGCATGTGTGTGTGTGTGAGACTAATTTTGTTTTTATTTCTATTTTTTCATTTGGACAAGTTTGTTTGCTTCTGCCATATTTGTAGATTTGGCGGCAACTGTTGCACACACGCACACATATTCACAGATTTATGTTCATATGTATACGTGCAAGGTGGACCGGGGCAGTTGCCACCATCCCCTGCTGCAGCCACAAGCTCAAGGTTATTGCCATAATCCATTTCAAGTGCAAATGTTGCACACTTGTGTGCGATTGTGTTGGCTCTCACACATATGCGTGTGTGTGTGCGTGTGTGTGTTTGTGTAAAGCAGAGAAATTAAATAAAAACCGCAAAGCAAACGCAATACTCTGACGGCGCCGCCGTCTTTATATAAATAGAAAAACATTCAAGAAAATAGCACAACAACAACAACAAAAAGAACAAATAAAAACTGGCCAGTCTGGTCTTCTCCGTAGTCTTTGCTGTTTGCTCTCCAGGCTGACGGCGACGTTGGCAGCTCATCAGAATAAAAAAAAAAGATGTGCGAGTGTGTGTATCTCGCATGTTTGTAAAAGTTCGTCGTCTCCTAATTTGGTCTTAAAAATTAACCCATTCAGGGCAACAACAAGATTAAGTTGTAGGATCTAAAGCCAGACACTAAACAAGCATAAGACGGCCAAAATTTAATTTCCAAATAAAGCAGCAAAAAATGCGTTTTGAAATACATTCATAACTTTTTTGAATTTTTTAATAAAATGACGTATTAATTAACGTATTAATAATGGCAGGATTACTTTAAGGCCTTCTTCCTAAAAGAAAAACAATGTTTATTGCAACTAAATTTCTCAGCAAGATGGTCTAAAAATAGGTCTGCAAGTGTGGGGAATAAAGGCTTTGTTTCCTAAATATTCACTTGAATCAAGTATTAATAAGATCATAGCGTAATGTGAAACAATAATTATGGACCGATAACATTAGATTACAAATAAATAGGTAGCTTAAGATTATTCTAGCTGTAAGTAAAGTTTATGCTGCATCAGCTAACAGGGCTAGCTTCTGATTTCAGTTTTCCACTATCTAGCATGATTAGTTTCAATTACTCAATGTTTTATATATTTAAGTGCTTGTAAAGCTCAGTATGTCGTGAATCTAATGTAACTTCAATGAAAATTTATGAATTCTATGCTTTGTTTGCAAATTGTTTGCATGTGTGACCATAGCTTTAGAAATACTTAAATGATTCAAAGAGGACGATTCCTTATTTGTCCCCCTCACTGTTCCACTGTTGCTTTCTGACCTTTTGTACTTTGTCTATCCCTTACCATAATGTTTAAAAGGTTAAGTTTAAGCTATTGCCTTTCAAAGGCAATTGATCGCTTCTTTGAAATAACAAAGTTATATTAAACTGTACCACAATTTACACGGTACTCAGGTTGCCCAATCGTGCGACCGACCGACAGACCCACCCATAGTTAGCCCGCAGTGTTGTCTTACAGAGATGGAAACTTGCTGAAGCGCAAACCGCAGCTTAACATTGTATGTGTACATACAGTTTTATTTTTATATAAAGATGTAAATAAATTAGATGCACCACTAAAAAACAACAAAAATTTGATATGCTTGTTTGTTTGTTTGTCTGTCTGTCTGTCTGTCTGTCTGGCTGTTCGTTCGTTCGTTCGTTGAAGAGCAACACACACTTGCAGCCACTTGTGTTACGAGTTGGCGGCTACGCTTGGAATGCGGCATGGCATGTGGGTTAAAAAGGGCGCCCAAGGGGGGCGCCGCACGCTGACTGCCAACTCAACACGTTGCACTGTGGAGCAGAGCAATAGACTCTTATATAGAAATTTATAAATGAAAGCAAAATAGAGATGAAGTTACGTCCTTCCCTTCAAAGGTTGCCTTGTAACTTGTAACGTTTTATAAGTATAGTCCGAAAAGCTTTTTAGGTGGACTTTATGTTTTGAATGCAACAAAAGGGCTACAGCTTGACTATATGTTTGACTTAACTTCGTTTATAATTTATAAGCGGATCTATGCCGGGCTTACACTAAACCCCTGTTCTAAGTTCTTATTATTGAAAACATGCATATATTTAAACTTTCTTAGTTTGTAAGACGTCAAAAATAGACTAAACATCATGTGTATAAAGTAATTTTACATTTAAAAAAAATTATTATTGATTTTCTAAGTAACGATCTACTACTTGTTAAGATCCACCAATAGAGCAGAACCAGGTAATTCTAGATGTTCGCCCCCACTGTAGGTTAGCAGTGCAAAGTGTTAAACTCTTTTTAAATTAAATGTAATGCGAGTCGTTTGGAATCAACGGTGAGGAACATTTTTGCTAAATTAAAGAAATAAATAAAAAACAATAGCTGTCAATGACTGCTTATCGTTATCGCTGCAGTTAATCGATTGTGTGGTCGTGCCGCGAGGGGGGTATCAGCTGTCAAAAGTGTCTTTGTCGCCTGTCATTACATTTCACGTCCATATGGCAAGTGTCTCCTCCACTTTACGGTACATTGAACTCAACAACTTTCTGTGTGTGGCAGGCAGAGTGTGTGTGTGTCATTGTGTGTGTCATGTTCTCTTCTGGCTTGATTTAATTTGTGTTCAATCAATGTTGTGCTCATTTGATTAATGCATTAGCTATCATCATTGGCCTTTACATTGGCCGGCCGATTGGCGTGTCAGCCGCTATTGACTGTCTGTCTCCCCTATGCCTGACCACAATTGACTTTAAGTTTTGGTATTGGAAGAAGAGCGAGACTTTGTCTATCATTCAGTCAGTCAGTCAGTCAACCCATTAGCTGTCTGGCCGGTTTTCACCATCAAGCCTGACCACACTCTTTATTGAGCGTTTTATTCATAATTTCTGAATGCTGCTGCTGCTGTTGTTGTTGTAGTTGTTGTTTAAAATACTGTTAGTTCTGATTTCTGCCTTGCTTTCACCACATTTCATAGGCAGCGAAAAATCTTTGTAGCCGGTCTATCTATGTATGAGTGTATTGTCAACCGGATAAACGGCGGCTCGAAGTAATTATGTAGCATGTTGAAGACACAAAAGAGATTTTTACTGTTGATTAGACCACAGAAGACTTAACAGACTGGCTCTAACTAGCAGAGAGAACAAGAGAGAGAGAGAGAGAGACAGAGAGCCAGGTAGTCGATAAGAGTTGAGAGTTTAGTCTCCAGTTATACCCGCAATGTCGCTGTAATAGTGTCTGTCTGTCTGTGTTTGTTGTTGCTTAACACTGCCAACACGGCCAATAGACCATGACCCGTCTTCTTCTTGGCAACACATCGTCTTTAAATATAATACAGAGGCAGCTGCTGTTCCATATCAACATCTCGCAATTCAATTTGGCTGCGAGCCAAGAATAAACTGTCCAAGAACAGATGTTTTTTATGCACTCATTGCAACCTTTTTGACTTTACGAACATTATTTATAAATGCAAATCATTTTAACATATATGTACAAGTATGTATTTTATAAACCAAAATATTACAGAAGGCGAAAAAAATATTGTCCAAATGTATATCATTAAAACAAATATATAATTTGACTATTTTAAAAAAATTTTCGACGGAAGATATATTGAATGTGTTTAAAATTTGAAAATCAATTTTGGAAACGGCTTCAGCTTTAAGAATACTTTCTAATTATCAACACTTTAGATTCGTACATTTTCGATTTTGGCTTTTTTAAATATCTTTAAGAATCATTGTTGTCGGCTTGTGTCCATCACTGATTGATGATTGATCAAATTAATAATATCGCTTGAAGGAAAATAAGCTTAGTTAATTTAGATATTTAAAGTGAGCAATAAACTATTTTGGATATCATTTAAAATTGCATGAAATCTAATTCTGTATTATTTTTTAATTAATTTTCTCTGCAGCCGTGATCGTTTCCATCTACGAGGATCCCGTACAGCCCCAACAGGCCGCTTCCATTGTAGAGAAACTCGGAGATTATCTGATTACTTGCGGGTACTAGAGAATAAAACACCATACAACAACACCATCAACAACAACAACCAACCAACACACCAACAACAAACAGCAACAAATTTGATATGAGAAGGAAAAAACAAAAACAACAACCACTAATAACATAAAAGTAATTATTAATATTTAAATTTATGAAGGCCAAGATAAAAGAAATTGTTGCGGTTTTTGTGGGCATAAGAAATAAACGAGAAATGTGTCGTCGTCAACGTAACTACAAAGAACTTTACCCCCAACTACAACAAAATTATAAATTTCTGCATTATTATAATTAAAATTTTGGTTCATACGAGATAAAATAAAAAATCACAAAAAAATTACAAAAAAATCAACAACAACAACAACTGTCTACAGCATTGAAGTAAGAATGTATTTTGTAAACAAAATCAAGAAGAGTAGAAAACAACAACAACAACAACAGCAGCAACGCAGGCACATTTTTGAAAAATTTTTGTATATCTAGATATATACACCGATATACATTCATATACATATATGTATAAATATATATTGTATACAAGCAGTTTATAAAAAGTGAGAGAGAGAGATAGAGAAAGAGATAATGAGAGTGAGAAAGAGGGTGGGGAAAAGCTTAGCGGGGGACTAGACGTATGCATTTGTCCGCCCGCCAGTCAAGGAAAAGCAACAACAACAACTACTACAACAACAACCAACACCACACACACACAGGAAAAAACGAAGCAAACCCAATATAAATAAATATATATTTATATATGTAAACTATTTGGAAAACAAAAATGAAAACCATGACGCTCTATTTATATATAGAAGAGGATGCATGGCAGCGCCATAGTGGTAATTTTTATACGAGAGGAAGAAACGTGAAAATATGTAAAAGTTGTTCAGTCTTTTTTAGCTATACGCTCATATGAATATGTATATTTGTTTTCAGCCACACGCATACACACACACACACACACACACATACGTATGTATGTGTTTGTTTAGGCCATAGCTCTACTCCATTTGCTCTAAATGCTACTCTCTTCGTATGCGCTTTTCAACTTTGTATTTCTTCTTCTAATCATTACAAGCAAAACATAAACAACAAAATAAAAAAAGTAAGAAAAACATTAAACTTTTTATATCGAAAGATGCATATTAAAAAAAAAGATGACAAAAAAAGATGAAAAGAAAGGAGAACGAAATTAGCATAACACTTTTTCTACAAGCCATAGTCGTCGTTGACCAACACTGCTGACATTGTTGTCACCTCATCCTGGTGTTGTGCGTCGCATTTCCTTCAGACTTATTGCTGAACACAAAAATTCGGCAATAAATTGCCATTACATACATCGTAAATGCATGCAAATTTAAGAAAGCAAAAAAATAACATAACTCATTAAAAAAAATGGAAAAATCTACTACAATTCATACATACAAATAAATGGCTTTTTATGTTAGGTAAAAATAATAACAACAAGAAAAAGAAAAACAAAAATAAGTTCTCTTTTTGCGCTGACATTTTGAATTCATTTTTCGTACAAGCTAAAGAAAAGCAAAAAGAATATTTGAAAAGAAAAATAAAAACACAAAGCAAAAGGCAAAGAAAAAATTATAAAAAATGCATAACTATATGAAATATAATATAAAATTTAAAAATATATATAATACGATACTTTAATACTATTGAAATAAAACAGAACGAGACAAAAATCGTCATAAAATTATACTCAACATCTTTTATTTCCATAGCTTTAGTAACAACAACAAAAAGTAAAAGGTGCGTCCCATTTTGATTTTAATTCTTCCAATTCTGTATGAGCTTCTGACCCGTACGTTGTCAGATCAATGAACTTTTTAGTTCGCTGATGGAGGGGCCCGTTTATAATTAACGTTTTGTCGCATACTTCTCTAAATTCCACTCGTACTATATGCAAATTTTTCAGTTGGATTTTGAAATCGTTAAGTAGTTCTATTAATCTAAAAATGATGGACATCCATATCATTCAAGTTATACTTTAAATAATGCATTCTATTGGAAACCATCAAAATTTAATAAAAAAAAAACTTATAGACAATCTATCCCATGTGCAGCTTAAACAGGAATGGACCTTTAATATGCTGAACGTTTCAAAAGGTAATCATATCTGGGCATTCTAAAAATAATATAGAAAACCCCATCAAAAGAATGTCGTAGTCTAGGCAAAGGCTCATAAATTGCATATTTTTATAATAAAGATAACATATCAGTTTTAAAAGATATTTAAAGGCTTCTAAAGCCATAGTCTGATAAGCAAATAATATATCTGTCATTCTGTCTGGTTTTTTAACCAAAACATTTGGATTTAAGGGACAGTGTAGACAGATTCTAGGATGCTCTTCGTAACTGAGGTGAGTATTTAATAATATTTATTTTTTTGATTTACAAAGTCTTTAAATGTTAAAATTATTTTAAGAATTGCCTTCTTTGCGGAGACACATATTGCCATTTTAGGCGCTTGGCGTACTACGAATATTTAACTGAAATTATTTTTATCTCATACTCTCACATTCTCTGCACAATCATTTTTAATGGCTGACGTAATTGTACAATTATTTTTATAAAAAATTATATGTGCGCTCCTCAACACATAGTATAAAGAACGAATGTTATCTGCTGGCTGCCTCTTTGCATGCTTTTCTTTCAGCAATTGTCATTTTTCGCAAATATTTTGCATACGTACATATATACATTTGTACACATTTAAATATACTTATAAGTCTATATACATTTGTATGCTCAAGCAAAACATTGACCCAAATTGTGCGTGCGAGTGAGAATATGTTAATCATAAATTCTTGCCTAGTGGGTGGATGGAAGAGCTCTTTAAATAAGAACTGAACTATCTACGGGCAGCGAGGAATACTGTTGAAGGCCTTTATTTTACTTGAACGTTAAATTGAATAATTTCATTAAATCTTTCTTTATATTTATGACTGAATTTATTAATCAAACTCGACAAATATTTGCCAGCTTAGTACCTGTGGAACTCCTGCTATTTTAATATCTTTTGGGTATATGTAGTATTGTAATTGGTTCAGAAACATTAGCTGTACAATAAACTGCAAATATAATTGCAGGCATTTGATTACTATTAGCCCTTCTAGGATATACGGGTTCTTCATCTCTCAAGCTTTTAATACAAAGACCCCTTTGAAAGTATATAATTTCGATGGCTGCTATGTGTTTGGTCTCTTAAATAATCGGTTTAAACACTACTGCTTTTAAACTGTTTGAAGAGTAGACAGATGGATAGATGAACATTATTATTATTATTATTATTCCTTTTAGGCGTTACCAATAAAAAACGCTACACTTTTCAGTGAAGGGTATAAATGGCATAATTAAAATTGAATATTTATTAAGTATCTAGAAGCTAAGTATTTTTTTATTTTCTTTTCAAAGAATTGTGGAAAATTACAAAAATGTATTTTTATACTGTGCTCAAAGGGTGAAACGATATATGTATTAGTTTTGTACGAATGTATATAACAGGCAGAAGGAGGAGGTGGCAGACCCTACAAAGTATATATTTACACACATTCAGAGTTGTTTGATCTATTCGCAGATGAAGTTATTTTATTATTTCTGTTTTGCTTCTGAAAATACACACATACATATGCACATGCCCACCTAATGTTGATCTCTTCGATTTGTATTTTTTATTTTCTTCGCTCTGTTTGGTCGTTTGTTGTTGTTATCTGTGTAGCAGGTCTGCCAGTTCCTTTGCATTAAAAAGCTAGACCAGCAATTAAAATAAGCTAGAAATAGTTAAACAACTTCAGTAAAATAAACGTTAATATTAACACTAGTATTAGATCAAAAACACACGCTTGAAGTATTTTTGTTTTGGGTAAAACAGTTTTAAAAGCAGTTTTATAAATTTAACCACAATCGTCATTAGAACATATTTAAAGTTGGCTGGAAGTTAGTCAGCAAATAGCTAAATGGGCAACACTGGCTGCAGATGGCTCGCCACAAAAGAGAGAATAATTAATAGAGAGAGGGAGCAGGTCAGTTGCATTGAACTCTTTCATGCAGGCGCGTCTTTAGTTCCGGTCGAATTTGTTAATTAATTGATTTGTGTCAAATTGTTTACTATTTCGTTCGATTTTTTGTATTTTCGATTAGTGTTTGTTTTATAACGTTGTTTATTAAGTTCATTGAGCTCTTTTAGTGTGCGGGATATTTTTATAAAAAAGGTGTAAACGTTTTGGCGCGAGTTTTGGCGCGGTTCTGCGGCAGCGTAATTTAACGGCAGCGGGAGTGATTTTCTTTTGTGTTTTTAGGTGGATCTGCATCAGCTTTCCCCATTAACCTTTGTGCTAGTCGGGGTAAGTACGCACCAATTTAAATTGCAACTAATTGTATGTGCACGCATGGTAGTGCACTTTTTATTCCCAACGCGCCTTTTCGGCGTCCCTTTGTGTGTGTGTGTGTATGCATAGAAGTTTTGTCAGGCCCCCGCACACATACGTGTCAAATGTATGTATGTATGTATATTTTTTGCTTTTTGTAGCCTGTACCCCAAGGGTGAAAGGTGTATTAGTTTTGTGCGAATCTATGTAACACACAGAAGGAGGCGTGGCATAAAGAAATATTTATTTTTTATTTAATTTAATAATTTAATTGAACTTTTTAAATTAATTTTTAGAATATATTTTTTTTCATTTTGTCATTTTTATGGGAGGTACAGGGTATTTAAGAGTTGAGCTCGCTCGACTTTGGCATTCCTTTTTCCAATATTTTTTATTTAATTTAACTTTTTAAACTAACTTTTAAAATATATATATTTTTTCCCCCTTTTTTATGGGAGCTACAGGGCGGTAAAGAGTTGAGCTCACTCGACTTTAGCAGTCCTTTCTTGTTTTATAAAACAGAGCTGGACAAAGGTTTAACGATTAGCTGAATATTTCAATTTTCATTTAAAGAACTTTACCTCTTATCTACAAAATGGTATATCACAGAAATCGAAAAAACAGGGCTATTGTCAGTCAATATCTTGAGGGCAAAGAAAAACCGGAAATGAAGCTTAAATATTCATTGTGTTTATCAGTCAATGCATTGTTCTTAGTTTAAAGTTGCTTTGCACTTGGGATTTTAAGCACGAAATCGGATTGATAGTATATATGTATTTAAAAAACAACCTTAAGAAACAAGCACAAACTCCAAGTCCTAAATTAATCAGCACTATTTACAAACAGAAATTAATATTTATTTCGAATAGTTACCTTTCGACTCATAATAAATACGATTTTTTTCATACTATATGTACACTTTCGCCTTCAATCAGTGAGTTGTTGTTTTAGTGAAAACTCATTAAATGAACGATAAAAGACGAACTCTGGTTACGCGAAGTGGAATGTTATCAGTTGCACAATTAATCATTAACTTTTTATTGACAAAACCGGCTCGGTTTTCGCCCTTGCCCCACACCTTGGACAGCATCTTCACTGTTTATTGTAATTTCTTGCTTTTGTTTTTTTTGCTTGCTTTTTTATCTAACGGCAAGTTGGATGACTGCGAGGCAAATGTTGAATAAAATATACAAATGTTAGTTTATTCATTTAATAAAATATGCTAATTTGTTAGAAAACGTATTCTATTACTGTGCAAAAGTTTCTACAAACCCATACAAATGCATATCTAAATGGCCTTGCATTCATATTTAAATGGCTGTTAGGGTTGTCATAACACTTTTGCATATAAATTAGAGCTGTCGCTGTGTCGCATTATATTTTTACGCGAACATATTATATTCTATATTAATATTTTCTGTGCACTTTGGGTTTTCTATTGAAACGGCAATTAAATAGCATCTGGTTTTTTAAATACTGGCGCTACAATTAATTAAAAGTGGACTGAATACGATGAGTGTTCCTTTATAAAATTTTACTGACTGGGTAGATTTCCAGGAATAAAGTCTCTTTTAATCATTTTTTAAACCGCTGTCCGTTGCAGCTTATATATATACAAGTACATACCGGACTTCATCATCATAAATGAACTATACTTATAGATGCCACTGAGCAACTTTTAAAAATGTTTTTTCATATTTAATAGATGCCGCCAAGAATTGTTCAAAACGCTCCACAGTTATTAATATATATTTGAGGTTATTAACATCTTTTCATCTCCCCATTTTAATTGCTGAGTTGCGGTTTCTTCAATTAAAAATTCTGACTTCTGGAAATCGTGGCCTTTTAAGAAATATTTATCCTTAAATACTTACTATGGTGCATAAATAAAATAAGGGTGAATAAAAATGTCTAAAATAGAAATTCGATAAAAAACCTTTAATTAAAGCTAAAGAAAAGCAGATTTACACTCGTATTTAGAAACAGTCTAAGCAATATAATATCCGAGGCTTATCTTTCAATCATCCAGTGCTGCGACTACATATAAGAATAAGTTCTTTATTGAAATTCATACTCGAAGAGATACATATCTATAGAAATATATATATGAAAAATAATGTGGAGATCGACAATTTAAAATCCCGTTTGACCCTGCCACTTTCTCAGTTGCTCGAATGCTGTCCAAAAGGCAACCGACCAGGGTCCAATGCGCAACCAACATGGAGTAAAGCCCTTGTACATTGCCATTAGGCCCTCCTCGGTTATCAATTTGTAGTAGCAATGAAAAGCATTCCTATAGTGCAGACCACGGCCCTTCTCATCGGTCGGTTGGTTCATAATGCGAGACTTGACCACATCGGCGGGTGTGCTGAGAACGCTGGCCACCAAGCCAGCTGTAACCGATGCCATAAACTGGATAAGGATGCCATCCTTGATCTTGAACAGTCGTATATAATGTCGCTTGCTCAAATCATAGGCCGCCGTATCACCTGGAAATGGAAGGAGTGCCTTTCAATAACAACTTAGACCATCGTTGAAAACCCCTTATTGCCAATTTAGTTCTTGTAAAAAGATGGATATTTCGGAACTATAAAGTAGGTAGTGTTGAATATTAAGTATTTTGTTTTCCTTAAATAGGCAAAATTGTTTTTTTTTTCGAAGGAATTGATCTTTTTAAAAATTTAATAACTGCCCAACCTAGGACAGATCTCAAATAAAGATTAAAGATTTAAAAAAAAAAGATTAGACATAAGGGAAAAATCAGAGCTATATCCTATTTATGGTTATAACTGGAAAGAAAAATAATTGGGCAATGCTCCAAGCTTTAACAACGGTATAAAATGAAAATGGATATGCTGATAAAATGGTAGTTTAATCGACTTTTTTGTACCTGCTGTCATCATCATGGCACGAAAACAGCTGGGACCCATACCCTTCCACATATTGATAATGCCACCTTGTCTATATAGATCTATGATGCCCCGGCCAACGTTCTTAACGCGCACAGGTTGATCGAGAAATCGACGCCTTCCATCCATTTGCATGCGTATCTTTATAATATCCAATGGATTGGCCAATGCCTGTGCCATACAACCAGCAATGTTTCCCGCCACAAAACCCCGAAACAGACTCAGCACTTCATGGCCCTCCTCATCGTAATATACAAACTCCTGTCTGACCACATCATAGAAAACGACACGAAGGGCATTAAATATTAGATTGCGTGTAATCATCGCAGATAGTCCACTGTACAGACTCTTGAAACCCTCTTCCTTAACGATACCATACATTATACCAAACATTCCGCGTTTTGGGCCGCCTGATTCGCCCTTCTGTGCCGCCTCTCCCTGCAAATGTAGACGCGTCTTGACCACGTCCATGGGGAAGGTGAAGAGCTCGGCAAAGGATGCGCCCAGAAACGTATTGATGTAGAGCTGGAATAGAAGCTTGGGTTGTATTTTGGCGACGTGCATAGGCGGTGGAATTGGCGGCACTGCTGGCTTTAGTGATAGGTTTTTGGTCCTGTCATCCTTCTCGTCCATTTCACTTAAAATTTAAACAGTTTCACGATATATTTGTTGTTGTTATTACTACTACTTATACTAAGATTTAGAATACACGAAATTTTAAGTTGACAATTGAAGCTTAGAAGCCCGATTGGCCCTCCCATTCTCGCAGTTTCTCCAGGGATAGCCAAAAAATTACGGACCAAGGACCCAGGCGTAACCAGCATGGTATAAGGCCCTTGTACAGAGCCAGCACATTCTCTTCCTTGATGAGTTTTATGAAGCAATCGGCCGAGTTCTTATAGTTGAGCCCTCTGCCCTTCTCATCCACGGGCTGATTCATGACACGTGACTTGATTACGTCAGCCGGGTTACTTAAGATACTGGCCACCAGTCCAGCACTGAGGGATGAAAGGAGTTGCAGGACTAGACCATCGTCTAATTGCAGGTATTTGCGAAAATTTCGCTTGCTTAGATCATAGGAGCCAACATCGCCGGCGGTCATGAGGCAGGCGCGTAGGCAACTAGGCGATACGCCCCGCCACATACTGGAGATTCCACCCTCCTTGTAAATGTCCCTAAAGGCCTGCCCCACATTGTGCACACGTGTGGGCAGACCCTGCAGTCGTCGCCTCCCCTCCATTTGCATTCGCACCTTGACAATATCGAAGGGGTTGGCCAAAAACTGAGCCATACAGCCGGCAACACTTCCCCCAAAAAAAGCATGCGCCACCGTCAGCACCTCCTTTCCCTCCTCATTATGGTAGATTAGTTGTCGGCGTATTATATCGTAGAACACCACCCGGAGCGAGTTGAAGAGCAGATTGCGTATTATCATTGCCGACAGTCCACTATACAGACTCTTAATGCCCTCGTTACGTCCGACCCCATACATTGTGGTGAACATGTTTTTTACTTTGGCGCCCGTTTTTTTCGCCTCCTCGTGCTCCAGCTGCATCCGAGTCTTGGTGACATCGAGGGGATACACCCAGCTTTCGGCGAAAGAGGAACCCAAAAAGGTGTTGATATATAATTGAAACAAATTGCGGGCAGTCAGTTTCTCAACGTTAACGGGTGGCAGCGAAATGGGGGGCACCGAATCTTCAAAATGCGCAGTATTGCTTGCAGATCCAATTTCCCTGTCATCCGCGCCATTTTCCTTATCCATTATATACACAAATCACCGATAATTTCGCACATTGAACATTAAATTTTCTATATATATACAAAATGCACATAAATACAAAAAATAGTCACATAATTTTTAAAATTGCGATTGTAAAATCAAATCGGTTTTTAAATCAACATAGATATTACAATTCCAATAAATATAAAATGGCCTTAAATGGCGAACCATTGCTTAGATGCTGAAGCCTCCACAGCTATCAGCAGTTAGTTAGTTAATTCCTTAGTTGAGTGCCAGTAGCTAACTCCTTTAATTGTTGCCTACCCTCTCATTAAATTCATTATTTTGTGGTTAGGAAGCAATGAGTTCCATATAGATATATATCCTATTTAATAGTGATCCCCACTCCCAGTTTTTCAACTAAATCATGGCAGCTTTATTTATAGTATACTACTTGGTATAGTTAGTTCATTCGAGATTTTGTTACGAAGTTATTGGTGGTTTTTCAATCGAGCAATCCAATTATGTATAATTTAAGGCTATATATTATTTGCAAGAAACTTTGTATCCCCAGCTTTTATTGTTTAAAAGATATGGCGGTTCATACAGGCAGACGTACAGACATCGATTCACCTTGCTCCGCCTATTACATCAACTTAGACCTCTAAGTTCTTTTCAGGCTTTTCGGGCTATAGATGATGTGCATTTAACTTGATCTGCGTATAGATACAATAAGTCTAGGCGTCAAATTTGATATCCCCAGCTTTTATGGCTTAAAAGATATGGAGGTTCATACAGACAGACGTACAGACATCGATTCACCTTGCCTTCGCCTGCCTATTACATAAATTTAAATCTTTCATTTCTTTTTATAGTATAGAATATAAAAATGAATAAATAGGGACTACTATACTACAAGTATATACGTTTTATGTAAAATCTAGACGAAAATATAAATAGATATTGCACAATAATTTCAATAGCCCTCATCGCCACGAAAACGTCTTATCTGCTCGAATGTCGTCCAAAATACCATGGTCCAGGGACCCACCCGCAACCAATAGGGCACGAATCCCTTGTACATGGCTAGGAATCCCTCCTGCTTGACCAACTTATTGAAGCAGTCGAGGGTGCCCTTGTAGTGTAGGCCACGGCCCTTCTCGTCCGTTGGCTGATTCATAATACGCGACTTGACGACATCGGCGGGCGTACTCAGAGCTGCACCGGCAAAGCCAGCGATCATGGCGCCCACAAACTGTACGACGCGATTATCAGCCACGTCGAAAGTATCCATTATAGTACGTTTGCTCAAGTCATAGAAGCTCACATCGCCCAGGGTAACGAGTGCCGCTCGCCAAGTATTCGGCACAGTGCCCTTCCAGAGGCCCACCACGCCGCCAGCCTTATAGATCGAAGTAACGGCCTGGAAGACGTTGTGTATCCGAGGCGGTTCGCCCAGTAGACGTCGCTTACCCTCCATTTGCATTTGCACTTTGATCAAATCAGTGGGTGAGGATATTACGTTGGCGCAAGCGCCTCCCATGACGCCACAAAAGGACCCTCTCAGGAAGGTCAATTGGGGCTTCCCATCTTTATCATAAATGAGCAAACTGTTGCGAAAAAAGTCGTAGAAGGCCATCTTCAGTCCACTGAAGACAAAATGGCGCAAAGCCATGGCGGAAAGCCCACCGTACAGCTTCAACAGACCTTCCTCCTTAATAATGCCCAATCCGGTGGCCAGCATGCCGCGATACTTAACCGCCTGGCCCGACTTACTCGCCGCCTCGCCCTGAATCTGCATACGCGTCTTGCATACATCAAAGGGATAGCCGACCATTTCGGCACTACAGGCCGACGCGAACGAGGTCAAATAGAGTTCGACGAAGGGAGTTTTTTTGTTGGAAGACAACAACTCGACATGTGGGAGTAATGGCGGAGGTGGTGGCGGAAAGTCAACATCATCCATTCCGTTCTAAAATTTGAAAACTGCACCAGAATTTTAATGATAATACAATTAGTCTAAAGATGAAAGAAATATGTTTTTTTTTTTAAAATACTCAAAACAAAATGACAGCCTAAGACATGTCTGTTCTAAATGCCTAGGAATATTGCCTGATTTTGAGTATATAATTATCTATAGTAGCTAAAATCTGGGACATATAGGATGTGGTAATAGCTAAGAGTAATGCTTAAATGTAAATGAACTTCTTGAGGAAAAGCAACCAGTTCTTAGTTAATTAGTTTATCTTTAGATTTATCTTCTTTAGATTTTCCAGCTCAATCTATATTCAAATGGTTCGCTCTCCTACAAATACCTTGAGTTATAATAGAGGCGAAAAAAGTAATACAATATATATGTAAGGAAATATATATTGAGATAGACTACAAGTATAACGATTAAAAAATGGGTTAAATATTGATATTATTAATACCTAAAAATATGACCAAGTTAATTCAAAAAGAAGAGTTCTGGTGGAAATAAATAAAATGAAAAGTGCATAAAAAAATACATAAATTATTTATAAATTAAGTAGTAGTAGTTTTTTTTCATAAATTACTTTTTTTTACTTTTCCATTATAGATTTTACTTTCTTTTAGCAAAAACCTTGGCCTTGATGTTACCGAAAAAAAAAGTTCCACACATGATAGCAATACAATGTTGTTAACAAATATATTTGCTAATACGTTAATCGCACTTTGATAGGAGGGCCCCTTATCTGTTATTAATCAAATAAATAAAATGATTTATATATATTTTATGATTACGCCAATTTATTTAGATGGCGTTGTTGAACGAACCCCGATCGAGCTAGCAACAGCAGCATAACTCATTAGAACGGAAATGCAAAATTATAGTTTTTACAACATTTATAAACATTTGGGACTTGCCGAAAAATTACTAATTGTTTTTTCCAAAATAAAATCGTTAGAGATATGCGTTGACTCATAAGTTGAATACGTGCCGGATACATCAAATTCGTAATTTCTGAGAAATTAAAACGAGTAGAACATAAGAGGCGGGCTAGACCGAATCTGGAGTACCCTGTGTCCCCTTTTCCCCCGACACAGTCTTTCAACTAAAATTAATTTTTGGGTATCCAGACATTCCCAAGATAGTTTATACGAGTAGTATGCAGATTTTGATAATATTTCAGTTTTTTGTAAAGCATCAAAAAATAGATATCTTGATAAACAAAGAAGAGTTTGTTATTAAGCTTGATTTCTGCACTAATCGTTTCTATGACAGCTATGTGATATAGTGCACCAATTTTGATATATCTGCAGAACATTATAAAGTAGTATTATACAAAGCTAAAGCTTTCTAAAAGTTATCCTTTATATATATCCTTTATAAAAGTTATCCAACTAAGACTGGTTTTTATGCCAATCGTTCCTATGCCAGCTACCCTTTTTACCCTTTGGGTATAATAGTTCTCAATGTTGTTCATAATCTCCTTTCCGGTTTTCCCAAATTTGATTTGGGACTCCAAAGAATGCTCTGCCATTGATGTACCCATGAACACATACATATATGTACATATATATGTACCTGCCGAAGACCTCATATCTATATAGCTACCCACATTGTTTTGTGATAAGCGCTGTTCCGCGAAAAAGAGAGGGAAAACAAAACAAAACGAAACAAGAAAATGGTGCGTAGACTTATAAAATGAGTGCACGCAAGAAAAGACCGCACCTTAGACAACTTGACGACCCCTTCACACATCGCCCCAAGTGTTTATTGATATGGCGAGGAGGTCGAGTCACATTTATACTCGTATGCCAACACATGGTTTACTGCCGTGAAGGCAGCGCGTGTTTCCCCCCCCCAAAAAAAAGAACAACACAACATAATAATAATGAGCCTGACACACCTGGGCGCGGTTTTTGCCTGCCAGGCTAGGAGGAGCCACCCAACCAACGAGCCAGCCACTTTGTCTGTGCCGCCATCGCCACCGCACAGTGGGCTGAGTCGAGAAAAATGGAGATAGATTACTTCTGCCTTTAAATCCTTAAATGGTTTCTCTTTTTATAGCCTGTACCCAAAGGGTGAAAGGCTATACTAGTTTTGTGCGCATGTATGTAACACACAGAAGGAGGCGTGGCAGACCCCACAAAGTATATATATTCTTGATCAGGATGAGAAGCCGAGTCGATATAGCCTTGTCCGTCCGTCCGTCTGTCCGTCTGTCTGTCCGTCTGTCCGTATGAACGCAAGGATCTCAGAAAGTATAAGAGCTAGAATAACCAAACTTGGTTTCCATATTCTCCTAAGACCGAGAAAGTACGAGTTTGAGTTTTTTTTCGATGCACCCCCCCACTCCCCCGCAATTCGTGTTTTTTCTTATAACTTCCGTAATTCTCGGAATTTTGAAATCAATTTTGGTAGGTACATCCAGTTAGTACTAATGTGTCCGTGTGCCAAATTTCATCATGATAGGTCAATTCTGAAGAAAGTTATAGCCATAAGTAAAATCGCTGCTCATGCGCTGCCTCTGTCGGCAGCGCTGCCCGCAGCTGTTGTTGTTGTTGCTGCTTTGGTTCAACTTTGTGCTGCATACATACACGCATATAAACACGCATAGGTACGTGATGTAAATGTATGCTGTTAAAACTAAACATAAACATATATTCTAATTTAATTTAATTAATTAATTCATTAATTTTTTTTAATAATTTAATTTTTTTTAATTTTTTTTTTTTAATTTTTCTTTTTTTGTGGAGAGTACAGGCTATTTTACTGTCGGGCTTGCTCGACTGTAGCGTTCTATCTTGTTTAAATTTGAATAAGTGTAATTTTAATTTTTTAAGTGTAATCTAATGAAACCTTTGTTATTTAGATTAGGTTTATTTTCTTTACTTTTAAACATAACCGCGGCAAATTCGTTTATTGATAGGATTATGTACATCCATTGGAATCCAAATTAAAGTTGACATAAGCTCTGCTTTTGATATTTCCTAAACTAACTTAGGATTATTTTATTTATGCTGGAAATCTACCTTTCAAGAATTTCGATAATTTTTCTTCTACGTTTAGAGATTAAAACTGCTATCTGCTAAAAAATTGGCTATGGGTTCAGATTCCAAATAAGTACAGTTGACCTTTGGCTTTGCTTTCCTAAACTGCTCTTTCCTTTCCATTTTAATAGCAGCGTTATGTGAAGTTGGATTTCTTATTTGTTAGCTGGGCTTGATTGTGTCCAATGGGGGAAAAAATGCCGTAACTTTTCATTGATAGTTGATTTCTCTGTTTTATGTGTGAATTATCTATAAGCTGTGAACTTTTCTTAATCAAACTCTCTCTCGCTCTCTCTCTCTCTCTCTGCGCGACAACTGATTGGCACACTCTATAATTCTTCTTTGAAGCTTAATAGCAGCCAATTATTTAAAGCTTTCAGAATTAACCATTTAGTTGAACTTTTATCATTAAACTATACACCAAAAAAAGTAATTGTTATTGTATTGGCTTTATTAATAATATTTTAACAGAATTTTAATAACAAAAACTTACTTTTATTTTAACATTTGATTAACTGTTGGTGATGTTTTGTTTCATAGAAGTTGTCTTTCAAGTTCTGAAGACATACACGTAGTTCTTTCTGTTGTTGCGTACCTTTCCTGCAGCTTCTTCTTATGTATATTAAGTTTTTTCCCATCCATAGGTAGTTTTTGAAGTTGGAACTCTTTACACTCTATCCTAGTATTAGTCTGGTAGTGGGAAAGGGTATTTTCAATTTTATGTTGCTATTAATAATTAGCCCCTGAGCTCTTTTTATGCAGACTATCATATAATTACATTCCGAGGTTGTTTTTTGCAGACTATAAATTATTTTTATTTCAATCAACTTTTATTTTCAATTTATCATTAAAGAAGGAACGAATCTGATATCTATCTGATACGAAAACGGGGAAATTTTCAAATAAATTAAAATAGAGTTCAAATATTTGATATGAAACACATAAATACAAATTTCTCTATTTAAATTAATTAACTAAGACACTGTGCTTGGTTAGTTAGTGGAGCTGTCAGTCAGCTGACACGCCCATATATTCTGAGTAGTCCTCCCCATCTCCCACAGTATTTAGCACTTTTGTTTAATGAATGTGACGTCGTCGTCATATGCAGCTGAGGAGGGTGGTAGACGCACCACAATTTCAAATTCCCGACGCACGCACAGCACTTTATATAGACAGGGAACATCGATAGGGCTAATGATGGCAGTATCTTTTTGTTGTTTTTTTTGTTTTTTTTTTTTGTTAAAGTTGGCGGCGTTGCAGTCATTTGTAGCAGCAACTCGCAAATAGGTCAGTTATAGTGAATTGGCTGACATTTAACTCGAAATCTAATACCCGCTGACCAACTGACCAATATTTCCAAAGCCAGTAAGAAGCAATGGCTGAAAGGTGCCAATCGCTTCTGGCCGTTCACAATCCTAGGGCATAATGCTGACTTCGAAGAAGGGGGAAGCAATTTGAGAGTTTGTTGAACCGCATTATACTTGTACGAATTGTAATGGAAAAAATACAAAAAATAAATACGAAAACTAAATCCAAGCATCAGCACAAATTGTGGGGAAAATTTGCGTTAAAAACTGAATTTTTTAAAGCGGGCTGTACGAATTATGAATGGGCTACTAATCGTTTGTTAAAGATAAAGAATTTTTAAGCTAAGCGAATTCAGTTAATTCTCTTTCATGCATTTAAACAATACAAACGCTAATATGTACAAGTATTTTTAATTTATTAATTAATTAATAATTTTAGGAAGTATAAATTCTCCTTCTCACTAAGGAAGAGTATCTGAGTATAGAGTATTTGAGACTTGTGCTAATACTTGCCAGTCGTTGGTGTAATTTTCTTTCGCCACAAGCCCATTTACTTAAATCATATTTATACAAAAATACAAAATACATACAACTTTTCAAATACTCCGATAATTGCTTAAATCTACGCTTACTTTAAAACTAGATCAAGTCGGAGTTTGCGGATATAAACGAGTATATAAGTTCCTAAAAGAGATCAAATTATACATAATTATAACAATAATATTGGCAAATAAAACCAAGAATTAAATTGAATTTATCTTTCATTCATTCTTTGAAGTCTGTTTGTTCATAAATTAATAAAAATAATATTATATAATAAATCATTATTAAATCATTCGAATATGTCACAAAAATATGTTTTCTAATCTCACCTGAAACAATTTGTTTTTCCTAAATCTTTATTTTTTTTTTAAGATTTGTCCTAAGGAGGACAATTTTTAAATTATTTATTATACAGAAACCAAGAATATTCACATTTTAATAAAACAAATTAAAGGCTTTTATTTATAAGTTGATTAACATTGACGTACTAATATTATTGGTTCTGTGGTAATTTCTATAATTTAGTGAAGAAGTATTACTGTTTTAAGAGCAATATTTATTATTGGGCTCTTAACAAATATTATTTCGAGAATGAAAGAAAGCGATCTTTGGATTGTTCTAAATAATTTCTTCTAAGAACAGCAAGCAATTATTAAGTATGTTGGTTGGTTGTTATTTCTTTTAAAAGTCGGACAAGAAATTAAAAGATTATTGCTGTTAATTCTTTATGTTTTTAAAGAATTCAACAAACTACACTTAAAAAGCAATCGGCATCGCGATTTGTAGAGCACATGGTTGTAATGAGCGAGCTGGACTTGGAGGTCCGTGCAAGAATTGAGTTTGTTGAGTTGTTTATTCAGTGATTTGATTTTCAAGCGAAAGAAACTCCAATTACCAGTGCAGCGATACCTACCATATACACGTTTACACACATATATAAATAATTAGCATAAATTCAATAAAGTTTGGTTGTTTGTTGGTTTATAGTGACGGATTATTACACAAGTTACGCGGAATTATACGGAATTTTGGGATTCAGGTAAGCTTAGATGCAGGTGTGGGCGTTGCGATATCCACAAAAATGCTAACAACTGTCAAATATTTGAACTGCAGAATTTCTAACGAACTATAAAAGACGGGCTTCGGACGGCAACGGAAGTTAGTAAGCGGAAGCAAGTCAAGAAAATGACATTCAGAAAATACCTAACATTGCTGCTGGTGCTGGGGAGCGCTTGGTTCGGCCAAGCCACTGAGGAGGAGACCCAACTACAGCGCAACAAACGCACTCTGACCACCATTTGTGTGGAGATCAAGCCAAATAATCCACAGGAGGAGCCCTATTTCATGTGCAAAGGAGCGGACTTCACTCGTGCCGGCTTCCAACCCACCGCCACGGTTCCCAGCTACGGCACAGCGGTCACTGTGCAGAGTGTACAGCCGACCATTAACAATTATCAGCACCCGACAGCACCCATGCCTTTTCCATCATTTCCCGCCTTTGCGGCGGGTTTTTTTCCGGCCCCAGCTGCCGGCAATCCCACATTCCCAGCTCAAAATCCCAGCTATGGCGAGGAACAGCCGAAAACTGCGCCATCGTCGCCATATAATGGACAACAGCAAATCGATGCAATGCCCTATGGCGGGTACAATAATAATGGCGCCCCCGTCAACAGCCCCGCAGGCGCTCCTGCCTTTGCACCTTCGCCTTTTGCGCCAGCATATGGCCAGCCAGCAGTTTCTTACACAGATCCAGCAAGCCCAGCAGCGTCTGCGCGAGGAAATGCAGCAGGTCCAGGCTCAGCGCCCTCGGCCGCTCCATATGCTGCTCCAACGGATAAGAAACCGCCGACAGATGCACAAGCAACTTCAGAGCAACATCCTTCAAATGGCCAGGATCCCAATGATGGCTACGATGCGCCCATAGTCAGCGCCAGACATCACAGTTCCATGGATAAAGATGTGCTGGCCATGCCAAATGTGGGCTTCCAATTACAGGAGCTGAACTCCAAGTATAGGCAGCCCTTTGTGCCGCAAACGGATCCCATGCCCATGGTAATGCTGCCCGGTATGTTGCCCCAGCAAATGCTGCCCCTGACGCAGGCGCATTTTCAGGAACCACAACAAATGATGCCGCTGGCACAGACGCAGTTTCAGGAGCCCGCAGCCGCTAGAAGTTTGGACAGGCCCAATATTTCGGACTACTATGATGATCCGGTGATGCGCAGCTTCTATGGCGGTGCACCACCACCAGCGCCACTGACCGCAACTGATCCAGATCCGGCCGCCAATTCAGAACTGATGTTCCAGTACAATATACATTCCAATGTTACGCCGCCACCTCGCCTGAGCGGGCAAAACTCCACCATTCCGGAGTTTAAGCCGATGGCGAGACAAATGAGTCCGTCGAGCGATTCCTATAAGAAGCCCACTGAGCGACCGGCAGGGAGACAACAATGGGTTTATTCACGCTTACCAGAATTTTCTGCAAGACCTAGACCTGCTCCGGCCAACAACTATCAAGTGCCAACTACAACCACAACACCTAGACCACCGCCGCCACCCGCCCCAGCACCAGCACTGGCACCCGCTCCACCACCCGCTCCGGCACCCGCTCCGGCACCCGCTCCAGCACCTGCACCCGCAGCCGCACCATCGCCCGTTCCCTCTGAAATGTTGGCGCCAGTGGCTCCCTTCAGACAATACCACCCCTATGCGCCACCAGTTCAGACGAATGCCTGTGGTGGCTGCGCACCGCCGCTACCAACTCCACCACCAGCCTGTGCCACCCCGCTCGACAATGGGATTTCGTATGCAGCGCCACCGTGTCCCAGCTACCAACCGGTAATTATAGCCATGCCCTGCTATGGACAACAACCACCCACGCATTATCTGGCTGTGCCGAATAACGGGTATGGTGCTGGCAGTGGACGCAGCGAACCGATGGTGGGCAGTCCTTATGGCTTGTCGCAGCAGGTTGGCAGTCCCTATGGCATGGGGCCACAAGTTGGCGCACCCTTCGGCCTTGGTTCGCCTTTCGGGCTGAATCCGTTTGGACCATTTGGCCAGCTCAATCCGTTCAATCCCTTCAATCGCCTGCTAGGCTCACCAGCGCCACCAACGCAAGCACCACAAATGGCTCCAACCACACCATTTCAGCGGCTTTTTCAAATGGGTGGACAACCTACTACCATGGAGCCGACCACATGGAAAACCACTGCCAGACCGAAGACTATCAGCTATGGCTACTCCAGCACCCCAGCTGCGACAAAAGCTAGCACCACTGACAGGCCTAGTCCGACAATAGGCGCCTCCTTGGACGAGGAAGACGAGGAGCCAAAGACACAGGCCGAACCAGAACCCACCGCCTCGAATGAGCCAGCAACTGGAGCGGCCACTGACATCTCACCAACGGATGCGACCGAGGGCGATGCCACTTCTGCAGAAGACGATGATAGCAAATCCAAGGAATCGGACGATCAGAGCCCCAAGCAGCTCCTAAACGAGGCTGAGAAGAAACTCAACTCCGACAAGCGACGACGTCATTATCCACGAGCCAGCAGCAGCAATGTCCAGAAGCGCAAATACCTGCAGAGATTGTAGTTGCACCTGAACTTTCTGGCTAGATTTAACATTTGAATTGAAAACTCAAGAATAAAGCTATATACTGACAAATATTTTCTATCTAAAAACACTTTTCATTACGAGTATAACTGAATATAATTTCTTTTATGATGGGCGATTATTTATTCTTCTTATAAAACTTTAAATCTGAGAAAATTCCTTTCCTATATATAATTTCTTTTATGATAGGCGATTATTTATTCTTCTTATAAAATTTTAAATCTGAGTTAATTGCTTTTCTATATACTTATAATTTCTTTTATGATGGGCGATTATTTATTCTTCTTATAAAATTTTAAATCTGAGTTAATTGCTTTTCTATACACTTATAATTTCTTTTATGATAGGCGATTATCTATTCTTCTTATAAAATTTTAAATCTGAGAAAATTCCTTTTCTATATACTTATAATTTATCTTATGATGGACGATTATCTATTCTTCTTATAAAATTTTAAATCTGAGAAAATTTCTTTTCTATATATAATTTCTTTATGATGGGCGATTATCTATACTTCTTATAAAATTTTAAATCTGAGAAAATTTCTTTTCTATATATAATTTATTTTATGATAGGCGATTATTTATTCTTCTTATAAAACTTTAACTCTGAGAAAATTCCTTTTCTATATATAATTTCTTTTGTAATAGGCGATTATTTATTCTTCTTATAAAACTTTAAATCTGAGAAAATTTCTTTCCTATATATGTATATAGAAAACGAAAAATTTTCTTTTAGATATGGCGATTATTTATTCATACGGCAAGCTTCTTATAAAACTTTAAATCTGAGGAAATTCCTTTTCTTTGCTGCACTTTTTAAATTTCCGCTATAAAGCTCTTGGCTTGCACGCGAGCTACCCAATTGGCTTTTGACTGACGGCCTAGATTGGCCGCCTTCTTGCCGGCTTCATTATCTTGACTATAAATCAGCACTTGCCTGTTAGCCACGTTGGCGTCATCTGGCTTATAATTCGCTTTTTATTAGCCTTTTCTGCTGCAAGTTTAATGAGCTTGCTTGAGCGGCTAATGTCAAAATATTTTTATTTAATTTCGCGAAAAATAAAAAGAAGCTAAAGCCAACTTATTACCATATCCTTGTCATTGGAGGCTTGTAGTTGAAAAAAAATTTAAGAAATTGCAAAATATTTAATTTAAATACATACATGAACATTATTTGTTGAGAAACAACTAGAAGTACTCTAATGGGACGATATATTCGTGTAGGAAAGATTGTTCGCTTATTGGTCTGTAAAATTTCTTTAATGCGTTATAGAAAAGTCTACATATTTCGGTAAATAATTAAATAACAAATTATTTCATAATTAAGATACTGACCAGTGCAATGCAGCATTAGAAAATCCGTTTAACCAAATAATAAAAAATATATATATCTTAAAAAAAAAAAACATTAAATTATTAAATATATATAAAAAATATAAATTATATAAATAAAATCATTAATAAGACGAGTACAATCCGGCAGCATAAATTATTTCTAATTTCCATTTAAACTAAAAATAAAAAAGAAAATCTTTATAATGGAATAAGAAATATATAAAAATATATAATGCAGAAAAACTCTTATTTGGGAAAAGAAACAAAAATAAATAATATTTATTGAAATGATATAATGTTTTTAAAAAATATATTGCTTATATAAACGAATTGTTAACTTATATGTTGAAATGCATTTCTTTATAGGACAATACAGGAATGCAAACCCAAGAGTTTTGTAGCTCTTAGCTAAGTATACTTAGTATACTTACTAAGTATGCTCGCTGATGTATCAGCTTTTCAAGCATTAAGTCTAATATTAAATCAGATTTTAAAGCGGTGAGCATTAATATTAAATAAGTTATATCCAGCTTATAACAAAAAGCCAATGGGAAGTGGTTTTCAGTCATTAAGTATATACGTATATATATACGAGTATATCGGCTTCCTCCACTTGTATGCACTTCCGGTTCGCATTCAATCGTTAAGTCATGCCAGACGCGTCTTTAAGGCAATTTCGCGTCACGGATCTTTGTTGCCAGCCAGAGGCAATCGAAAATAAAGTCATATACAAGTAGGAACCCGGGCTGCAATCGAATATACCCAAGTATTACAATGTTGAGCACGTAAAGCGATTGAAATAAATAATGGATTTATGTATGTATGTGTTGCATGAAAACGAAAATCGCTGATAGATAGAGAAACAGAAAGGCAATTATGTTTTAAGTCAATGCACCGCCTAGTCGAATATCTGTGGAGTGGAGCCGCAGATGGTGTTATTTCTAAATGCTAAAATGGGGTTAACACCTCAATACTACATGCATTTGTTTATGTTGTTCAGCCCGATTGCGAAATTTGGACAGTGCGCTCTGCTTCCTCATTCCTCGTCGCAAAACTAAACGAAATTGCCGAGGCAGCATTATTTTCCTTCAGTGCAGAGCACTGTCGACGACGACTTCACCTATAATTGCAATCGGAGCCATCGACTAGTTGTGATTGAGAGTTCGCGTCGAGAGGTTAAAGTTACATCGGTCGAAATGTTCAATTCCTGGATCAGCGTAACGCTGACGCTCAGTCTATCGCTAGTTGTGGCCGATCCATCGCAGCTGGACACAAATGTGAATGGGGCCAACAATATTGGACTGCTGCCAGGCAAGCCGCAGTATTATCTTATGGCCGATGCCGGTTCCGATGTCGCACCCACGGAGGAACTGAAGCGCACAAATCGCTCGTTGCTGAAATGGTGGGACGAACTGTTCAGACAAAACAATTGTTGCAACAACAACAACTACAATGCTTATCCTGGCGCACCTGCTGTACCGGCCGGTGGTTGCGTGGGTACTGGTGGTAGCAGAAATTTGCTAGAGCTTGATTCCCTGGATCCCTTCAAGCAATTGAAAAAGCTCAAGAAACTGCCCGATCTCTTCGGTAGCGTCACAAATTGTGCTCAGCAGCTAGTGCCGTACAACAACTATGCACCACCCGCCGGTCCAGGCTATGGAGGCGAGGGCTACGGCTATGCACCACCGGCCCAGCCTGGATATGGCAACAACAATTACAATGCTGCGCCAGCGAGTGGCAATTACAATGCACCACCCAACGGCAACTATAATTCTGCACCGCAAAGTGGCAACTACAATGCTGCACCACCCAACGGCAACTACAATTCTGCACCACCCAATGGCAATTACAATTCTGCCCCGCAAAGTGGCAACTACAATGCTGCACCACCCAGCGGCAATTATAATTCTCCACCCCCCAGCGGCAACTACAATTCTCCACCGCCAAGTGATAATTACAATTCTGCACCACCGCCCGCTGCCTATGACGATCCAAGTCCCGTTTACGATGGACCAGGCGACGGAGATGCCGCACCACCATCCCCACCCCCTTCAGAGAGTTATGTCGCACCCAAGCCGGCGAGCGAATATGAAGAGCCAGCAGCGCCCACCTATGAACCAGCTGTGGTTCCAACACGTGGCGATGATTCAGCGCCACAACAACCGGCAGCACCACAACCACCGCAAATTGTTTACCAGCCTATTATTTATCTAACGGGAGCTGGAGGGGGGTTTCCCTATAGCCAGCTGCCCAAGGCCAAGGCCGAGGAGCCAAGTGCAGTTGAGAGCCAAACAGTGGAACCACCGGTGGAGGTGGAACCGGTAACAGTGCCACCTATTTATACAGCGCCCACGCCGTCTTCAATTGCTCCAGTGCCGCCAACACCTCCAGTTACGCTGCCAGCTGCTGCACCACCAGCAGCGCCTGTGGCACCACCAACGTGCAATTCGCCCGCTTGTGGCAGCTATTTTCCCATAGTCGGCGTCCCATTCTATAACTATAACTATGCACCACCCGTCTATGCAGCACCGCCTCAAACAACACGAATAATATTGCAGCAAGCGCCGGCGCCACCACCAGCACCCAGCTATGCACCACCAGCCCCCAGCTATGCACCACCAAATCCACCACCAGCACCACTGTATGCACCACCAGCACCAATATACGAGTATGCGCCGCCCTCTCCGCCCAGCTACTATGGCTCATCCTCATGCCACTCGCCCATACGGCTATCCCTGATCGATCAGCCCTATCGTGTGGCACCCGAACTATTTGCCGAATACAACTACCGCCTGAGATTGGCCGATCAGAACATGTTTTAGCTATAATCTATAACGCCAAAGACGTCTTGATTGCCTTGTAAATAAAACGAAACGTTGCTACTGATGTCGTCTGATACTTTTTAGTGCCATTTTATTTCACAGTTATCAGCAATACGAGCACAATATGGGTCTCTGTATCGAGCCTAAATGTTTGTACAGTTGCCCATATGTATTCGTAGCGATTTCCGCCCGCAATGCCGGCGGACTTATCAACGGGAACACATTTGTCTGCATTTCCATAAACAGTTCGAAATTATCGCATATGCATGCAATGTCGCCTACACTGGGAAAAAAATTGAATAGGTTTTCGAAGGAGCAACTAAGAATGTTGAATTTAGGAGCAAGTGCATTAAAATTTCAAAGAGGAGTTCGAATAATCAATTTATTTCTTAGATATGTATAAGAAATTATATTATTCATTATACTCAGGTATTAACTGTAGATGTGTGAGATATTGAGGGAGTTTCCGCATTAAATTCAGAATAATACACAGAATGAACTTGCTGCACTTTCTGGAATAAAAAAAAAAGTTCAGTTGAAGTACTGAGCTCTGCAAAGTAGAATTTAACTTTAGAAATTCTATAAATTTGAGAAAACCACAAAATTATTCGGAATGTTAGATTGGGATATCTATTTATAAATATTTTGAAGTACATAACAGCAATATTTCTTGCTTAGAAACCTTATAAAATGAATGTCTGCTTACGTAGGCAATGCCTATAAAACAGTTTTAAAAGTCGAGAAAAATTATCAACAAATCTATAGCAGCTATAAACAGATAGGAACTGTTCAGTATGCCGATAGTTCAATATTCTGAGATAGAAGTTATTGTAAACTTTTTATTTATAAAATAAATAAATAATAAAATAAATGTTATTTTAGAAAAACTTAAAAAAATTGAAATAATGACAGATTCAATGTTCGATGTTAGATATAATATTTTATAATTTTAGTCATCAACAATTCTCCGAGATCGATTACAAATGTATTTCAACAATACAAAGTATGTGTCTGGCATCTGACAAGATTTTTTTCTAAGTGTATGTTTGTTTACCCCATTCTGCAATCTTCTGCTCTTTACCGATATGTTTGCTTTTTTTCCATATGGTCGCGATGACGTCGGCAAGAATTTGAGTGGCGATTGCTTCTTAGTCAGTCACTTGGTCGCTGGATCGCGTCGTCTTGGGTCTCTTGGGTCTGTTTTCATTTTCAAATTCAAATTCCATAACAAATTGCAAAAGATAAACACAGAGAGACTTCCTTCTCTACACACAGATCTACACAAACACATACTATATACATACATATGTATGAAGTATGTGGGCATTGAGGGTTCCATTTCAAAATGCGATAATAGTACGAGAGCTGCTCATAAACACAAAAGCAGCCGTGACCATGACCGTGACCAAGTGAAAGTGACTGCAGCAGCAGACTGTGGAGAGGAGGGAGGCGGGTGACGGGAGACGGGAGGGACGGGGGGCAGGCAGGCACTGTTGCATACAGACAACGGACAGACACTGGAACGATGCCACATCGTTTGCTTACTTTGTTTTACTTTGCATGAGGCACGCACTTCTTGCCTCGTCTGGCCGATCGGCGCATAGCGAGCGTAACGAAGAAGGAGGAACCCCTGCAGCATACTATAAATACATAGAAGCATACATATACTTATTTATGCATTGTTTACATAATCTGGTATATCGCTAGTTAATTGAGCGGGCCATGCTTAATAAATTAGCTGGCATACGAGTATAACTGATTATGGCATAGTTTCATATCCGGTACAAAAATCTTATCTTTAAAACCATAATATTTGAAATATTTGAATACTGAAGAGATTATCGTAGGCAAAGGTACATTTCCATTGGTGTTTACTGTCTATGGATTATGAGTTCGTATTTTGAGTTGTGTAGTTAACCATTTTAATTATTAATTATTATTTCATATCTGGTACAAAAATCTTATCTTTAAAACCATAATATTTGATATATTTTAGTACTGAGGAGATTACATTATTGGTGTTTACTGTTAATGGTTTATGAAGTCGTATTTTGAGTTGTGTACCTTTGTGTAGTTAACCCTTTTAATTATTAATTATTATAAATTATTGAAATAATTGGCATACACTCCTAACTGTAACACTCTCGTCATGAAATGCCTTTTATATAGACGTAATGGCATATCTGTTTTGTGTGTATTTTCTAATATAAATTGCGGATATTTTTTGCGACATCATATAGCTATAGTTAGCGAATTTTGTTGAAACTTTAATATCAAAGAATATCATAACTATGTATACTCTTCTTGTTAATTCAATCCGATCTTTCCTTTGACAGTTATATAAAATAGTGAGGCTATGGTGTCCTTAGTCAAAATATGTCAAAATATCTTGAACAGATAGACAGAGATGTCTATAACGACTCGCCTTGACACTGGATCTGTCAAGCTTCCTTGGGATTTTCTACTGTCCCCTTTCAAACTTCACGCATAGCAGGAAGATTGGATTCTTATTATTGGGTAGTTTTTGGGGAACTATGATCTGGTAAACAAGGTATTAAGTAACGCATGTTGCAGCATATTGTTAAAAATTAAAGATCCTTTCGCACTTCTGTCTGATATATTGCCAACGAGCGGTGTCTGTTGTGGATATGTTTATATTAAAAATTTTATTAGACATTACTAATATGGTTGGTACTAATTGATTTTTTGTTAGTCCTACAATAAATGCGGAAGTATAGGAGTGATTATATATCTTTTAAATTATTCATTGCTACCATAGCTATAAACTTCTATATTTATGAGAATTATCAGCATTTTCCCGAATATCTTAAATAATGTTTCTTCTAACCAAATAGTTTTGTTTTCTTCGCATCAAAATCTATTATTTCAATTATTAGTTAATAACACAAAATAAAATGTGAATATGAAGAAATGTAAAAAAAATCTGACTAAATATGTAATATACTTGTAATGTCGAAAATATAAAATATTCTGAATGAAGGAATCTAAATATTTTATAGCTATAATATCTAAATATTCATAACCAGGTAATCAGTCAATTACATTGTCCATGAAAGCTTTGAAAACAAATAAAAAGAAAACAAAAATATAACTAAAAGTATATACTTATTTAAAGTACTTCAAATATTTTACCAGAAATACCGGAAATCTATTTCAAATAGATTTTAACGCGTTTATCCATTCGTAACGCATTTAGAGTTGTGGAATTTAGAATCAATCTAAATATTCATAAACAAGTGATCAGTCGATTCGAAACAAATAAAAAGAAAACAAAAAGTATATACATATTTAAACTACTTGAAATATTTTACCAGAAACATTAGATTTAAACGCGTTTATACATTCATTATGCTTTTAGAGTCGTGGAATTTAGAATTGGTCACAGTCCATGTCCGATTTGGGTTTCAGAAATAGCAATAGGTTTTAAAATATATATTATCTGCTCCGCATATCCCGTTTAAGTTTAATAGTCATGTTAAACGTGTCGTTCAAATTAGTTCTGGATGTTTTATTTATTTTCTCATATGCGTATTTTGTTAATCCAAAATTTCTGTACAAGATTTTAAAATCTCAGTATTTGCATCATTTTAGGGATTGACAAGCAAAATATTAAATAAATAAATTGAAGAGTCACCCAAAATGATTTTTAATTAAGTGGAGAGCTCAGGAGATGTTTGCTGGTGCCTCTAGCTATTACAATTTTATGTCCTATGTCCATTTAATGTAAAAGAAAGTGATTTTCTTTATTATAATTTCGGAAAACCTTCTGAACTTTTATCATAAAACTGTACCCATACCATCACTCAACAAGGCCAATCCTATTTATCAAGCTGGCTGGCACACTCAAGAGATTGCGCTGAGATCACAAAACGATCCAATCAGTTGGTGGCAGCATGGTAATACGCATGATCGCCTCTTCGAGCGTCGAAAAACTACCCCACACAGATTTTTCTCGGAACGGGGGGATCGAGTTGAGCATAATTGAGTGAGCAAGTGGAGCAGTGATCATAAAATAAAAATTTAACAGCACATAAACAACAAGGGACACATGGGCCACTCGAAAGCAACAGCCACAGGGACTGAAGGGGAACTCTTGATGCCGCATGGCACTTGTGGCATCATGTTCTGTTGGCATGAGATTCCTCAAAATAACGCCACAGATATACACATAATACAAGTAGGATAAAGTTGTACAACTGTATGAAGAACTTCGCATGTCATTTATTTTTATGACATTTTAAAAGTGATTTTGATAGATAATTGTAAATTCAAATTTATTTTTTCATTTCATTGTGTTCTTAGACTACTGTACTATATTTTTACTCTGCTTCTTCTCCTTTTCAAACAAATTTTAAGAAGTAGTGTGGGAAAACTAATAAATTAAATGATTTAGTTAATTTTGCTTTTAATGTTGAAGCTGTTCATAAAATTTCCCTATTAAAGATTTATGAAATGTCTATAATATTTACGATTATATAATAAGTCCGAATTGCTTAAAAATTCTTTAAAATTTGGTGGAAAGCGTTCATGCTTCAAAGATTTTTCCTTTTAATCAGTGAAGTCGAAAGTTAATTTAGATTATATATCTTTTATATGTCTTTTATCATTTGGAGATGATTTCTTGAATTACTCCTTGAGAACATTTGGAATTTGGAAACAACATTTCGGAAATTTAAATTTTGTTTTTGAAAATAAGAATTAATTAAACAGTTTATCAGACAATTTGTATAATGAATTGAATGCAATAATAAACTAAATCAAATTATTCTTGTTATGTCTGGACTCTTACAAGTTCGTTCTAAAGAAATTTGACTGTAATGTATTTAGTTTGGAGACAACGAGCTATGCGGCGGTTTTGAAAACGCCTGACTGACGCACTCACACACACACACAAACACACACTCGCACGGATCCATATATATATATATTTTTACATATTTTTGAAGTGAGTTGTGTGGCGTCTATGTCGAGTGGTCGCCACAGTGGGGGTTGTAGTACCATCAGTTTTATTTATGTGGGGCAAAACTTTGTGGAAAATTTCATTTGTTGTTTCAGCTACCACATCTATATACACGTATAATTTCACATTTCATATTTCTGACTCAATGATGATTGGAAATGTGAATAATTGGGTGCTGGTCTTCTGCTGAATTGAAATATATTTTCTTAATACTAGATGGTGGCTCTACATAAAGTTTATGATTTTGCAATGCTTATGAAAGCAAACGCCAACTTTTTCTATGTGGGTTTATGAAACCAGCAGTTATTTAAACAATTTTTGAGTGTTGTTTTATGACAGCTATGTGATATATTGTTTTTCGTCATATATTAATATATTTTTTATATAATTATATTTTTCGAATGTCATTTATTTGTTTATTTATTTATTAAAAGTTCTTAGCGCGACAAGAAAGAATCTTATATTAAAACCATAAAATATTATTATAAAATATTCACGGATTCCGACTGGAAAATTGAAAAGTGAAAATGGAAAATCTCCTGATGCTTTAGGAGCTGCTAGATTCAAGAAAATTGTTAATGTTTCTAATTTTCAATATTTGGATATCGGCTTCGATTTGTTTGCCTGCTCATGCCGACTATTTAAAGACTGTAGATTGAGAATATCATCTTAAAAAAGGCTTCTGATTATCTTCATGCTACAGACATTGTTGTAAGTTTTGTGGTTATGTTTCTAATTTTCACTATTTGGATATCGCTTTAGATTTATTTTCCTGCTCCTGCCGACTATTTAAGACTGTAGATGCAAAAAGATTGAGAATATCATTTTAAAAAAGGCCTTTGATTATCTTCATGCTACAGACATTGTTGTAAGTTTTGTGGATCAGCTTTTTTTGAATGCCAACCGCCAAGATGTCTGTAAAAATTTCAACAACATCTTGGCTCGTGCGGCCAAAAATAATGTCAAGCAATATGCCGACCAAACGTCTTTTAGTAAATTGAAATGAAATTAAATGAAATTTCTGAAATGACCCCAAAAAATGGGCATGGTAAGCAGCTTGCTGACTTGCGTTGGGCTGATGAGGCAAAAGAAATGAACTTACAAATGTAACAACAAATGCAAGAATTAGTTCAACAGACTTGTGCTAACTAGACAGAAATTTAGGCAAGCGCTTGGGTATATAAACTAGTCACACGTCTGTCGAAGTTATCAGTCAGCTTTGGTAACTACAGCTCCAACAGCAAGTTCAATTTTCAAAACCACTTCAACAAGATGAAATTCTTCGTGTGCTTCGCTCTGATCGCCGTCGCTGGCTGCGCCTTGGCCTCCCCAGCCAGCAGCGGCAGCTCCTCATCCATTTCCTCCAGCAACCAAGGCGGTATTGCAGCCAATGCGGATTCCGAATCGGAGACATCGGAGCTGGGCCGTCTGGGCTATGGTGATGTGGCTCGCTTCCGCAAGTCCGCCTATGGTGGCAGCTCTGGTGGTTATGGTGGTGCTGCTCCTGCCAGCATTCAGGCCCCACCCTGCCCCAAGAACTATTTGTTCAGCTGCCAGCCCAGCCTTGCTCCCGTGCCCTGCAGCGCCCCAGCTGCTGCTAGCTATGGATCCGCCGGCGCCTACTCCGCTCCAGTGGCCACCTACGTGAACCCCAGCTATGGAGTGCCCCAGCACCAGCAGCAATACTATGGAGCCGCCTATGTGCCACAGAACTACGGCTACAACTACTAGGATGCTGAATGATAACGCTTAGATCCTGATATAACTCGACACTGCTGAACTGAGAAACAAAAATCTTGTACGGGTCTTAAAATGTAAAAAAAATATTTATATCATAATAAAATCAAAGTTAATTCCTAATGGAAAGAAAGAAAACGATTTATTTGTTGTTGTTTGAGCGAAATTAAAACAAAATGAAGGTGTTTTAAGAATAAGTAATTCCAATAAATAGTAACCACAATTTGAATCATTATGTGGGAAAAAAAATAGCAAATGAAAATATAGTAAGTAGAACTTATGACGCCATGGATTTGGATTTCATTTATTATTATTAATTAATTAAGTGAAGTGATTATTAAACTCATATATTTCATCGTTTATCAATGAAATAAACCAAGAATTAATCCATCTGTTCGATTCGTTGTGGTTTGATTTTCCCCTTTATTACTAAAAAGACTTCCTATATATATTTTGGATTAAAATTTCGCTTTAAAATTGATGTGAATATTTGCCTTCCACTAGAGTAATTTTTTTTTTTTAATTCTACATTTAATATATAATATTAATATATAATAATATATTAATAGGACATCGAATTTCAAGCTAATTCTATGGTTTGGGTTGGTCCTGATCCAAAAACTTGATGTGGCAACCATTCTCAAACAGGCCTCCAAATTATTCATAAACATTTTATAAATCTTGACTATTGATATATCCATGGCAGAGGTCCAAAAAGATCATGAAACTAAAGAAAGGCCTCTTTCTTTCTATTTATCATTGGAAGACAAAGCATTCATTGTGGTTGGAAACAAAATGTAAACTGCAAGTGCCAAGATGATTCAAGCATTGATAAACGAACTGTAGTGTTAAAGACATTTGAGAATCGTTTTCTAAATTTTGATAATTAAGTAAATTAAACAGCATTAATTTTTTTCACACTACGTTTATATTTAATTCGTCAGCACATATAGATTTTACAATTCAGAAGATGAAAAACCCTTTGTGGGCTTATCTTTGCAAGGCTTGGAAGGAGAATTGCAGCGTTAGGTTTGGCGGACAGTATTATAGTAATTAATTAAAAATAAAAGAAAGTTTTCTTAATTAGAAACCTAGGGGCGATATCAACTTTTGTCGTCTTTTGTATTTCTCACAACATTTCTTTAAAATATTGTGCAGCAACAACTAAGTCTGTTAAGCTCAATTTCTTTTGTTAGCTTCGACTACGAATATAGAATGTATCGAAATATAGAAAACGATTTGCAGAGAAGACATTCAAGCCGTGTTAAATAATGTTATGGTCCATTTCATGGATTGATAATAATAATATTTAAGCCAATATGAAAGAAGCTAGTTAGAACCAAAAGACCTAAGCTAAGAACTAAATTTATTCAGAGCTACACATTTATTTTATTATTATTATTCCCCCCTTTTACAAAACAATTGTCTTTTGCATTTCCTTCATGTACTCGCAGTATTGCCCCAATCATCACAATCGAGCTTAAGCCATATTATTGAGTCGACATTTTTGTTGCTATATAAGTTTATCGCATATATAAGTATATATGTACTCGTATGTGCTGGTGGGGTCTTTGAACCCATTGCTGCATGGTCAAGCCAAAAATATTGTTTTGATTTTGGTTGCCAAGAAAAGTAAACGATTTATTTTGCAACCACGACTCCAATACGCTGAAAAGAAGGCGGAAGAGCAGGGAGCTGTAAAAAAAAAACATCTGTCCATGCAAAAAATGTTATGCCCCATAAGTTGACACTTTCTAAATGGGGATTCTTCTGCCCAAATGCTAGGTATTTGCTGACCTTCGAGTTTCAAGTTCGCATAAAATTCTTTCAACCGACAGCTCAGTATCAGTAATCAATCGCCGTCCAAATAGTCGGGATGTCAACAACCATGTTAGATAGATTTTACAAGTTAATGCCAGACTATTGGAAAGAATTGGAAAATTGTAAATTCTTTTCATATTAAGCTTCTGATATATATTCTTATATGGCATTTCTCTGCTGGGCTAAAATATTTCAAGGTAAGTCTGCAAAAATTCGGTGTATGATGAACACTTTTGGAGACATTAGAGTTTCACGTTTAGTTCGTATAAAAATACTGTTCTAAATAGATGTTTGTTATTATTAGTTGCACCGTTAGAATTATTTTAACACATGAGAGATAAGATGATGAGATAAGATAATCAAAATATACAACGATCTGTGTGAAAAATTCCATATAACTAAAAAAGAACTATTGAGTGTTTTCGAGATTTTCATAGTTTAGCTCTTAAAAAAATTAATATCGCACTTAGTGTTTTATTAAATTAATATTAACTTTAATATGAGATGATACAAAGATAAGATAAGATGCCTTATAGAACAATATATGTTAATGAATTCTTATCAAGCCCTCTCCAGCTATTGATAATACAAAAGATTTCGGTTATACTATTAATGTATAATATAAGTAGGAAAGTTATACAAAGCTGATTCAAAACTTTAGACTATAAACCCTTTAACTTAGAATTATCCACACTAGGTCAAATTTTAATATGCAGAATAGAAACCGATTGAGTTTCAATTTTCAAGCATAACCCATTTGTGAACTTTTTACCTTGACATGTAGATTTTGGGAAATTTTTGATTTTATTTATGCAGCTGCTGGACAGCCAGATGGTCAACAATGTCTTGACATTGCCTCATTTTTTATTCTACTTCTATATGCAGAGGTATTTCCGCATTGAGACCGATTTTGCGCTTCGCTCTGCATTTTCCAGCGAATGAAACCCAAATGGAAAGTGCATTTATAAAAACACCTGCTCCCGAGCCATTGGGAGCCATTCGCAGTCTCAGTTGACAGTGCAGCGTTCATCTTAAGTTACTCCAGCCACCCAGATAGCCAACATGTGCAGACCCTGGACTCTTATTTCGTTGCTTGTCCTGTGGCTCAGTGAACTCCATTTCAGCTCCGCTCAGCATCCTTACCAGCTTGACCACCACTGGGCGTCTTCATCGCGGTGTTTGCGAAGCCTGCCGATGCCGCTTTATCACTTCATACCTGTTCGAGTCTATACGCCACAAGCGCTGGCCGGGATTAGTGAGGGCACAGAATCCACAGAATCTGTGGAGCGAACTCCCCGACAGCAGCAGCAACAACAACAGACGGTGGTTGTGCAACAGCAGCAGCAGAGCAGCGGCTTCGGCGGTTTCGGTAGACCTGGATTTGGTGGACCTGGTTTCGGTAGACCCGGCTTTGGACCCAGTCGAGGTGGCTTTGGTGGTGGCTTTGGCGGCAGTTTTGGTGGAGGTTTTGGGGCTGGCTTCAGAGGCCGCAGCTATGAGGAGGAGAAGCCGAACGAGAACATTGCACAAACAATTCCAGCGCCAACGTGCCCGCAAACCTACATCATATCCTGTGGAGCGTCCCTAGAACCTGTGCCCTGTGCTACAGGCAATTGCAATAATTGATGAAAATAAAAGAAAATTCTTATACTATATTACAACATTTTGTTGGAGTTTATTTCCCTAAATTCTGCGGTTGGGGTTTCAACTTATTTAAATAGTTTAAATAGTTTTCAACACTCTCTGCGTAAGTGTTGCCAGCACCTTGTCACAAAATAAGGACAAAGAGACATAAAAAAAAACAAAAAACGGTATAGAAAAATTGAAAAAGGACAACTACTTTTTTTCATATAAAGCGTATTATTGGTATGCAAATTCGATAAAAAAAAATTCTAAAATTTATTTTTTAAAAAGAATTAAATAATTTTTACACAAACTAAAGTAAAAACAAGAGATTGAATTATAGCAGAAGAAAGATGCAGTTTATGATCGTTTTACTGAAGTTGTTAGAATTGGCCGATTTTGCTTTAAAACAAAAGTCAATAATTGTATATACATTACATGCATTCATCCAGACAGACACGCGGACTAGCATGTATATATGAATATATATATATGATTATGAATATATATACATTTATGTACTTTCTTCTGTCAGTTACATACTACCACAAATCTAATATAGAATTTATCCCTACAGGTACAGTTTATAAACAATTCTAAAAAATGCCAAGTCAGCCCAAAAAAATGATCGATTTTCGGATAGGGGATGTTTGAAATTTTATCAGGCAAAAGCAATTCTTAAATGGTCAGATCTATCTGGAAAAAGGCTGAAATGGCAACACTGCTCTGCATAGACGATCAAAAGTGAGGTACAAACGTGGCAAGGGGGGTGTTGTCAATAATTCTAGACAACAAGAGAGCAAAGTTAACTGAAAATCTATAGAAGCAATTGGTTGCACAGAAATTAAAAAATTATGTTAAGATTGAGATTTGGTTTAGAAACTATATACTTGTAGTAGATGGAAAATATAACAAATACGTTTCAATATGAAAGAAAATATATACATTTATTAAGCAAGCGTTGTATATTTCTTAAATATCTTTTAAGCTATAGTATATATTTAAAAGAAATTAAGTTCAGATTGAAATTTGGATCACCTAGTATATATTGAAGAAAAGTTATAATAAATAGTCAGCTCTTCCATATATAAAAGTCATTTTAAAAGGTTCTATCTATCACGTATTGGAATTTGTGTAAATAGACTTCAACTATGTCGCAATCCATCAACCATTCAGAATGTTGGTTAACATATGTGCCCGGTTAAGTCAAAGTTGAACTGTATTACTTTTTCTAAATAATTGTATAAAATTATTTAATTACTAATTAAGAACTAATTATCTGAACATACTTGTTTGTGAATGGCGACGTAGCTGGTTGGATGGCGAATAATATAGTCTCAACCAGTCGGAAAAATTATTATAAAAGTTAAATTTTTATAAATTGTCGACGGCTGTGATTGTTTTGACAAATTATACAAATTCGTTTTGATTATTTCGTTTGATTGATTGACAAAAATGTGATTGAGAAGTATACGCGTAAAACTGTGTTCAGAATTCCAGAATCAAAAGCTAAAGTTGAATCTGTATTCTGCAGAGAAGTGAAAAGCTGCATTGTATTTGGAAATATAAAGCCCCTTAAAATTGGCAAAAAAAAACCCCAATCATCAACAGATTTAAATCAAAGAATTGAACAGAATGTTTGTTTTCTGTATGTTTCTCATTTTATTCAAAGCGTCAGTTGTCCAAGTGCAGGCCTTTACAGGAATTCGCGAACGTAGGGAACGGCATACTGGGGTGCATATTGGGAGTAGGCGCCTGCCGAGCCGTAGGAAGCAGCTGGGGCAGGTGCTGGAGCTGGTGGGGCAGCACAGGGAACTGGGGCCAATGAGGGCTGGCAGCTGAAGAGATAGCTCTTGGCGCAAGGTGGCGCCGGGTAGGTGGCGGGCGCGGCTGGAGCAGCTGGTGCTGAGTATTGTGGTGCGGCTGGAGCGGAGTAGGCTGGGGCTGGTGCTGGGGCGGCAGGTGCTGAGTACGCTGGAGCAGCTTGTGGAGCAGAGTAGGCGGGAGCAGCTTGTGGCGCCGGAGCCGAGTAAGATTGGGCCTGGGCTGGAGCACCATAAGATGAGCCACCACTGTTACCACCGTAAGCGGCACGCGACTGACGAATGTGTTGCTCGGCCAAAGGAGCAGGAATCAAGATTCCCTGCGTGGACTGCAGCTGAATGGTTTCGGCCCTGCAGCGGGTGAGCAGCACGAAGGCGACGAGGAATTGCCAGAAGCTGAAGGCCATTGCGTTGGTTGGCTTTTAAAATTGTTGCTAACGAACTGAAGCGCACTGAAGTAACGGAAGTTCTTGACTGATAGCTACCATCGATTTCGTATCGAACTTTATAGTCGTGCCAAAAAGTGCTGAGCACAACGGAAAGTGTGCAACGAAAGCAGCGGAAAAGCTCACAACCCAAAAAATAATGGAAAACGCTGAAACGTTTTTTCCACACCACTCAAAAAGTCGGTTTAGTATTGCCAAGGAGAGGCGAACTGGTTGACCAGCTAACACAATTTCAAGCTCAACTTTTGCCCAAATGGCGAAATCGTCGAACACTCTACTGTTTTTTCCGCCGCTGCTGCTGCTGCTACTGTTGCTGCTGACCCGCCCTCAGCCGCTCAAGAGCCATGCCGAAGTATCAGCTTCCGCCTTCAACCAAAATCAGAACCAGCAACAAAACTGGGCCCACTTGTTGCCCATCAACTATTATTCAGCGCTGAACCATCAGTACTATATGCGATTCCGCAGGCAGGCGCAGGCGCCACATTCATATCCAAATCGGCGACTATATGCATTCGAATATGCGCGTTATGTTTGATAGAGGATGCTTGAAAAAAAGATTTCACTCTAAAAGTTTATCAAATTATTGAAATGTATTTTAAAAACTAAATAAATATGCCAATACCTTATTTCAAAGAGATGTGAAGTTCTTGAGTCCATAATTTATTTATTCCAAAAAGCTTGGTCAATTGTATTTTTGCAACAGTCAGCGAATTGTTTATTTTGTGAGTGTATTCTGTTTATTACGTCTATTCTGTCAAAATAAAAACCCAAATATGATAATGCAAAATTGAAAACATTAAAAGCCAATTTCTTGCCTAAAGTTCCAACAACAGTTGTGGAATGATGAAAAAATACTCTTAGTATACATTCCATATAAAGACTACAAAACCAAGCACCTGCTTAAAGTTGTTTACTTTTTGATTTAAAAATATTACAATGGCGGTTAGAACTTAAGAAAACTATAGGTATATGGGACTCTCAACAAACGTTTAAAAGCTTCTATTTAGCGATTGTCTAATTATTTCTGAATGTTACAAGAGTTGAACAAAAATGATCTAAAATGTTTGTCAATAATATAACTAACTATTCCTAATTGAATTTCAAAATTGTTTAGAAGCAATAATGATCCAATTTCTTTGGAATATTACAGGAACTTCTATACTTCTATTTCAACAAACTTTAAAATGCTTCTAAAAAACGACTATTTGCGACTATCTAAATATTTCTGACTCTTACAAAAGTGATTGAAAATATTTCTTAACAATATAATTAACTATTCGTAATTAAATTTCAAAATTGTTTAGAACACTAATGATCCAATTCCTTTGGAGAATTACTAAAACATCTATACAAATTTGTTGGAAAAATAGATGTTCTTTGCCGAATTTATTTGACAAACATAGTTGTGTGTTTCTTATTGTTACATAAGAATATTCTCCATTAAATTAATTAACTACAGTTTAGTTGTTGTACAAAGTTTGAATTTCTTTCGAAGCCTGTTCGATAAATTTATCGCCTGCTTTTAAAATACTTTGTCAGTGCGCATGACTGCGGGGGCGGCTTTGACGTCACTAGGACGAAGGATATGTGCACAACAAAAAGCAAAGTGCAAACAAAACGAACCATTTGCTGTAAAAGTAACAAAAGTGAATTATTGCCATCGGATTCTTGAACAAAATGAAGCTTACACTGCGTCGTTTCTCGTGGCTGCTGACTCTGCAGTTCTCCCTGCTGGTGGCTGATTTGTTTTTCAACACCTTTGGCTCCTGGCTGGCTAGCAAACAGCTACAAACTGCAATATTTTTGTTTGTGTGAGTAGAGCATTTAATAATTGTGGCTGCAATGTAAGGAGCTCCACTACTTGTGAAAATATCTTTAGTACTCAGGACGTTTGCATCATCATTGAATATTTGCTGTTCACCTTGGCTCTGCATTCGACTTGCGTTTATCAGGTGGGCGCTTCGCACATAATTCTACGCAACTGTAAGCTCTTCCTGTGCAGCATTACACTGTACTTCCTGCTGTCCGCATCGCAACACTTCTGGATTGTCTACCAATATCGCCTGCCAGCCAGCTCTGCCACGGCACAGCAATGGCCTTGGGCCCTTTATGCCCTGGCAGTGTTGCAGCGCATGGGTGAGTTCTAAAAATAGTGCAAAGGCGGCCTAAAATTGATTTTAATGCCACCCACAGTCTCGGTTTTCTACTACTACAGTTCCAAGTCTACTGCGCTAACCATGGCTGATCCACGTTATAAGGAAGAACATTTAGATTGGATTGCAGCCCAGTTGGGCGATAAGTAAGGAAGCAGTGGGCCATATTGTAGATATTACTGTTACATAGATAGTTTATGCTCTATTTTCGAATAATTATAACGCAGCAAAGCACAAATCTACCTATGCGTCAAATAAATGTAAATAAAGTTGTGTAAATATAAATACAAATTATTTAGCTCTGCATTGAAAACAGTGTGTGTGGCGCCACCTGTGGGTTCAAACTCCGTCTGCATTCATTAAATATTAGGGAATGGGGATAAAGATCTGTAAAATCAGTCCCAAAAATAGTATATATTTTAAGAAACAATCCAAAAACCAATCCTGAAAACGACTGAGCTGTGATTACATTTATTTCTCACCAATTGTTTCCATCCTTTTTTTATGCATGCAACATACTATATTCCTAGTCAGCATGACCGAATTGTTCCTGAATATTGAAACGTTTTTAAAACGGTTTCTGTATGTACTTATTTGTGATTCAAATTTTGAATAGTTATCCAAAATTTTTTATTATATTTGTCAGCCTTAAAAAGGTAACTAAATAAAAATATGGTATCCAGTTCCGAATTCTAAACATTCCTATAAATTGCATTCCTGCATTAACTCTGCTCTTGCAACATTTGAATAAACAGAAATATTTGATAACGGTTTTTCAACTCACAGTTCGACAGACAAAAGAATACGATTTCAAAAGCGTAGTAAACAATGGGATACATCCTATATTGGAGTACATTTATTTATAAATTGGCAAATGTTCCTATACGTATGTATGTATATAGCGTTTTAATTTCTATTTTACAATGAATTCAAAAATGATTAATAGATAAATATTTATCTCGATTTGATTAATATACTCGTATGCAAAGTTACATGAATATGCCTATTGTTAAGCAGCAAAATGCTTGCTCTTCGATATTCATTATATTGTCAAAGGAATACTTATTCTATAAATATACAAATGTTTACTTTATAGACTAATCATATAACAACAAAATGATAAATTTACATGGTCACAATTCAATTTCAATTCGCACATACATATAAATCGATTCAATGCCTCTTTAATTTTGAAGCAATTATAAGCTTGATATGAAGAAGTATTGATAAACAGAGAACGACATCGACTAACCTAACCTTGTCCTACGTCACAGCAATGTATGTGTAGAAAGCTGTATTATACATGATTAAATTTATTGATCAGCGCTACGCGGATAGCAGACGCACGCCAAATAGTTGTTCCCACGATTGTCCAATGGCGTTCAAGCAGCACTCGGCATTATCCTTTGTGGCAAATTTTAAATGCCACAGTTCGGTTTTGTTTTGCGTCTCATCCAAAAAGTTTATTTTATACTCCGTGTCATCTACGGATTCCACATCCACCAGATTGTTCATCAATTGCGTAAGACAAATCTCAACCTCATCACTGTGGCTTGCGGAAAGCCAATTGCATTTGCTTGCCGAGCCCAAATACAAATGCGAGTCCGTGGTCAGCAGTGCACAAAAGTCAAAGTTCCGCTTCTCCCCCTCACAGGTCCAAACACAGCCATTGAGCAGGGCGCACATAGTAAGCTTTGAATCGGCCGCTTTAGATAGACGCTGCACTACATTTTCGGCCGGCGAGTGCTTCAGTTCGCATTGTGTCGGCAGAGTGGCGTCTGAGAAAAGAAGGATCGAAAACATTGATAATTAGAATCTTATAGCTTCAGTGAGAATAGTTTTAAAATTTATTAAGCTTGATATTAAAAGTGGATAGAACAACAATACAAAAGAAATATATCAGTAATTCAATCTGCAATCGATTTTAGAAAAACGATTTGAAGTGCTTTTTAGATTAAATAAAATTGTAAGAATGTAAGAAAAATATAGTTTAGATATTATGAACCGGGTGAATAGAAAACTTATAGATAGATTGGATATATTTTTGAAATAGTAGGTAGTCTTTGAAAAAGGGCAAAAAAACTATTTATTTCAAGACTTTTCTCATTTTTTTTACGAAATGAATCGTTCTAGACATGTCCGTCTGTCTGTATGAACGCCTGGATTTTGAAGACGGCTGAGTCCACATTTATTAAACTTGGTATGTAAACTTTCCTTATGTTTAGGCAACACGAGTTTTGTTTTCCTTCCTCCCTCCATTATAAAATTACGTCAATAGAATCCACATTACCAAAGCTACACAAACCAAACGTTGCGCAAGTAATTAATATGTTGTCTACTTTTGTTTTAAGTTTAATCCAATTTGGTCAATTCTATGAAAAGTTATTAGCGAAGCAATACTGAAGAAGCTGGTTCGCTAGTGATTTACAGAAAAAAAAAAGCCCCACCTCCCTTTATAAATGAGAGCTCTATTGTAGTGCTTCCTTCTACTCAAGACTAAGTTTTCATCGCTTCATCGGCGGTCATATAAGAGTTATGTATATGGTCGTACATTTTCCAGGTACTTACTTGCAAAGTACAGCAATAAGCTATCCGTACGTATTATGTCCTGCAGCAGCAGTAGAAAGGAGCCCCAATCTCGCAGTGCGAAGGACAAGCCCATTTTCCAAGGCAACACCTGTACGCTTTCCAATCGATCCATTGTCACGCTAATTACCTGACGCAGCCATTTGGTCACATCGTCGTGTGGTGGCGCAAACGCCTCCATTAGATAGCACTTGCAGGTGGACATCACAACTAATCCGTCGCATAGAACTTGTGTTTGCTCATTATAGATGCGACCACGCGCCAGCCACTTGAAATGCTCGCCATTCTCCTCGAATTTGGACTGATAGAAATAAAGCTTGAGCCGATGATCGATGTCGTTGAAGTTCGTGTAGTTGAATTTGTACGGCTGACTTAGATTGGTGACTGGCGCCGCTTCGGCCTCAATGAGCTTCTTAGAACTGGACATGAGCAGATTAGTGGACTGGAATAGAGCTGTAAAGTATATGTTAGACAAGCTTTAAGAAAGTAATACCAAGAAGGTATATTTTTAAACTAAATTAACGAAGAATTTAGGACTTTGAAGATTTAATAACTCTCTTAAGCTGCACTTAAACTATCTATAAAATACTGAACCCCATTTTTTCCCCTTTTTTAAATTTCTTGAGTGTTATACGCAGCATTGAATCGTGAGGATAGGCCAGCATCCTCTTTCTTTCTAAACTCAATTAAAATTGTAAGCTCATTTAAAGACTAGAAGAATTTAGGACTTTCAAAAACTAAAAACTCTCTAAAGCTGCACTTAAACTATCTATAAAATACTGAACCCCATTTTTTCCCTTTTTAAATTTCTTGTGTGTTATACGCACCACCGAATCGTGAGGATAGGCCAGCATCCTCTTTCTTTGCACTGCCATTGGCATTAGATCCCGAGAGCTCCGGATTGTTGTTGTTGTTGTTATTAATGGGTTCACTGAGCAGCATATTCTGCAGCACGATGTCATCGCCAGTGGGCTGAGCTTGTTGTTTTTGCTGCGGCTGCTTCTCCTTGGTAGCCTGTTGGTCATAAGCCGTACATATGCTATCCGTAACGGAGCCCGAGGAGCTGCTCTCTGTTAGCTGTACATGAGCCAGCGATTTAACTTTAGGCGTCGCCTCCTGGTTACTTGTAAACGCCACAGCCGCTGCCTGCTCAGCCAGCATGGCACCGAATTCCCTATCGATGAAGCTTTGTGTATTGGTCCCGACATCGTCTATGGTTTGCAAATGGGGAATTTGTGATATACGTCGCTCCTCGGAGGTCTTGCGACTAGAGGTTTGCGCACAATTGGGATCCAGGACCTCTATGCTCGACTGGCTCGGATTGGATATGATGTCCACATCGCTCTCGTTCGCGCGAAACTCCAAATCACGTTCAGTATTCGAGCTGCCCACCACCGATTGATTTGAATCGAACGAGCATTGCGAATTCGTGATTTTCGAACAAGAACTGCTCTCGTTCAGCGAGTTCGCGGAGCCTGTTGGAGGAGATCAGAAGTCGATTAGATCGTGCTTAGATCGTGTTCGGAGCTTTGGCTAATGGAAGCAGCATTGCTCAAAGTCTATTTCTTTACCATAAATTAGTTTTTTTTATACATCAGAGTGACCATTTTAAACAAATGTTTTATGTATTTTAGAATGATTATTCAGTAATTGTTATTCAACCAACTCATCAAATCTTAGCATTTCTTTAAGCATAGAAATTCCAGCTGAAAACGTTTTCAGACTATTCTTTAAAAGGACAATTATTTTGGGGTGTCTATTTATAGGTCACCCTGATTTCCATGCCAAATGCTGCTTCACATTACAATTAAAGCAAAAACAATGCATAAATATTTAAAATAAAAAAATCATTTGCAAAACTTTTTTTTAGTATAATATAAAAAAAATTAAAAAATTGGCATATTAACTTTTTGTGGTTTGCGTCAAAGTCCTACGCTTGGGTGTGTTATTAGCAGTAAGCCTGGTTGTAGTCACTATAATATTGTACATATTTATATATATATATATATTTGTTTTTTTTAATTAAAACCGCGAACACAATATGGTACATTATTCGATTTCATTTTTTGTTTTTGACGTTGGTTTGAGCAAAAGGTAAAAATAAATAAATACAAAAGTTAGATTCGTTTGGCGGTTGATTTTGTTTGTGTGATTGATTGATTGATTGCATGCAAGGTGAGAGAGAAAAAGAAAAAAGAAATAAATTAAAAAATTATTGCATATGTAAGGGAAAAACAAACATACAAAGAATAACCAAAAATGTTTACATAAACAGTTCCAAACAATAAACTCCATAAACCAAAAAAGGGCCGCACACAAAAATTCAATACTTTCAATAAATTGCAAATGCAGCATTAATTAATTTTGTCACGTTTTCAAAAACCAAATGGAATGTTAAGAACTACAACAAAGAAATTTGGAAAAGTACAGCAATTTTGTCAACTGTTTAGTGCATCAACTATTGGGAAGTTGGCCAAAAACAAACTTGCCAATGCTATTGTTCTCCTCGTTGCGTTGCACCACCAGTGGCGTACCAACTGGCGACTCCTCGACGATCAGGGCGGGCGAGAGATTGGGCGATGGCTGCCATTGCGCCGCAGCCACAGAGCTATTCTTACCGCTGGGCTTGTCCAACGAACTGGATTCGTCCTGCACCTCGGCTATGAAAGTGCTGCCACAGTCCGGACAGCGTGGTGCTGCAACAAAGGTTTTGGTTTTATGTTGGAGTCGATTGTCTTGGGATCTCTCGTATCTTACCTTCTGCGCGGTATTGATTTTGTTTGTTCTCACGCATGAACTTACTGTTACAGCTAACGCAGCGATAGATGACGATGTTCATGGCGCTGAGATCACGCTGGGAAAGAATGTCTCGCAGCTTCTTCTCCACCTCCTAAAAATATAAAACAATTGAAAAGTATTGTTGGTAAATATTTTTCAAGCCAAGAACAGCACTATAAAGCAGATGTCTCTTTAGCAGAATTCAAATAAAAAGTATTACTCTAAAGCTAAGAAAATACTATACTTTTGTTTAAAAATCTTCGTAAATGTTGATGATATTAAGATTAAACAATCTATCGGACATCTATCGACAATAATGCTAAATATTATTGAAGCGAAACTATTCACTTCAGAAACTCATATATGTATGATAGCGTCTTACCTGACATAGGGAATTCTCTATGCAATAGATACGCTCCTTTTTATCCTTTCTGATCGTATCAAAGTTGATGCGCAGCATATTCGACTTGATGCGCTCGCAGGACTCCAAAATACTAAGACTCCATTTCGCTTTGGTGCTGTAATAATGAATATTTCTTATGACGAAGGTAAAGTAGAGTGTTTAGCAGCACTAACCGATCGGAAAGCGCGTCCTTTTCGCGCAAAAAGTTAGATGATATGGTCAGGAATAAGGGCTCGGCGGGCTTGGCTTCACTGTGCACAATATAGGTCTCTTCATCGGGCTCGGCTTCGGACACTATAAGTAGCCACAATAACTTGAAGAAATATATATATTGGATTACAATTTAATAGCATTTACCATCGGATTCATCTTGTGCCAAAGCGTTTGTGTTCCGTTCATAGATGTTATGTAAAGGATCATGCTCGTGGGCTTGTTCTTCTTTTATAGTCAATTGTTCCTCGGTTGCTGCTGTGCTGTTCTGGGCTAGACTTTCATAATGGGTATCCATGCTCGTATTGCAACTTTCGTAGGTCGTTTCCTCAGCCGCATTGCTGCTTACATTTGTTGAATTAGTCTCATTTGTTATTTTGATGGGCGTTAAGGTGGCGTCTATAGGGGCACTTAAAACGCTCTCATTAGTGGGCGTTGAGGTCATATTCTGGGGCTCCACTTCTTCGGACGTGTTTGCTGGTGCAAATTCGCTGAGAAAATCGTTGAGCAATTGCCGCGATTTCAGACGCTCCTCTTCGCTATAGAACGAAGCATTAAGATCAGGCGTCTGATCTTCACTCTTTGAATGCAGCTTTTCGATCTGTTTCTTTGTTTCCAGAGCTGCTGCAGTTTCTATAGGAGTGCCATCATGCTCCTCAATATCCACAGTTCTTTCTTTTTTGAGGCGTCGTTTGCTAACTCTTGTTCCCTCTTGCCCTGACCCCTGTTCCGTACCCGAAGAGGAATCAAGTTGGTTGACCGTTCGACGTGAATCGACGCTAGATGCGGGTGTATTTGCTGATGTGGGTGTACCCGATACCGAAATTGGAAGTGAACGATCGTGTGTCGAGTGGCGAATCGCCATATACGACAATCGCTGACTGCCCGTCAAGGCTTTCTCAGCCTTTGAGAGTGGTTCCAAGTCGAGCAAGAACTTCAGGGTCACCGCATCCTTATGCAAATACTGCGCCGTGGCTAGACGATGCTTTGGATGACAGTGCAAAGGATTGCCGTAGAGCTTCAGAACTTGTAAATTTTGTATGGCACTCAATGGCAACAACTGCGAATGATCCAGCAAACAGTTGTCCGACAAATCCAATTCCCACAGCGAATTCATTTTCGTCAAAACTAACAGATCCTCCACATAGTTATTGCTGATGTTTAGCTGCTCCAAACGTTTGCAGGCCTCCATATGAAACTGCGGAATAGTGGTCAGACAATTGTAGCTCAGATCCAGGGTTTTTAGATGTGGCAGCCACTTAATAGCGGTCGCACTGTGCAGCTTGTTGTGTCGCAGGCTGAGATGCTGCAAATTCTGTGCAAATTCCAGTGAGGTATCAACGGTTTGTAAATTATTGAAACTAAAATCGGCCGTTCTCAGTTCGTTCCAGACGAAACCATTCGAATTATCGCCACCACAATGCGTAATAATATCCTCAACACTGCGCAAACTCTTCACACAAATCAAATGCTGAAGTTGTGAACGCAACGCTTTAATCCCAACCAACTGCATAATGTTGATCTTCTGCACCTCCAGTCGCTTAAGAGCCCGGAATTTTGTAATATCAATCGCTCCAGTAAAGCACTGCTCGCTGGGATAATAGACGATGCGCAACAATGTGGTCTTCTGCACAAAATCGTGCAGCAGCTGCAGATCCGGAAAGACATGGGATGTGGCATTGATGGACTTGACTACCTGAAATGTTTGCTGGTTGGTGCCAATGTCTGTGTCCGCTATTAGCGTAAATGAGTCGTTAAGCGCGCGCACCAGCGACCCTAAAGCGAGAGTAAAACATGAAAGGCAATTAGTAGAAAGATTAAACAATTTAATGGAATTTAAGAAGAGGATTTTAATTGAGATTCATGAACCCTGAACATAAAATAATAATAAACATCTAATAACTTATTTATATTTCATTTATTTGAGATTTATTAGAGTTAGGCACAAACGTGCAACTAGTTTTTGGGAAGATGTGCTTGAAAATTATAGACAAACGGTTCGTTTCTATTCCAGCCCTTGGGAGATTCTCTAAGTCACATTTTCATTAAAGAATCTTTTAAGTTATTGAGTACTAGAAAAGTAACAATAACAATCATTAAAATAACGAACAGAATAATTAAATAATGTAAAAGAATGTATAAGACGGCCAAAAATCGGACTGGTTACGTACTCGTATGTACATAGCTATGTATATTTATCTGTGGGGAAATCTAATTGTAGTGTCTGTAGGAACTATGCATACGTGTGCATACATGTGTAAGTGTGTGTGTGTGTTATCAATCTGTGACAGAAATAGCAACAGTAGCACCCGTAGCTGAGCTGATTAGAAAGCTTTAAATCTGTATTACTGAACTGCACTCCGTTTCATATCAGGCTCAGGTTGAAATATGAGTCAGGCGTAACCCGCATGCCTCGCTTTTGCGCGCTATTTTTGGCTACCTTATAATACTTACATACATACTATATATGTGGTATGTAAGTACGTATGAACTTGTATATATGGAATAATAATAATAAAATATGCGACACAACCTACCTGATAACGTCAGAGAAAATTCAGAGCTTAGAATTTTATCACCATTCTTGCGCAGTAAATTGGCCAATTCTGTAATTTTTTGTGGATCCATGTTGAAGCAGGTATTGTTGCTAAAATATATTAAATAGAAAACAGGTGAACCATAAAATAACAAATAGAACAGCTGCTATATTTGCAAATACTGCGCTATTGTTTTGTGCCTGCTGAATGTGTATGTGGCTGTGTGTGTGTGTGTGTGTGTGTGTGTGTGGGTGCGGCGGGTTGTGGCAACGGAGGATGTCCCATTTGTGATTGCTTTCTGGCATTTGTCACCGCCTTGAAATATGAATACATATGCGTACATATTTGTATGCCAAAAGGCAAATACACAACAACAATTTCGAGTAAATTACCGTTTTCAAAATTATTCGCACAGCAAGTTACAACAACAAAGACACATTACAGCTACATATGTAAAATTGCAGCGCTCAACAACAACAATAACAACAGCAGCAAATATGAACTTACTTTTCAAGATTTGAGCTCCGATTATCTGCTACATATTAATTGGGCTTTTTATCTATACCACTATGCACTCTAACAGCAATTAATAGCACTTTTATGGCTGTGCATACGATTTTATAGTTTGATTGCTTTGCTGTTCATTTGTTATGCAGTTCTTCTTGCCAAACGGCCAGTAACAGTCGAGCGTGGTGAATGACATTATTTATATTGTGAATGGCAGTTGCCACCGCAGTGCTGCCAATCAGTGCAAGGAAACAGCTGTTTACAGTTATATTTTCGACTGCTTGTACTCCATTTTTTCGCCTTAACATTGAAATACAATCGTATACGATTTTTTAACGTTTCAGTTTAATAGTTCTGAGTTTGGTTTTTTATTTGTTTTAAATAACATGTTTTCAATTTCATTTAACCAAATCTATGCTTTTCAAACTGTGCGCGTAATATGTTAGAAATAAAAATCCAACGTAAAATCAAAATAGGCGTTTTGCCTATTTGAAAGTAAATTTGTTTTCAAGGTTTTTTATTCAATTAGTTTGGTTTTCACCTTATGTTGAAATTTCGAAAGCGCTGATATATATAAATGAATATACATTTCAAGGCATAAGGAATCTGCGAGTTACAAGGCGATCCTGTAATCAGATTACAGGCAAGCAGTCTTAATGCGCTTGGACGCACCCATTTATCTGATCCTCGATCATGTCCTGTTTGACAAAGCTGTATGAACAAAACTTTAATTAAAAACAGGGATCAATTTTTTAAAATTTATTTAACACTCTTTTATTTTACATTTAGTATAATGCTACAAATCTCATTATATGTTTCACTAAGATCTGCTAGCGCTCGATAAATCCACATCAGTACGATTGATTTCATTTGCCACTTGAATTGTTCTTCCCATGCTCTCTCTGTTGGTTGCATTTTGTAGTAATACTTACTTTTAATTACAATATATATTCGATTTTAGGTACATGCGCACAATTTGCTAATTTGTTCTAAACTATTCAGTTAAAAACCAAAACTAATAAGCAGACTTTCTTTGGGTCACTTGAGTTGTAAAGTAAATAATTAAAATTGTTCATTGTGTTTGTTGTTGGTTTCGCGGATATGCGTTTGTTAGGTAGTATGTATTTGTTTAAACTAAATGGACAACCTATACATGTTCAATAATTGTAGTTTTTGTTGCATTGTAAAATTAGGCAATCACAAACATTGTTGACTGGCGGTTAACGTTGATCCACTTTTTGTTTTTTTTTTTTTTTTTTTTTGTGCTGAAAAATATATTCACTCTGGTGCATAGAAATATTTAAAAACTCGTGTTTTTGTTTACAATTTACAAAGTTTGCCTGCGAAATAGAAAGTATATTACATTAGAGCGGCAAATTGAATTGGGATTCAGAATTGATAACACGAATATCGTTTAAATCTGAGCGGACGTGCAAAATCAAACGTTGTGCAATAAAAACATAAATGAATTGTAATATCTTTGAATTTAGGATACGTACTGCTGTCTGCCAATTGTTTTTCTGCCAAATAATACTTGTACATAATTCGTTTTTCAACAATACTCTTGTCGTATGGATCGATATTGAGAGACACTTGTTGTTGGATGGTATGTACAAAAAATGTTATATGTATATATTTTTATTTTGTTTTAACTTTAACAAATCCGATTAATAATCAACAAATACTTGACACTTTATGCTTGCTTCTATTAACAATTTTGGCTTTACAAAATTATTGAGTATACATTTAAACAGAATAATGGATAAACAATTGTAAATGCATGTTGAAGTTTCGCGCACAGGGGTGCTTGCTGACGAGTTGATTGAAGACTTGATTGATTGGTAGATTGATTGATTGATTGACTATTTAGGTAGTATGTGGTTTTCTTGATGCGTGCGTACGTGCGTGGATGCGTGAGTGTGTTGGGCTGACTTATTTAGTATTTACAATCGCACTAGGCTAGGCTTTATTAATGCTGGTTTGTTTATTTGTTTTGTTTGATATTTTTGGGATTTAACACAGTTTAGAGTTTTGGCGACGGCATGATGGACGTTTCCCTATGAGAGAAATCAAAAAAATATAAAAAAAGAGAAGAAAACAATATTTTCGATGAAACACAAAATTATGTTAATTAATAATGTATATGTATGTATGTGTGTAAGGAGTTGTTTTATGCAGACATGAGACTTAAATGGAAATGCAATGACAATTGAAATATGAAAATACAAACTTTGGAAACTTCATTTCATTTTTCAATGAAAATGCTGCGTAAAAACCTTAAGTAATAGCCTTTAAAATGTAATTTTCTATGCAAACACGTGGTTAACAACAATTATTGTATTGAAAATTTCATTTTGGCATATTTTTTAAGGTCTGCACACAGCCTTGAAGTTAATTTTTATAAGAAAATATACAACAATAGTTTTGTTTTGACATTCTTTTGTTTTACTCAATTTAGAATTTATTGATTGGTTTTTTGTTCAGCATTTGTTTTATAAAAATAGGCTTAATTTAGTAGCGGAAATAATAAAATTAAGATAGTTATCAACGTGTTAAAATAATAATGTAACAAAATCATGCCAAGAGTTTCAAATAAAATTCAGGTTGCAGGTCTAAATTAAAATTAAAGAGGGCGAAAAATAAAAGGAAATACAATACAAAAAAATAATATATTTTGAGTATAAACATAGCAATATAAGTACACAAGAAAATAATCAGCTATAGAACCAACTCATTAGGTGCAACATAGAAAGCTTTAGAGAGCAGTGCTATATGGAGGCAACGGAGACGAGTACAAGGAATTAATTTTTGGGAAGTGCAATTGATTTAAACGAACTCAAAACACTTACATATGCTCAGGATGATTGCGTATGCAATCGATTAAGTCCTTAGGCTTCAGTTGGTTTGTGCATATTTTGTGTATGGCGGTGAAGAGGGGGAATCTGTAAGAGAAAAGGTATTTACATGAAAATCATATCAGATATGTCTATAGAAGGCGTACTTATCCTCCAGACCCTTGTTCTTCAGCATGTAGTTGACTTCCTCAGCTGTGGGCGGTCCTTGCAACTTCTGGCCATTGAGCATTTCCTTCTCCAATTCCTCAATCGTTTTACCCGAGGTAACAAAGGCCTCAGACACCCTGCGATTGCGACCGCCTAAAACAAATTTAACAAATAATATTACAGATTTTACAACAGACAAAAGCTTAAGAACTATGTATTATTGTTGAACATTAGTGATTTGAATATATATATATATATATATATCCACTTATTTGTAAAGGTTCTTCAGCTTACAGTTTTAATTAAATTTAAATAATATTTCAGGTTTGTTTGGAAAATAAACTAAATTCTAAGCTTCGAATATTTAATGATATTTCAAGTCCCTCAAATGTCTTATATTCTTTGCTAATGTGTAATGGAATTCAAGGCACATTCTTTTAAATAGAGATTCATTTAAAAACTGTCCTTAATCTGTAAAAACCCCAAGCAATTCCCGTTGTAATAATTATTGAGACAAACCATAACACGTCGTAATCAAATCCGCTACACCGCAACTCTCGAAGAATGTGGAGAGCTTGCTGCCAGGGTAGAAGACATCGACAAAGCGTATCATTTCCATGAGTCCCAGACGTATAACCGCCGCCTTAGTGTTGTCGCCCAACTTAAGGCCATCCACAAAGCCCGCACCGCAGGCGACAATATTCTTGAGGGCGCCGCACACCTCGACGGCATCAGCATCCCCGACAACCACAACGCGGAAATGATTCGCTTGGAAGAGATCACGCAAAATCTTGCCATATTTCTTATCGTTACAGCCGATTGTTGTCTCACAGAAATTTCCCTCAGCCACTTCATTGGCCAGATTGGCGCCCATTAGCACAGCGCATGGTATCTACAACAACAACAACAAAAAACATCAGTATTTGGTTCTAGTATATACATATATATAACAATATCCATGAATTGGTCGCCTTACCTTTAAATGGCGCGTAATAATGTGAGAAATTAGATCAATGCCGCCACCTTCGGCCTTATCGAAGCCCTTGATTAGTGATATGGCAATGGCATTGGGCTTTATTTTGCCCAACAATTGTTTGCAGAAATTCGGTATAAACTGATGTGGCACCACAAAGATCAGTATATCGGCGTTCTTGGCAGCCTCAACAAGATCAGGCACGGCAACCTAGAAAGAAAATAGCGACCGATGAGAAGATATGTCTAAGTACTATATAAACAAACAATAAAAGTTAATTGCTGCCGCTGTTTTTGGTGAACTTTGATATCAAAGCTTTAGTGATAACATTTGAATGACAAAAAGTAAATAAGGGACGTTCAAGGTTGAATGAAAAAAAACTAGAGAATATTAATTTTATAAAGTGTGCTAGTTGTTGCTGCTAAAATGAATTATGTGTTCAATTTCAATATCACTAATTTGTGATAAGGCAAGTTAATATACTCGTAGCTATGCATTTTGCGAATACAGTGTAGTTTGTAGAACTCTTTACTACAAGTTTATTCTAAAAGTCTGTTAAATGTATGTGTATAATAATACTTTTAATTAATACTGTACGAGAGATCTTTAATATATGTACGATTATAAACAATTACATTAAACTATTGAAATATTTGTTAATATTTATTTATTATTATTTAAAAATGCTTCAACAATATCATCCATGACCCTCTTATTAGTAGCAGGGCAACATATTATATTGAAGCTATACTTACGAGTATGTGGTAAAAGATTTTTTTTATGAGCTTTTATTACAATAGACTTTAAGTATATTTATTTGTTTGCAAAATGGACATGTCAAAGATAAAGCGGTCTTACAGTCCCTAGTTTGTAGAATTGAAAGTTCCTAGCTCCCCATTCTTAATGGTCTGAAGCTGCCTGCCAGATCGAAGCCGCAAAACCTAGACCCTATTATAAGACGTAGCTAGTTCTGATGTTTGCTCAGATCTTAAACCGGTTCGGCTAAGCGGTAATTCAGACTAAACAAATCAAACTAATGGCACCCTATACCGACTTTTGTAACTCTCATTATCTGGTACAATTATTAAAATATATGCTATACTACACATAAATATATTTACTTATAGACTTCCAAACCGGTTCAAATGAAATGTATTGTATGTATTTACCAATAATTGATAACAGCGTGTTACAGAATCTTTATGCTAGCTTCATTTTAAAATACAGGAAACTGAAATTTGTTGAGTTTTGGAGGCTTGTCAGTTAAGTAACCTGTTTGTCGTATTTTGGCTACTTTTTCAAAACTTGTTGGTAAGTTGTCGCACATACTGGGATAGAAATTTGAAATTCATTTGTTGTTTTAATGCTTTGGGTTCAACGTTTAAAGCGAAATGAAATCGAAAGTATTGCCAAAACTGTGTGGGCTCTTAATCGCTTGTTAGCCTTTTCGACTGCTTTCAGTTCATTGTCTGCAAATTTTATGCATTTTTGACATTGTCCATGCTTTTGTTTTTATTAATTTAACAAAATAACACTGTTGTTTGTGTTTTTTCTGCTGTGCTTGGCCATTAATTGTGTGAGATATTTAGCTGTTGTTGCTTTCCGTGGCTATTGAACACTCGCCAAAAATATATGCATAATCGCATTTATGCGGCGTGGTCCAAATATATACACAAGTCACATAAACAAATGTGTATATGTGTCTATATTATTAAAGAAATATATATGTATATGTACATATAGCTTCAAATAAAAAACAAAGCGAAAAAGTTTGTTTTATCAGTTCATGCTGCCAGCGACTGACTGTTGCTAGTTGTCTAGACTACACTAAAAAAAACTTTCCATCTGATTGGAAAATTTTGAAAATGTTTGATTAGAACAGTGGTTGCTTAATATAGAAAAAAATATTGTCTGGATTTTAAAATGATCACTTTAGTGTAGCGTGTTTTTATTTTAATACCTCGCACGATTTTTTTGAGTGTAAACATAGTGTTTTTCCACGGGGAAACTGACAATACCGAGCATGCGAGAAGCTTACAACAATAATATTTACACAAATGGCAAATACGAAAGTCCACATGGACTTTATCAGTTCATGCTGCCAGCGACTGACTGTTGCTAGTTGTCTAGACTACACTAAAAAAAAACTTTCCATCTGATTGGAAAATTTTGAAAATGTTTGATTAGAACAGTGGTTGCTTAATATAGAAAAAAATATTGTCTGGATTTTAAAATGATCACTTAAGTGTAGCGTGTTTTTATTTTAATACCTCGCACGATTTTTTTGAGTGTAAACATAGTGTTTTTCCACGGGGAAACTGACAATACCGAGCATGCGAGAAGCTTACAACAATAATATTTACACAAATGGCAAATACGAAAGTCCACATGGACTTTATCAAATGCTGTAATCAAAGGGGTAAACAGAGGCAATCGAGCTTGTAGAACATGAACGGCAACAAGACGGCTTATCTATAATCAACGACATGAGCAAACAATATTCCTAAATAGGCTTTTGAACTATGGCCAACAAACAGGTGTGGGTGTGCACGCTTATCAGGGCGTTGTGTAAATGATTACTTCACAGACATTGACGACAAACATCAGGCTACCGCATGCTGTTAAATAAATAAATAAATAGGAGGCACGCACATATGTTCAACGGCTAGCATGTTGCGATAATGAATATGATACTTGAAGAAACCATTTAGAAATTAATGAATGCGATTTCATATTGTTCACGATTTAAATACGTGGTTAATAATAGATTGATGCCATTTTTGGAATGCTTTTTGGCTTTTTTAATTGTAGAACGAGGTTTACTTGAAAATATTTACAAACTTGAGGTGTACTTGAAAATATTTACAAACTTTCGATTTACAACTACAACAACTACAACTAAGAATATTATAAAAAAATATTGTAAATAAAAAAAGTTTAGTCTTTTAAAATATGAGAAAGTAATACCATTGTCTACTTTTGAATGTTTTTTTTTTTGCTTTTTTTTTGCTCGATTAGGGATAAATTGTATTAAGCAATAGATTTGGCTTGAAGCCCGCACAAGCGCCTGCATGAACGGCTTTCTGATTGTGCTTTACGTGCCAGAAAACTAGATCACGCCCCCATCCCTAATACTAACTACACAGTACTTGTACTTATTGGATCGCAGGTGTTGAGAAAAGCAATTGCCGTTGTAAATTTTATTCGAAGAGCAGGTGTTGCAATACAGAGAGGCAGAGTGTTAAAAACAGAGAGAGCGATTTGTGTGCGTGTGTGTGTGTGTGTGGTGTGGGCGGGTGCATTGAAAGCCGTCCTTGACCTACGCCAAAATAAATAACCACTGTTGTTGGCAAAAAGCACAAGCAAGCTCTGCCCTACACTACTACCAGCTGCACGGCTGGCTATTAGTTGAAAAGTACGTCAGCAGCATTGAAGGTGAAACTAAAACGGTTGCCTTTTATTCTTGGCGGCTATGCCTTTGGCCATGAGAAAACAAATGCAAGAGACCTCCCCCAAGAGCATGTTGCAATGGAAAAGAGAGCGAGGGAGAGAGCGCTTGCATGCTGTATAAAAATAGCATAAGAAAAATTGCATTTCACATCGCTCAGTGTCATTAACGTCACACACAGAGCTAGCTGATTAGATAATTTTTGTTTTCAATCGCTTTCAAGATCATGGTGCGTCTTTTATGTAAGTCGTGCGCTAAATTTGCAACTTTTCAAGTGCAAACTCATAAACAAAATTGCATAAGGGGCGATAGCAACACTAACATTAAAAAAACATTGTTGCTTATTATGCGATTGTTTTTCATTTTGCTTTTGAAAATAACTTAGAATGCGGAAAAACCAGTTTAGAACGGCTACACGCCACCCACTCCCACTTCCACTTAACACATCGCATTTTGTTACTTACCACATTTGGCGGCAGTTTGTGTCCCTTTAAATATTTGACGTTCTCGTGCGTTTCATTGATAATTTCCGTCAGTTTTTTGCCTTCAATCAACTCCTCATACACGAACATCGTTACACGCTCCTCAAATTCGGGCAGCGCGGCCGCATTGGCGCCCACAATTTTCGCTATGGCCGAACCCCTGAGCAAGGTTAAATAGAAAGGGAAAAAAGTGCAATATGCAATTATATAAGTTTGATTGAATGATGATGCATACTGATACTGCATTATTATTATTATTTTTTTTTTTTTCACTTACCAATTGCCGGAACCCACAATGCATACATTGACTTTATCTGCCATGGTGTTGCTGTTGTTGTTGCTTTCTTGTTATTATTGTATTGAAGTTTTCTTATAAGCCTTTATCACTACCGTCTATGCCTATGTATGTGTGTGTTGCGTCGTGGAATTTGTGACTTGTTGTTGATAAACACTGTTAATAATTTTTTAATACGAACGAACTGACACGTTTGAAGCCACGGCAACTACTGAGTCTCCCATCCACAAAGCGTGCACATTTAATATTAGCTAGTACTAGTATGAGAGAGCAGCGTTAATTCCCTTTGCGCGTGTATTAGTGCGTGTACGAGTATGCTTAATGTTGTTGCTGTTGTATTTTGTAAACAGCGTATTATGAATGGCCGGCACTATTAAAGGTAACTGACACAGATTATAAATCCACCTATTGATATTGTTAATATGCACTTTTCTATCTGAATTTGTTAGATTTTAAATAGCACACACATTGGACATTTGCTGAACATCTGTTTGGTTTGAGCACTATTTGGTCTATTCTGAACTGGTTCGCGGTCTGAGTGCAGTGTTGGAAGTTTAGTGATGGCAAATGGAATTTATGCTAATTGCGCGAGCGCGCGTAATTTGAATTTCCTTTGTTTCTATCTGAAAAGTTTAAAATTCGATATAAATAATGCTGACACTATATTTGTTTATTAAAAACACAACTGTGGATCCTAAAAATATAAAATATATACGTACAGTATAAATTGTGTAACAAATTGTGTTATCTAATCGTTAAAAACTGTAACTAAATACAATTTGTGCAGCAATTTTGGCCAATTTGTTTCCGTTATGAGCTATAAATAAATTGAGATGTAATGACAGCATCTAGTTGGCAAAGTGTAATGCAACAAAATGATCAGGCTGGCAACAAAGAAGTCTCTCATCACAATCCTTATAATAGCTGGTATGTTGCTAAAAAACATAGACAAATATGAACAATTTGATTATACTACGAGCCTTTACAGCATTCCTTCCGCTGCAAAGCTATGCAGCTGAGAGTCGTTCCTCCATTATATCACGTTTAACGAAAAATTTGATGTTATTAGTTGGTCAGGCAGGGTACGTGATCGAGTCGGTTGGCAAGGTGGGAGAGGACATTGGTGCCGGTATAATAAATACTACCACAGGCATTTTAGGCGTTTACCAAGGTATTGGTCGAGTTTTTAGTATATTCAGTAATGGAAATAAGGAAGTAGAGAAAGCACTTTGGCGTGAAGTTGGAAAATACTGTGGCTATGGCCAACCGGACTGCATGGTCGATTTGATTTTTGGAAGGAAGGGCTGCGCAAATCCAATGTATTGTCCTCCCGGAAGTGGATAATAAACAATACGATTGGTAAACTATTACCAACATTGCAAACATAACTTGAGCTTGATTTTATTTATTATATTTTTAAAGTCAAATAAAATAACATAAACCAGACCATCTTCAGCCCAAGCTACTAATAAATATTTATGTATCTTTGTTGAGAAACTTTTCGCAAAAAGAATGGTATATGTGAGTTGGAGTGGTGTTTAGTATTTTAGAATGACATTTTAAGCTTCAAATCTTTAACTAAAGTGTGAAACGTAAGATTTCATGGTATGTTTATATTACTTATTCGTATTATACAGAGAGTAAAGACATTTTTAAGTTGTGGAAGAGACAGCTAGGGCCGATCTTGCACACTTTTCTGGCTACTTCAAATCCCGAAGTAAATTTAATGTTTTAAGGGATTAAAATAAACGTATTTCTTGAGAAGAAATGCTGACCTCAGTTAATTTATATTTGATGTAAAATGTATTAATTATAATAATATTCTTCGACTGCTATTCACCTGCAAACTGCATTTGAGTGCACGTGCCATCAAATCATTTATGCGACTGATTAGCTATGCAGCAGTGCTGGGGCACGACTTTGGCTCAAAGCCTTGTGTAAGCTCTCCCAGAACAAGGCAAAAGCTATCCCAAAGTGGCAGAATGTGAGCGAATGTGGGGCGGTCATTGTCATCTCATTGCAGTCCACAGTCCCTGCCACTGCCACGCCTTTGGCACTGACCCCAGCAACCCATGGAGGTTAATCATGCAGCGATGTTGTTACGCATTAATACCTTCATGTGAGCTGGACCACGTGCTGCTCACTGCTCGCTACTTGCTGCTCACTGCTCACTGCTTGCGTGTCTAACGGTGTTTGCACTCATCTCCCCTTGTGTGTTTCTGTGTGTGTGTGTGTGTGTGTGTGTCTGTGTAGGGTTGGGCTTGTCTTAGCGATGGAACCTTATCGACCCTTTCCGATGCAACACACATTCGAAACGAGGTCCAGAGCACATGAAGATTATTTGTCTGATCCTGAAAACAGAAGCTGTACATGAATTACAATCGTTTATTTTAAATTATATTAAACTATTGACGCTCTAACGACATCGTAGATTAAAGCCTGTCTAGAAATTAATATTATTTTAAAACGACAATCCCAATTCTTATAGAAAAGTTATTTAAGCATCACTTGAAAAGTGAAGCACTTATTTGAGAAAAAAGAATAAAAACTAGTGATTTGAAAACAACAATTTGTGTCGAATAATGGGTTCTTAAAAGTTTATAAGCTTAAGCTTAGGTGCTTCATATTTCTGAAACAGCTAGATGGTGTATAAAATACTATATACTTATATAGTTTCTTTTTATGTAACTATTTCTATGATTTCATTTTGAAATAAATTTTGTAGAATAAAGTGTATTAATTAATAAGGCATTTATTTTCAAAAATATTTAAAATGTAAATTAATCGTTAGGCAACTTTTATTACCGAATATTAATTTTTTAAAAGTAATATTTGTAATTTATTTTCATAAACAAATTTTTTTAATCTAAATAAATCAGTTATCTCATATTTTGCAACTACGAGTATACATCAAATATTTTAAAACAGTTTTCGCAAATATTTGATTTCTATTTTTGCAGCTCTAGTCTCAGATATTTTATTTGTTGATTTTTTCCCCCTTTCCCGCTGCAGAATTTTGTCAATACAGTCCAAATTTGCCAAGCTACTACATAAATCAAAGCTTGCACATGTAATTGGTAAAAATAGCTCTGTACCTTTTCCAAATTTCATTCAAATCTATTAATTCTATGAAAAGTTATTGGCCTAACTATTTCACTCCAGTATTATGTATGGAAATGTAAAATAGAAATAAAATGCTTTTCAATGAACGAGTAAATATTTCAGGCACAGTAGGATATGGGGCTCGTTTTTATTTTAAGATACAGTATAAAGAAATGTAAAATAAATAAAAAATGCTTTTCAATGAAAAAGTAAATATTTTAAGATACAGTAAATGATAGATTAAGCAACCTGTTTAGTTTGTTGAATATAGAATTAATATATATCTGTGCTTTGTGAGAGTTCTCTGGAGTGATATTTGACTTAATTGCTTTTCGGTTTGTAGCTAAAGGTGCGTGATTAGCGTGAGCCACTCTCATCTCTAGTTTGGTCTAATTCTACTGCCGCATTTGTTGCCTTCTTCATGTCGTTGTTGTTGTTGTTGTTGCTGTGCACCCGTAAAATTGATTGCGGCGAAAGCTGGAAAGTTGCACGTTACAGTCGTGGCCTGACTTGGTTGGTGTGCCCGTGCCCGTGTCTGTGTCTGTGTTTGTGGGTGTGTTTGTGGGTGTGTGGGTGAGTGGGTGCCTGCAGCATGCTCTGTGTATGCGGCCTGGCTTGTTTCCATGGCAGCCCAACATGAGATTTTCCGCCACGACTGGCCGATGGTTCATGAATCCATAGAGGGCCGGCAGTTAGTCCATGGATTTGGAAAATATAGCGTTTTAAAGTATGCGGCAGAGCTCGCGCTCTCAACTAATACAACTTAAATGAAATGGAGGTGGGAACGCAGGACATGATGGTCAATTAAAAGTTGAACAGTCCGCTAAGTTGCATTCTTTTCATTTCAGTTCATTTCCATACCTATAGACTTACATACGTCATCAGATGATGGAATTGCTTAGATGCCTGTTTTGTAATAATTTAGAACTGATGTTCTGGTCATTAGTTGTGAATTTTTTATCTTAGATGTAAAATAATGCAAAAAAGAATATTTAATATTATTAATATTAATTTAAATAAAGCCTTTCAAAATAATACCCATCCGCCTACACATTCTGGATACATACTATATATAAGCAGTTACTGATTTGTAATCAACTCACAACTCTAAAGTTTATTACGGACTCTTGAACTATTATTCTTATAAAGCACCTAGAAGTTCATCTCAATATTTGCAGTATAGGAGAAGCATATCGTTTATTAAACATTTTATGCACAGTTTGTGAAGCTAATTTTGTGATTTTTCTGAATTTTATTTATTTTTTTGGATTCACTCGTATGTTTTTCTCGTTTGTTTGGTTTCGATATGAACTAAATACTTCGTTTAATTCAAATCTTAATTCTTTTTCTATAAAATTCGCAATATTTTAAAATTCAAAATGTATTGCGTGTAGAAAAATAGATGTTGCTTCTTTGCGATTGATGATGAAATGCAGGACAATTTAGCCTTAATACTTAACCGAAATTAATTAATCTGGTGATGAGAGGATTCCCTTTCTTCCGCAACATCCGCATTTCTCCATTTCCCCAAAAGGTGCACATTTATACGTGTATATGATCAGCATGATAAGGCGAATCGATATAAATATCTAAGTTAAGCTGAAAGATTGTTCAATTGGCATTTCGAAAAGAGTAAGTAAAGGACATAAGCTTACTTTTATATGTATATTATAAATAGATATTAAAAATGAATCCACAAGGCGATTTTCGTCAGCCTTTTCATAACTTGCATAATAGATTTATTGAATTATTTTTCTTAACAAACAAAGCTGAGGATAAAAAAAATAAAACAACAGAGAGCTTAAAAAAATAAAATAAAAAGTAAAAAAACCTATAAAAAATTACAATAATATCTATTAAATTATTTATTATATATATTTTATTTACCAAATTATTCAGAGCACAAATTAGACAGAGACGTTAACGAAATAGTGATGAATAAATAGAAATAAAAAATAAAAGTAAGTAAATTTAAATTAAATAAAAATAATTAAATAATAAAAGATACAAATAAAGTTAAAAGCTAAAAAGTGGAAAAAAAACAATAACTTTTAAAAAGATTTAGTATAGAATTATGAATAGGCCTTCTTAGGTACAAGGAGTTTGTTGACCGCTGTCGAACAATTCCATAAATTAGCAGCAAAAGGTTTAAAAATGATCTCTTTACTGGATACATGATTTTTATTTGTCAAACAAAGGCCTCCATATGTCCCGACTCTGTAAAAACTTGCTAAGCAACAAAAGAAAACCGAAACATGTAAATTTTGATGGAACTAAACAAATATGAGGCTAGGAGTAAGGCTCTCCCGAGCAAGCCAATGTAAATTCTCTTAATGGACAAATGTAATGTCCGAGAAAGGAAAAAATGCAATTAAAACAATTAAGTGCTTGGCAACACTATTTGCAGAGCATCCTAAAAAACAACAAGAACAAGAACAGAGCAGAACAGAACAGAACAGGACAGGACAGAACAGAAAAAGGAGCGGCACCCAAAATGAATGAGGCATTAAAAATGTGACAAACATTTGTTAAATGTAAGCGTGCGTCAAATAAAAAATGTAAATCATAAAAGGAATGTACGGGGAAAAAATGAGAAATAAAAATCCGCAATTTGTATGCTGTCGCATATTTTACAATGCTTAAGCAGCGGCAAATGGCTGCGCTTCCTTTCGTGGGCTGGGGGGAGGCGAATTTAGGGGGAGTGGAAGGGAGTGGGAGGGACAGTGGTGCTTAGGGAAGGGTAGCAGAAGCTTGTTGCTTTGCCGGGCGGTGGTTGGTGGCTTGCCATAAATTCTGCGCATGGCAGCATTAGAATGTCTCAATTCAGTCTTTGACAAAGGACACATAAATATACGACTACATACGTATATATATATATGTACATACACACATCTACAATCATAAATAAATATATTTGTACACTAGCTGCCATTGATATTTTGACCCGCCAACGAACTTCTATTTAATTACAAAATGCAATTGATTTGATAATTCTTTTTTGTTTAAAACTAATTTAGTTTATATTTAGTTTGCAGATCAAAAGATAATTCAACAGTAAAAGAATTGATGAAAGTCATGAAAACAATATGCCACAGAACAGAAACATCTTCATCAAAGCCATTTCCTAGTATTCAATAATGAGGTGAGAACTTTTTTGCAGATAACAAATCTGCATCGTCGACTTTTTTGTTTGTTCATAAAAAAATGTATCTAATTTTTCAAATTTGTTTGCAAAGATTAGTGAATAGTGTCCACTAAATACTATGCACAAATTCTCAGTAAGATTCTACAAATTGTCAGTAAGATTCCACAAATAAGCATCTAATTATTCAAATTTATTTATTAATAATTAATGTATTTTATATTATTAA